AGATATAATAGTAATAATTATAATTATATTAGAAATAAGGATATTCATTATAATAGTAAGAATAAAAAGCTTAAGGGCGTAGGAAAAAGAAAGTTCCCGTCGGATAAATCCGAAATTTAATTACGTAAGAAGGGTAATGGTATAATATATAAGGTATACGAGAGAAGCTATTATTCTCTTAAAGACTATTAGTATGTTAACCTAAGCGTGAAGTTTTTATACTTTAGGTTATACTCCTCTATTAAACGCGTTATTGAAGCTAACTTCGCGAGAAATTTAGAGTTTGCTAAGGAAGTAGTTGAGTTCTCTAAGAAGGAGGAGAAAATTGAGAAGGAAGAATTAGCGTAACTATCGAATTGGGCTTATAAAGTAACCTTTTAAATTAGTAAAGTATTTAAAATTAGAGACGAAATTTACCTTTTTAAGAATTTAGTGATATTCGATTTAAATAGTTCGCTTTATATATTTAATAATATTATTGATTTCCTTTGCTTTCGTTATATTAATCCGGATAATCTTTTATAGGTTAGTAATATTTAAATAGAAATTAAAGGGTTTAAGGAGGTCGATATTATTATTAAGGGTAAGAATAGTCCCTTAAAGTTACGGTTAAAGGAGGTCGCCTTCTACTCTAATTTATTACTAATTTCGTTTCCTATTTTTAATTGCGAAAGTAGGGTTTTTATTAGGACTATCGACTACTAAATAATTATCTAAGAAAGGCTAACAATTCATTCTTTTACTATTTGGATATTATTTATAATTAAATAATTATTAAAATTATCCCCTTTTTATTTATTAGAGCCATATTCGTAGCGCGCCATTATTAAATTAATTTATATATAACGACCTTCGAAATGATTAGTAGAAATATAATATTAATAATTCGGCTACTTAAGTCCTTAAGTATTTAACTATCTATAAAATATTAATGGAGTACGATTATGTAATATATTTTTAATTAAATACGATGTATATAATATAGTAAAGATAAAACGATAAATTAGCCGCGTTTTGAGAGATCGAAGCTACGGCCTAGGGGAAAGATTCGTTATCGATTTCTTCGATTTTAAATTCAGATTTAAAGGATTATACTACCTTTTTCTAATTACTTATCGATAGTTAGGATTAATTTAAGATTATTATTTATCGAACCGAAAAGTTATTATAATAGCTAATACCCTGGCTAGCTATATTTAGATATTTAAGTACCAATATAATATTAATATTAAAACCCTCGAATATAATAACGAATTTATAAATAATAAGATTAGGGATAGATTCGCCTGGTATAATACGGTTCTTAAACCTTTTATTTTTAATATTTAAATATAAAATGGAGGGGTAGAACGTTTAAGGGGTATAATTAAAGAGATATACCGTACGATATTATTAAATTCGAAAATATTAGAAGATTTATAGTTAAAGACTATTTATATAGCCGTTTATTTTATTAATTGTTCCCTTTATTATCTATATAATTAGAAATCCCCCTTTGAACGATTCTATATCTATATTGCAAAGTAATATTGTTAATAAGAATTATATAAATTAGATCTAAGCTACCTTCGAATTCATAGGTATAAGGTATTTACTATAATAAGTACTACTTAGAGGAAAGAGTAAAGATTTTAAAAGTATAACCTAAAGGTGTAGATCGGTTATTTTATCGGTTATTTAGCGACTTTAATTTACTATATATAGATTCCCTATATAAATCGGATCGTTTAAACTAAGGACGTAATATTCGACGAAGATATTATTTCTTATTTAAATATTAAGAAATTTAAAAACGATTTTAAAATTACTAGCGAAGAGTTCGTTGATTTGCTTAATAAATTAAACGAATTTATTAATTAAACTTTTAGGGGTGTTGAGTTGTCCTATATCGAAGGTTATACGTTATTAAACGATATTAATAATAGTAATATTAAATTTCTTTTATTAAATCTCTTCGATTAAAATTAGGAGGATTATTAAGAGAATTAAAAAGGTTTTTAAAATAAGAGTAGTTAATTATAGGAGGTATTAATTTAATAGTTTACTAATAATAAAATATTTATCAAATATATTATAGGTTTATATTCGTTGTTTCTATTTACCCCGCTAGCTATACTCTATACCGGCTATTTTATTAACCGAATTATGGATTAATATATTCGTTATTAAGAATTATAGGAAGCTGCCTTTAATGTTAGTAAATTAGTTTAATTAGTAGTTAAATAAATGAAAAGATAATTATTAAGCCGGAAGTCGAACGGTTAATTACAAAATATAGTCGTTTTAATAGGGTATACCGATATAATCTCCCTCTAATACCCAAAAAATACTATAATCTAAATAATTACGTACTTAAGTAATAAGTTAAAAGAGTAGAGGAAATTTACTTTAAGAATATAAAGATATAAAGACGTAACTAAAATAGATGAAGACATCCCCTATTTTAAATGTAAATAAATTTTTAATTATATATAGGTTTATATTCATAAATTTAATAAGAATTAGATATTTAATAAAGTAAAAGCGAAGTTCGTTATAAGAGGTAATTAATAGAAAAAGATAAGAGTTAATACGTATGCGTTTATTTTCGCGGGTTAATTATTTCGTATTATTATCGCTTTCGTTATTTATTTTAATTTTAAATTTATTTAATACAATATAGTTAATGCTTTCGTAAATACTTACTTCGATAAGAAGATTTATATATGTATATTATTAAAATATTGAGTACCCGGGAAGGTTTTTAAATTTATTAAGGCTTTGTATGGTTTCCGACGAGCTCCTTTATTATAGTAATGAAAATTGAGCGGGGCTTTTAAATCGATAGGATTTAAAGCGATCTTTAAAGACCTATATATTATAAAGAAAGACGGTATTTTTATATTATACTACATCGATAATATCGTTTTTATATTCGATAAAAGTAAGATAGACGAAGTTAAGAAATATACGATAGAATTGTAATTATAATATTATTTAATAGGAGGAGATGAATTCTAATAGTTTTTAGGTATTAAAGTTATACGTAATTGAGACTAAAGAAAGATCTGGGTTATTTTAAAAGGTATATATTGATAAGATTATTAAATCATTTAAATTTAGTTATCGATTAATTTTGGTACCTATAGGCTATAAGGAATTAGTACCCTTCGAAGGTATTATTAGCTACGCAAAAATACAAACGTACTAGATTAATGTAGGCTTTTTATTATATGTAATAGTTAGTATTCGATTAAATATTACGTTTTCGTTAAGTAAATTAGTTAAATATAATTATAATCCTAGCCCTATTCACTTGGCGGCGAGCGAGAAGGTTATATAGTATTTAAAAATAATAAAGATATAAGTATTCTATTTTGGCAGGAGTAATAAATTCGAAATTGCTTCTAATATTTCGTTTACTAATAATAAGAGTAATTGTAAGAGTTCCTAAGGATTTATAATTAAATTATATAGTGGTTTAATTTATTAGAGAGCAATTAAATAGATTATAATTACTACGTTAATGATAGAAATAGAATTATACGTAGTCGAAAAGGTAGTTAAAGAGACTTTCTTTATAAACCGATTAATATCGGTATTAGGGGTAAGCTTATTAGAGGATCCTATTCCTACTCTATATTATAATAACTAGCAAACTATTAGGGTACTTATAGAAGAAACGTTTACTTTTAGTATAAAAATAAGGTACATAAATATTTATAGATATTAGTTAAGAAGAGAGATTCTCGAGAAAAAGACTTTCAATATCGAATATTTAGAAATAAAGTTAATGCTAGCAAATAGACTACTAAAGGTATTAGGTATTTTAGAGTATAGGAGATTTAGGGAATTATTAGGGATAGTTAAGGTACTACTACGGGAAGATAGCGAAGGAGGAAATAATCCGGTACCGGGAGAGGTGGATTTTAATAATCTAGATGAAATATTAGGTCTAGAAACATAAAACGACGAGAGCAATATATAAATAGTTTTACTTTTGACTTTAAAGAGGAAAAAGAGGTCTGCAAGTAAGGGGGTGTATCAGATTCTAGGGTAGCATTCTGGCCAGATGTGAGCCAGATGCCAAAGTCCCAGCTACCTAATTTAATAAGTCTTGGCAAATATAAGTTACCCCCAGAACCCCCTATACCAGAGCGCTCGAGTCAGTTACACAGACTACACAGAATCAATCAATCACCAGTAAATCTGACACTTTGACCCCAGGATTTTCCGTCACCTGTCATTCATTGCTGTGCTCCTTGGCGTTCTTGGCCTTTCGTGGGAGTGTGCTACATAATGTAGGTTCTGCAACGAGATGCATTGATTGTTCATCAATAACAAGAACCAACAGAAACAAACGAACACACATCCTCTCTCTCTTGTCGGCTCGTTGGGAGAGGATATTGCTGCGGCCAAGCCAACACCGTTCGCGTTGGTTATCTCTATTGCCGATTGCGTGACTGACGGGAGCTCGTTGGGCGATATACATACCATACATGCACAGCATACCTGCTACAAAGCGGTAGCACAGCATCAAGGGAATAAGCATACCGACATGGTTGAGGGTGACAGCTGTGCGATGCCACCATCGACAAAGTCAAAGGGTGGTTGCTTGCCTGTCCGGCCAAAGCAAGATCGATAACCTCTGGCTACGTACCAAACCAACAACCAACCAACCAACAACCGACCAACCGACCAACAAGCTCTCCGGTTATTCATTTGTTGCACTTTGTGTGCCATCATCATGTTTCTATCCATCTGTCCATACACTAGCATACTTGTACAGCATACGGCATGTAAAGTGAATGCCTGCTGCGAGGCGCTGACGGGAGATCACCAACTGCTGCCATGGGCAACAAAGCGTCAAAGCTGCGGAGCGGATATAATGCCGCCTCAACGTACAAATGCAGTGTAGCTTTAACGAGAGTTAAAATACCGACTCCTGATTTTATTGGTGATACTAAGCTTACGACAGCTCATTCAGTGGGGAAGGGAGGCTTGTTGGGGTTGTTGGTTTGGAAATACACATTACCAACTGCCCGTTTCTGGATAGCGCTAGTTTTATTTCATTGAGGCTGTAAGCGTGCTAACTAACTTTTGGGTCCAGCTGGCGATACGAGAAGACGGAGATTTGTTGGTTGATGAGACGGTAACTAACTGAAATATTGAATCCGTGTCAGAATTGTTACCTCTAGCTTTGGGAATAGCTTCAAAGTTCAAGACCGGTGTTTCTTTCCTTCGGTTTAACGTCAGCCGAGGGAAGTCTCAACGTGAGGTCTGGTGGCTGCCTGCCTGGAGATAACAGAGGTGCCGCGTTTGCTTCAATGATGGTGTTGGTCAGCAGGCAATATCAGGCTCCAGGGCTTCGCTTCAGTGAATTGCAGGCGCTGATGAAAAACGGATGGAAGCCATGGATGGGCCCACTTTCAGCCGCCACCCCCATCCATCCCATCATCTCCAACCGCAACTCAATCGTCAACTTTAAAACCTTGATGAGAGCTTGCGTCAACCTCAACGCACAAACGCACAAACGCGAAGCGAACGGGCACCCGACCCGGCGGGGTATTGAGCAGCAGAGCATTGCAGGCAAGGCTTCAAGTTTTGAAGGCAGCAGACCAGTAGCTTCGCAGCTCACGTTCGTCCCATGTATCAAAAATACCAAAGATACACGTACATTAACGCCGCCTTGCATCCGTGCTCAAGATATCTCCAACAAACAAAAACAGAGAACCTTGAACACACCAACACCAACTACCACACAGGGCACCAAAGGTAACTCGAACCCCCAGTCCCCATTTCAATACCGTAGCTCCCTGGCCAAAAAGGTACTTTCAGAGGTACCTCACTCTGAGACATGCGCCATTGGCCGGCGTCGTCATCGACCTGCAGCCGATCCCCCAACCAGCCGCCAAGTCCCTCGACAGTCGCAAGCTAAAATCTTTTATTTCCACTTTCAACACTTGGCTTTCTGGAGACTGGGGACTGGCCCAACTGAGAAGAGCCAACGCAACTAACAAACTGTCCGAATCTCCGTCTGAACCGAACGATACAGGTCAGTTGGTTGCTACGACCGGCGGGAGGGAGTGACTCTGCAACCTGGAACCTTCGTTTTCCTGCAACATTCACTGCCCGGCCTGAACCTGAAAGACGTGAAGTAGCCAACTCTAAATCCGAGACCAACCAACGGCCAACCGCCGCTTTCGCCTTCAACAATCTGACAGAGTGAAGGGTCGGTAGAAGGAAGTGAAATCTCACCCGCGGAATCATTTCTTTCCTTTTCGCTTTTTCTTCCTATCTGGAAAGCCCACATCGCCAATCTCGAGTCGCTTCAACCAGAAACCCGCGCCACGTTTATTTGGTGGTGACATTGTCTCGGCGCAAAACAGCAGCACTACCACCGTTGACCACGACTACCCGTTTGGAAAGTTTCCGAGGGTTAAACATACTTTGAGTTTTCCCATGACTCGCCAGCCACAGGCAGTCGGGAAAAGGGAACATCAAGTGGAGGCCACTCAACAACCTCGGAACTACCTCGACACATCATCTTCGTCACAACAGTTTACGACTGAGAAAATCTGTAGGTACCTGAGCTCTTTTCCTATAATTTCACCTCGATCCTACCCCATCACACCCCTTCTTCACCGTAAGTCCGAGTCTCATCCGAGGGGCTATTCCCGATAAATACGCCCGGCATTGCTATTGTAGGGCAGTATGACGGATGGCAGGACACCTTCACACAATACATCACAGCCACAACATGGCATGGCAGGACAGGCACCTGTAAAAATCCAAACAGAGTTGCCTTCACTTGAACACATGTTACTCACAAGCTCACTACCCATTCGAGATGACTTTCGGTGGTCGGTGTCATGTCCTGTTCGGTCCTGCAGGTGCTACGGAGTACATGGTCCACATTCCCTCTAGGGATGGCCATCTGAGCTTGTCATGCGGAACCCCGTGGAGGTGGTAATGCCTTACGTTCGCCTCGACGGTCGAACGCTCAAGCCCACACACAGCACACACCACTGCACTGAATTTAAGCTTCTTTCCACTTGCAACGTAAAATTAACATTCGAAGAAAAAGGCTGACCTTTACAAGAACAGGCATCCTGTCCCCACCCCCGAGGGTGTCGAAACGTCTCAGATTACCAAAGTCGTTCAAGTTTACCATATTACAAGACGATACACTCCCGGAACTCGCCAAACAGCCGCCTCGACTCCCGGGATATCACGCTGGGATCGATCCCCACAGCCAGGATTTCCGGTGGACCTCTTCAGTTGCCGCCCATCTTCTATTATTCGACGCTGGGGCCTAAAAGGGCAAAGCCGGATCCTGGCTGGACGAAACTTAATCTGTCCGATCCGTTTGTTGCCGCGGTGGAGCTGCAGCGTATTAGCACATTCGAGTTACGCTTGCTCGCTTTAAATATCGACAGGCTCCCACCGCTATCCACCCTGACAACATATTCCTAGACGTAGGCAGATCACATAACCGCCGCGTCGCCCAAAATGTCGCGCCATCATCCGAATATGTCCATGGAAACCTATTACGGGAGCGTCCGTACAACCGCCGACGCCATCAAGCTGTTCGAGGCCTGTCGAGTAGGCACCCTGCCCCGAGTACAACGCCGACTATCCGAGAAAGAGCGTCAGGCCATCCGACCGGGCTCGGTCTTTGTCTGGGATGAGAGGGAAGCCGGCATGCGGAGATGGACGGATGGAAAGTCATGGAGCGCCAGTCGTGTATCCGGGAGCTTCCTCACCTATCGGGAAATGGAGGGAAAGAGGGCAGGTTTCGGTGGCAGGAGGAACGCAGGGAGGACTCCAGACTCGGCCCGCGCTAGTGACGAGGACCGGGGTTCGGACGATCACCACGAAGGCTACAGGTACAAGGCGGATGGGCTCATGAAGCAGTCATTCAGCATCACGACCTCCCACGGCCAACACCTCCACCTCATCTCCTACTATGCCCGGGACGGCCGGGGCCCAGCCAACTTGCCCGATCCCTCGAGTGATCCAGCCCTCAGGCACGTTTCCATCCCCAAGGGCATCTACCCCGAGTCCAGTGTTAGCGAAACTTCGGTTCCGGTGACGACTAGAGGCCCCATGCAGCGACACTCGCCATATTCGCATCCAAGGAACGCTCCGCCCCCGTATCATCAGCCATATGACCCCAATGTCCATGCGCCTCCGCCCGGCCCCGGCTATTGGGGACCCATCTCTCCGGTCGCGACGCCTCCTTACAACGGCCATCCCGCCCCGTATCCCCCAGGACCGCCATATCACCCCGACGGTCTTCCGCCACACGCGCCACCGCATTATGCTCACCACCCTCAACACTTCTCTCCTCCTCAGCACCACATGGCCGCCCTGCCTCCTCCGCCGGCCGGTAAGCCCGGCATCCAGCTCCCGCAACCGCAGCCATATCCGCATCAGCACGCCGTTCAAGCCCCGTATCCGCCGCCGTTATCTCAACCCCCGCCACCGGCTTACCACTATCTTCATCAAGGACAACAACAACCACCACCCCCTCAGCATCAACAGCCACCTTACCACCACCAAGTCCCACCCCATCCAAGTCAACAACCCATGCACCACCACCAAGGCCCGCCACCTCCTCACCATCATCTCCCCTCCCCGCAACTACCATCCGACGTTCACCACCCCGAGCATCAACCGCAGCAACCACAACAACACCCTCGAATCGCACCCATCGACTCACCAAAGTCTCAACAACTAATGGCCGCCGCCCGCGAGACACTCAACCTCGACTCCCGTCTAGCCCACGGCGCCCACGGCAGCGGTCCCCTCCCCCCTCCGCAACAACAACAGCAGCAGCAGCAGCAAAACGGAACCGGCAACGGTGGCACGCCCTTTTCCGGATCAGGAGCCGTACCCACCCCTCCTCTGCCGCCTACTTCTTCGAGCGGTGGTGTGTCATCGCCTCGTCATCATCAGGAGTTGAAGCCGGTTTTGTCGCCATTGAGTTTACACCCGCCCTTGGCTGCTGCACCACAACAACAACAACAACAAAACGGAGGACACGTCAAACCATCATCCACCACCAGCCCCATTTCTGCTAGTACTAGACCTAGTCTGAGCGCTATCTTGCTTCCGCCGCCGAATCCGAATGGTGTTGGTATCAAGACAGAGTCGAATGGGGCTACGCCTGTTAGTGCGAATGGAGCGAGAAGTCCGCTTGGGAGTCCTAATGGGTTGGGACCACATGGAGTTGGACATGTGCCTGTGCATGGACTGGCTGCGGCGCCGGATAATAAGGCTTATGAAGCGTTGAAGGCTTTGAATAGGAATTTGTGCACCTAAATAGGTGTGCGTGTGCGTGCGGTGGATGGGTCGGGTCTGGTCTCTGGCATTTCATTTCATTTCATTGGGGTCTGGATGGAGTATTTAGTTCTGTTCTTTTTTCTTCTTTGATTTGTTTTCTGGTCAGGATCCATCCATCCATCCATCTGGTGGTCAGGATTCGGATCCGTCCGTTATCAAGGAGGGCTGTTTTCTACATCCCACATTTTCATTTCATTTCATTCATGATTAACATAACATTTCATGATCAAAAGGGTTAAAGGGTCAAAGGGGGTAAAGGGGACAAGGCAAAGGGTAAGGCGTTTGTTTTCGGGCAATAGCATTTACTACGCTTTGCAGAATAATGGAGTTTACGGTCCATTAAATGTATTTTTGTTCTCTTTGGTTCGGTTCGGTTCGGTTCGGTTCGATTTGGTTCACAGGAAAGGACACTGGAACTGGGTCGGTCAACGTTAGGTTCGATGAGGGAAGCAAGGAAGAAAGGTCACAACTAAGGAAGAGAGAGAGAGGTCAAAGAAGTTTAGTTTGGTGAGACCTGAGACCAAGAGACCTGAGACGGACAGAGTAGAGTGATGGAGATATCAATCAGGAGCGAGACTTGATTACTTACTGGTGGATGAGCGGAGGGACTAGTCGCCTGCCTCTTTTGCTGGCTGGCTCGTGTTGGAGCGAACTTCATCGTCAAGAGAGAGGTCAAGAACATCGAGAGAGAGAGGAACAACGAGAGCAGTCAGTGGATGGATGAGTAAGAGAGCTGCTAGTGGTAGTCAGTCAGTCATCAGTCAAATAGTATCAACGTCCGCGTCAAATATCAGTGCCAGTCGTGCGTGGTGATAGTCATCGTTCAAAGTGAAAATATGTCGGAGGCTTTCGGCTGTCTGATCTTTTTCTCCGAGTAATCTTCACACCCTAACCTAACCGTTACGCCTTTCTAACATCATGAGCGAACGAATGCCCAACCAAGTGCCTCACTCGGTCAAAGGAAAGGAAAGGAAAGGAGACATGATGCCAAGCCAGTTAGGGGTAAATAAATAAATATCAAGTTTACAGCACAGCACAGCGAATGGCTACCAGGCGTAATCAGGGTGAAACCAAAGGTTGGTTAACATGAGCCCATTCATTGAATCGCGCACGCAACGGGCCACTTCCACGACCACTATGTGTCGAGGTCGATCAAAGAGTAGAGTAGAGTAGACAGCGGACTCCAAATTCCAGGAATTGAAAATTCAAAATTCAAAATGCTCGCTATGTACTATACAAATTATCTTATCTTCCTTTTCGGTCCACTTCAACCCAAGCTTGCGTCGTGCGTGAGGTGTGGGTACCTTGCTATATCCCCACCTACTTTCTCTCTCTCTCGCTCTCTAGTCACCAGTGTATGTATCAAGACCGTACCATACATATTCAGACCGTCCTGTTTCCGGTCCAGCCCGGCCAGTGTATGGAGTGCCATCTCTGGCTCTTCCCAATCCTGTCTGTCTGTCTGTCTGTCTGTCTGTCTGTCTGTCTGGATTCGTCTTTTTTTTCTCTTTCTTTCTTTCTTTCTTTCTTTCTTTCTTCCTCTCAGGGTTCTTATCCAGTCATCTGTACCTGTACTTGATTCAGAGAGTAGTAGTCCTCCCTTGCTCCTGTGCCGCCCTCAAAGCATCAACCTCTCTCTGCAACGCATCCAAATCGGCCAGGATATCCTTAGCTGCCGACTCTCGTCTCATCACGTCTTCCTCGTCCTCGTTGCCGTCGACGAATCCCTGCTCTTGTACCTTGCTATCTGCGGTTGCAAGCTCCATTCCATCTGGAAGACCTCTCGGTTCCTCGCCTAATGCCAGCGATGCTTCCAGGAATCGCGCACCAGCACCACCCAGTCCTGGGGCTGGAGCAGCAGGTGGTGGACGAACAGGAGCAGGTGACTCAACAGTTCCCGGAGCAGGTGCAGGATTGCCGCTATCAATACTCCCGCTTCCCGAGACCGATCGCCTGTTACTCCCCCTCGGCCGCGGTCTAGGTGGTGGTGGCGGGGCATGATTCGGGCTCGGGGCAATCGGTGCCGGGGATGCCAATCCGATTGGTTCCCTACTTCTACCACTGTCCGCCCTGCGCACAGTACCCGGCGTTGAAGGGGTGCCCGACCGGACTGATTTGTTCCTCGCTGGGGGAGGTGGAGGAGGGGCTAGCCTGCCGCTTCCGCTGAAGGTCCTACCATGTCCAGTTTGGTTGAAGCTGCTGATGCTAGCGGTTTCGGGGTTGTTGGAGGAATCGGCAGGGGTGCTAGGTCGGCTGCTCTGCGCTGACCCAGAGGCCGGTTGAGCTGCCAACCCAGGAAATTCTGTGCCCTCGGCCCCAGCAGACGCGACTGCAGGCGAACTGATGCCAATTCCCAATCCTGCCGTAGAAGTCGAAGGCCTAGGCACATGTGTCGACCTCCTCGGCGGAGGCGGTGCCGGTGCGTTCACATGAGTGGTAGAACTGGCAACCTTTAGGCTCGATGACCTTGAGCGGATCGAGTCCAGAGAAGTGCGATTGGGTTCCTCATCCACACGAGACGTCTGTGGTGTTGCCACGGGTGTTGACACAGACCCCGGGACAGACACCTTACTTTCTGAACGGCCATGAGTCGATCGCCTGGGTGGAGGGGGTGGCTTTCTGGATGTTTGTGAAGGAGGCGGTGTGGCCGTTGTTGGCTTGGGCGGAGTTGGCGGTGGGGCAGTCGTTGGGTTTGTCTCTTGCCCCAACTCCAGGACCTTGCCGGCGGCTTCATGGTCGAATGGGCTTTCCAGGTCTTCCTCGCCTGGAGACCTAAGTGGCGGCGGTGGCGGTGTTTTGTTCACGTCCGAAGGCTGTTCTGAAAACGGCGAAGCCAGCACCCGGGACGCGGGGGCAGATGATGACGAAGACGACGGTCTCGGGGTGACTGGCGTAGGGTTAGGGTCCACTTTGATCAACTTCCCATGCCTCGAGCTAGGCGGCGGCGGCGGCGGCGCTTTGCTCCTCGACGACCCTGGTGTCTGAAGTGTTGGGCGTGTTCGCTGCGACTGTGATTCTTCCCTTTCATGTTCCGGACTCCCGTGGGATGTCCGGGACGTGTCTTGGGCAGCTAAAGTCGACGAAGCATCAGTCAGGCTCGCCCCATCGGTCCGTGGTGGTTGTACCGGTCCTCCTGCTTGGCCTGTTAAAAGAAGCCGTCGGAAGGAATCAACGTCTAACGAGCCCTTCCCTCCTGGTACCGCACCACCGGGACTCTGTGTTGTGGAGCCTGGTAGCTCCGGTCGTGACAGCGTCGGCGGGAAGGCCTTGCCATCCATTGCGGTGGGAGGCGGCACCTGGGCAAATGGATCCGCGCCTCCATCTTCATCATCACTGGAACTACTTTCGGCCGTATCCTCCTCCACCGGTGGGTATGTATCGGGTTCTTCCTCCGACTCGGGAGATGGCGGTGGTGACTGTACGCGGACCTTCTTCACGACTTTTGGTTTCTGGAAGCTTGTCTTTGGAGGTGGTTCGCTGGACTGCCCCAGAGACTGGAGAGAGTTGCGGAAGTCATCGCTGGACGGTAGTGCCGGTCGCGTAGGGTCTAACGAAGACGAGGAAGAGGTAGGGAGAGGGTCGAAAGCGTGGGCGAAGGCGTCGGAGGCCAGCTGAATGGGAGGGTTCGAAGTCGGAGTCGCTTGTTTGCGCCGAAACGGGTTGTTAGTGCTTAGGGACGATGGTTGGGCCATTGTGTCGATCGTTTTGTTGTCCGTTAATTAAAAGGTCGAGGTTGCTTTGCTTGCTTGCTTGCTGCTTGCTTGAGTGGCAGGGTGCTAGCAACCCATTGTCATGTCATTCCAGTTTCCCAATGGAAGCAGCTCTGTGCTGGCACCGGAGCTGAAATGTTTCATCAGAGAGTGGTCGAGCAATGGATGGCCGTGATGATTCGAGGCTGCTACCTAGTGTCGAGGTAATCAGAAAACCGGTAAGCTCGGCAGGCGGTTGCGGGGACGAGGCACAGCCAGCTCTTGATTTGGAACTTTTGTTGGGGGGCGCTGCGATTAAGCGAAATATTTATTGGGCTGGCTGCCTGGCCGTCGTTGTTGTCGTCGTCGGTCGGGTGTCTCTCGCAGTCCGTCAACGTAATGGTTGTGAGTGGATGATGCGTCGTGCGGGATGCCGTGAACAAATCGGCATTGAGCTGTGTACCTAGGTAAGAGCTAAGGGCAGTGTAGACTACACTAGACCGGAGTCACAGTGCTCATGTCACCAAACCACCTTACTATTGGCTCCGTGCCGCGACAGGAATAGTGGGTCCCGTGTTTGCCATTTCCCACCCACGCTCATGAGGCACCTTTTCGGGCACTACATGGGCCATCAGCGCAACTGAAGGTGCCAGCTTTTTTGTCATTGGTGTGCCACCCTTCACTCTACACCATCTTCCAACTCCATTGAACATATAACCACGACCTCACCCTCCCTTCCGTTGTCGCCATGTCGTCTCATCAGGTATGCCTTCTCTCGTTTGCGTTGTCATGGTTCGCAAGCTAAATTTGGTCTCGGGATGAAAACAGAGGACGCAAGCGCAAGCAATCGATTGAGAACGCGCTCGAGCCCGGCCCCGGCCCAGACCCGAAGAACCCCATTGCATTCTGGGCCGAGCACGGACACTGGCCAGAGGAGCAGGACTCCCCCATAAGCCATCTACTTGCGCGCAAGAAATCTTCATTCTATGATGAAAAGAAATCTTCATCCTATGATGATATGTCCCGTAAGCGACCGAGCTCTACCATCACGGCCACGACGCCCAGCGACCAGAGGCCGAGGGAGGAGAAGAGCGCCCCATATGAAGACCCGCGCTATGAGACCTTGCTCGAGCTCAACGGCAGCTACATGGTCGAGGATCCTGTAGGATTAGCCAGCGCCAGCAGGGATCTTTGTCGGTCTCTCCTCGAAAACTCGCAGCCAATTCCAAGCGATACACTCTTCCGAGACGACATCTTCAAAACAACCATCCAGAACCTGCGCCAGAAAAATGAGGCGCGGGTGATTCAAGATATCACTCGGCTTATTGTCCCTTCAGCCGAAAATCTTTTTATCTTTGGTGGTGCAAAGCACCTTGATGTCCTAACCGAGAGTGTTAACGAAGGGTGGAATAATTCGATTCCCTTGACTGATCCCCGTCCACAGCCTGACTATTCCGTTGGGTTCAGGCGTACTGCATTTACCAAGGACCAATTCGACAAACTATCACCATTTATTGGCGACTTCCTCGGCGGGGATCAATCATTCTTTATGGCTACGTACTATATATACTTCCCATTCTTAACCTGTGAGGTGAAGTGCGGCGCCACCGCGCTCGACACCGCAGACCGGCAGAATGCCCATAGTATGACCCTTGCGGTACGGGGTATTGTCGAACTCTTCCGTTGTGTCAAGCGCGAGAACGAGGCTAACCGGCAGATTCTCGCCTTCTCCATTTCACACAGTAACGAAGACGTACGGATCTACGGCCACTACCCGGTAATAAATGGAAAGGATACTAAATACTACCGCTATCTGATCAAGAGGATTGATCTCATCGACCCAGACGGGAAGGATAAATGGGTAGCGTATCGATTCACCAGGAATGTCTACGACATATGGATGCCCGCTCACTTTAAGAACATCTGTTCTGCCGTTGATCAATTGCCGTCAGATTTGGATTTTGGTGTCCCACCACTCTCTGGGGCATCCGGACTTTCCCAGGATGAGTCCGTCGAACAGAACAGCCGGTCAAGCAACGCTGGTGTCACCCCAGACACTTCGTTTACAAGACCGGAAGCAAGACCGGAGGCGGCAAAAAGGCGGAAGGGTCAAGCCTAGAAGTGGATGGTTTGGATTGGGTTACCAAGGATGTAGGGGGGAACAGTATGGTTGAAGATCTGAAGGACCGAAGTTGCTTACTTGTTATTTTGTTTTGGTTTTTGTTTTTGTTTTTTTTTCCTTTCTCCTTTCTCCTTTTTCTTTTTTTTTTTCTTCTTTTTCTTCTTTTTTTTTCTTTTCTTTTCTTTTCTTGGGTGGTTAGATAGGAACAGACGCCAGTGTAAGAAGCCTGGCACGACACGAAGGTGATGGACTGAAGTCTGTCTTGATGACAGTGATGATGATGGATTCATCGATGATTCTCTGAAAAGCTCCGTCTCTGGGTGACAGACGGATTCTCCGAAGTCTGTCTTAAGTACAATTGACCAGGTCGTTACCAAACCTGACTTCCTTGGTGCGCTCTTGCCTGACAAGGCAGGCGTTCCAGCAAGTCCGACCTGGGAGTAGTCAGACAAGACATGGGAAACCATGCCTCCGTGTCTGACCTCTCACAGCCAGGCATAACCCGACTGACTATGACAGTAGGTACGGATCCAGCCGTTGTGGGAGGGGGTGTAAGGTAAGGGAGGACTTCTCATTGTTCCCGAGAAGACGGCTCAGGCAGCTTAGATGATATTCTTTTAAGTCGCTGCGTTTCCCCCAAGCTACCCCAAGCTACTCCAATCAAACTATCCTTCTCCTCCACCAGACTGCCTTCCTTGTTTACTTTGGTGATCTTTGTCCGTGCCTTCGTTCTTTGTGTACTTGGTGATCTTCGCTCTGGCCAACCAACGAGGCAGGTGGGCTTGACGAGGAGCTTCATGAAGTTTGCAGATGGAGCTCGCAACCCTTGAGACCTATTGTGCTGCTGCATCACTGTACTACACTGTATAGGTACAGGTCAAAAAGATGCATGCATGACTCTTGCGGCCGAAGGGCATGCGGCATTCTGAGTGGCAGAGTATTCAAGGCTCGGTGCGAGCTTTCTTTGCGCCGTCTCTCTAGTATAGCAGATGCTCTCGCAATGGCAAAGCACGGACTGATAAACCCAGATCCGGTGATAGTTCATCCCGGCCGGCCTACTTTGCGGAGTTTGGCGGTCTTCTGGAAACCCTCAACAAGAACAAGAATATAGAAACAATGCCAGCTCAATGAATCAAAGTCAAAGCTAGCTACTCTACTCCTGTGAAGGAAGGTGAAGACATGATGCCTGATGATTGGACCAACCCATGCGCTGCAACAACGCTCCGATTTCCGCCCAGGACGGGAAAGGCCCCCGTGGAACCTTTTTTTGTGGATCTCCTGCCCATCGTATGTAGTTTATCCCTCTCCCGTCCTTCAGCCTTACCACAAGGTTACTTATCTTCGTCTGGCGAGTCGCCGTTCACGTTGCTTCCGTCTTGTTTCGAAACTTTGAAACTCTTGCAACCAACCACCAGTCAGATCACGGTTCAGGTAAAAGCTTTGTCAAAGCTCCTGTAGTGTCTAGTGTAAAGCTTGAAGCGCACGGGCCAAGCGTTTAAAAGTCAACGGTCAAGGTGCAACCAACGGTGAACCTTTTCTTCACCTTCACCTTCTTCTTACCTCCATTCTCCAAGTTCAACCCGTTCGGAACGTTCGCCATTGTCCCACGGAGTTCAAGTTGAGCAGAATCCTTTCGCCGGCCGCATGCGGGAGGCGCAGTTCGAGGACTACCTACCAGTATGACTTTTTCTATTTCTATTTCCAGTTTCAAAATTGAATCCTACCGGACATTCCATCTCCTGTGTCTCTAGGGTGAAGAGACTGTCCGCTCAATGGTCTTATCTTTTTCCGTTGATAACTGAGTCCATCCAGTTAACAGGAAATGCAATCTTTCTTCGGTCAACACGATAGTGTGTCACAAGCCCGTCAGTTGCCCATGTCTCAAATGTTTCTCAACCAAGGCAGGCTATGTTCTGCTGTGTTTTGCCGGCAAAATGTCAGGGCATCAAAATTGTAAACAAACCTTGAGCAGGGGAGCGAGGAGTGAGTCCACAACGAAGCGCGGCGGCGCCCGGCCTCCGCAACGATCGCGCCCCGCCCGCGCCAGCCCGACTCCGTTGTGCTCGTTCCAGCCAACTCTTCTGCAATCGTTTCACCAGCACCCCACAAAAGTTGCCAAAATTGTTGCAATGTCATCAAAAAGGGATTTGCGAATTCGGCCATAGCGAAAGGGTATCCCATTTGTGGTATAGTACAGATGAACTGGAAGCCATCGGTCTGGACTCCTACCAGACCGCCAGATCATCGCTTCAAGATCCTTCGCTCCAAACCTTCGTATTCATCGAAACTGCACTGCAAAATCCGCCCAGGTAACCATGTCAAGATCAAAGGGCAAAGCGCTTGCTCAGGGTATTTGAAAAAAAAGTGGTATCGTTCCAAGGCGGATTATATATGCAATGCAGTATTCAAAAAAGGCTTTTGGTGTGTATGTCCTTCGCTTCTTTGACACCTTCGAAACACCGCCGGTCGCCCGTTTCCAATCATCCATAGGTTGTAGCCCAAACCAGCCGGCCTCTCTCTAACCCTCCGTCGTGTTTCACCACAAACGATTCAACCTCCTCCCGATGAGTAATGTGTGAATCCAAGATACATGAAAGCCAGAAACAAGAAGCTACCCCCCCCGCGCGCTGTGGCGATGTTGTGAAAAAAAAGCAAAACGCGTTTAGTAGTAGACCAATGAACCCCTCCTTATGTTGATAGTGTTCCCAAGCAATATGATTCCGCCAAACGCCTTTCGAGTAAACCCGTCACGTCGCAAGTGGTGGTGAAAAAAAATGACTAAAGACATCATGAGAAGACCGCAAGGCGCAAAAAAAGACAAAAACTTCATCCTGATAGGACGAGTTTATGCCTTCTCAGCAGCAGGCTCGGCCTTCTCGGCCTTCTTGCTGGCGGCAGCCTTCTTGGGAGCAGCGGCCTTCTTGGCGGCGGCAGGCTTAGCGGTGCTCTTGGCGACACGACCGGACTTGGTCTTGGTGAGGACGGTCTCCTTGTCGGCAACGGCAGGAGCAGCGGCCTTCTTCTTGGGGGCAGCGGCCTTCTTCTCCTTGGTCTCCTTCTTGGGAGCGGCAGCCTTCTTGGGGGCAGCGGCCTTCTTGGCGGCAGGAGCCTTCTTCTCCTTGGTCTCCTTCTTGGCGGCACCCTCCTTCTTAGCGGCAGGCTTGGTCTCCTTGGTCTCCTTCTTGGGAGCACCCTCCTTCTTGGCAGCAGCCTTCTTGGGAGCAGGCTTAGCAACCTTCTTGGCGAGCTTGGTGCCACCGGAAGGACCTATCTTGTGTGTCAGCATGCAAGAGTAACACAAGGAGATGCTTCATGTGGTGAGAGGTGACATACCCTTGGGCTGCTCAAAGATACCCTTGTCGACACCGTTCTTCAAGGCCTTGTTGAAGAGCGAGTCGAACATGTTGTCGGTGACGTTGCCGATGGTGTTGTTGGCACGGACATACTTCTTGAGAGCTTGACGGCTGTGGTGTGTGTTAGCAACATGCTGTGGTCCTTGATCGCGTCATGAAAACAAAGAGTGACGATCGGTGCGACCGTGGGAAGGGCCCGCAAGGTTTGCGGTGTGGCTTGGCAAAGCCCTGGTGAAAAATGAGAAAAGTGAGGAGAAAATTCCCACATACCTAGATCCAGTGCGATCCTTGAGCTGCAGCATGACAAAAAGAAGGAATCAGCATAACTGAGGGATGGTAAAAAGGCAGTGAGTGGTGTGGGTGACTCTTGGTTGCGTGCATCATGAGAGCAGTTGTCTCAATTTGCTCACCGACCAGAAGCGCCCACAGCCAAACACGCCACGACAAAAATGAACGGGGTTAAATACCGCAACAATGGCATCAGTGATCATATCCTATCAACATGTTAGCAAAGATGCATTCCTTCTCTGATTCAATGAAGCTTACCTGGTAAGAGGCATGAGTGCTGGGGCTCTTGCTGGTCTTGGGAGCAGAGGTGGGAGCAGCGGCGGGAGCAGCAGGAGCGGCGACAGAGGCATCGGCGGCCTTGGACTCGGTCTTCTTGGGAGGCATGGTGATAGGGCTAAAGGCTGAAGATGTTTTGCTGAAAATGCAACTCGATGAAAGGGCGACGATTGAGCGATTGGAAAACGCTGGATTTGGTGTGAGCAAAGTTGAGGTTGGATCGTGGACAGAGAAACAAAAGACGAGAAGGTGGGCGGGCTGTCGCGCTCGAGAGGGGAAGATTGGGTGTTTATATACGGAGGCGGGGTCTCCTGGCGCGACCGAGTGATTTCGCTGATTCTTCCCTGACCTCTCCTGCGACCCGGGGGCCTCTGTGACCTCCTGGAAGCCGCTACCCTGGGCGCCACCGCAGCCCATTTCCCGGGGGCATGTGGCTCGTGCACCTCACTAACACACGCTGAAAGAACGAAAGACGGGAACCGGCAGTGGCCTCGATTTCCCTTGTTGTCAAAAAATGTGGAAGCTGGGGCTCCGGACTTTTTCGCTTGTCTCGTAGGGGCGAAGGGGAAGAGGAGTTTCCAGGTTCCATGTCACTTGACGATCCGGGACTGGAGCTTGTGGTCGGATTGTTGATGAGATTTCAATTCCCTTCCCTCTCGGTTCCCCCTTCCCCTTCCCCTTCCCCTCCCCTCCCCTTGTCTTCCCGTTTCCATGGGCCCGGCTGGAGATGATGCTGCCCCATGTCCCATCGATCCCACTTGTTCCTTTTCCCTTTCCCTTTCCATTTCTCCTCTTTCGCAACTGAGGGTCCAGATGGGTGCGGATGTCGATGGATGCCCATTCCAGATGGAGCTTGGTCCTGGACGGATGGGATGATCTGAGGTGGGACACGGCATCATTTCACTGGCCCAAAAAGAAAGATGCCGCCCGTCACCTTTCCTCGTCAACTTGCAGTGTGTGAGGTGGCATGGCATGTCGCATATCGGTCGGCATGGCTGGCTGGCTGGCTGGGCTGGCAAACCGAAGCCATCTCTCTTCAGCATCTCGCCCATCATCTCTCTACTTTTCCAAGAAAGCAACGTCAACCAACAGGACCTTGCATGGCTACGTTTTCGACTCGACGGCACATTACTCTCCATTGTTTCAACCAAGTCCCCGGATAGCTGCCCGATTGCTTATACATCAGATCCCAATGGATACATGGCAGATCCGGACCTCCGAGTCGCTTAAGCTGCTACTGACCTGACAGATTCCTACCTCTGTCTCTTCACTCACATAACATGACAGATAGAAACAGAACAGTCTTGGTTCGGCAGTACTGTCTATGACACAACCGGACGAATTCACCCTCAGCTTGCGACACCTCACAGCTTGGCACTGGCGCATTCTTTCCTCATTTCACCCGACACCACATGGCCGGCACCACACTCGACGCAAATGGGATTGAAGCAGATCACAGAGGGTAGGGGGGCCCATGACGAGGTTTGGACAGAGCTGGCGTGGCAGATTTCTTCAAACGGCATGCCTTTCTCGATGACTGCGACGCTGGCACTTCGGCCAGTTGTGAGGCCAGTTTGAGACGCAGAGCTGCCCTTTGCTGGCCGCCACACCGTTTTGACGCTTTCCCGCTTTGGGCGACGAATCAAATCAGATGCAACAAAAAACTCGCAGGGCATGCGGAATTCTGATTGGGCAGCCCAACCACAGGTCATCCACTTTGTACCTCTGGTTGTCAATCATGCGCACCCCACCATCGCCGGCCGTCGACTCTGACCTCTGATTTCGAGAGCTCCCCGATCCCCCTTCTCGACTTCAAAACCGCTTTCCTCGACTTCTCTCGCTTCTTCGCTCTGCCGCCCGGCCGGAATCAAAGAGCGAGAGATTCGCCCTTTGTTTCGTCCGATTTTGACATACTTTTTAGCGCAAAAAATGGCTGCAAAATGCCACTTTACGTCATGAGGTCGGAGGAGCTCCATCCTCGCGGCCGTCGCTTTCTGCGTCGCGTTTTTGCATCTCGTCATGCCCTTCGTCGCAACTGGTACTTTGCAGCGAATTCGTAACAGCACAACACCAACCCCTGTTTGAGTAAATCAAATTGCTATCATCATTTGAAGAATGCCATTTGGCTTCATTTTGCATCGTTCTTTTTGCAATTGGAGCTGTGAGGGGTGCGTTATCTGCGATCGTGTCGGAAGTCACCCGTGATGGTTCGTCGCGCGATCGTGAAGCTATCCACGAAATGACCAGTGTCAAGCTGTTCGGCGTACCGCACCGCACCAAGTTGTCGAAATTTCTTTAAAGCGTGCTGAATCATTGCTATGAGTCTCTGCTTGATGTCTGTTACTTTCTTGATCGATTCTTTTCGCTTGCAAGTGCAGAAAGTTGGTTCAAAGTCAAGAGGTGTCGCGATGCGTGAAGGTCGTGCGATCACGCAACTGCACATTCACCACTCTGAGATGCATTGCACACTTCCCAACACAAGTTCAAATGTCAAAATTCATGTATGTACTTGGCCGCAATAGTCTCTTTATATCGAAGATTCTTTTACTTGACAATCTGTTCTGGATTGCGAATGTTGCGGGCTGAATAGTTCACGGTCGCCGCGTAATCTTCCAAACTGGCTTGAGTTCACGCACAACGAGGCTGCACTCAACATCACCAACCGACTTACACATCAGCATCACAGTCTACGGCTCCCTACATGCATTGCACAATTGAAATCCATTTCTTATCATCCAAAAATCTGCTTCAGATTCATTTCCCAAGTCACCACCAGCATAGTCAACAATTACAGTTGGCCCAGAAAGATAGCACAAACCTGGCAAAACCAAGCGACACCGACCGGCCACATCCCCTTTCCTCACGAACGTGCGGGTGCCGTGATGCCCTTGCTAGCCTGCCGAGCCCTGGCTGCCCATCCAGGTCCCCTCACTAACAAGGCGGACCCCTATTCGGTCATTGGGCCAATTCCTTATCTTATCTGTGTAAGAAAAGGTCCCGTCCACCTTGCATCCGAACCCCATTCCTCAACAACTGACCGCCCGCGGCCTAGCGTCATCAAACCCCACCTTTGGCCTTGTCCCCTTGCCAAGCCTGCCAGCATCCAATGCCGCCGGTCAATGCCTGTCTGCCGCATGGAAGCTCAAACTGCCTGCCGGATACACCCCCTGCTGAGGCAATGCCGCTGCCCTGCCCTGCTCTGCTCTGCCGCAACGGCAACGCAGCCCTACAGAGGCCCGGACCACACCGCAACAGGATTGAGACCCACTCACTTCGCAACATTCCATCCGTGGAACTTTTCCAATTCCATCCATCCCACACCGCGCGCCATGTGATCCACACACCCAACTCGACCGAGACCCGACCAGACCGATCCACACAGCCGTCAAAAATGAAAAAACTCTTCAACACCCACCCTTGTCTTGGACTACCGCTTTTTCTCACTCCCGTCGGATTTATCCCCCCCTGTCCCACTAGTCCTACTCAAGTTTAGGAGTTGTGCTGTCCTGCCATCCGCTGCGAGTCACCCGCGGTCCTGATAAATCCACTGTGTTCTTTGGATAAATCCACGGCCCCCACATCAAAGCCGCAGCAAAACACCAAGTAGCACGGGCCACGATGCTTCGCCTGTGCCCGTCTAAGATTGAATATTAGTCGCTAGCAACTATTTCTATTACCCAGTCTTATTTTGAGATTGGTTTCCCCTTGAGCATCGAGCGTGAAGCTCAAGTTCCAAGTTGCATTTCAAGGATAGCGAACTGAGCGTGTGTACAGGAACAGGACCTGGCTACACTTGAAGACGGGAGCTAGGTAGGTATCGGCATGACGGAACAGAGCAGCCCTCGTTTCCTCCGTCGCCAAAGCCCTTGATTGCGCTTCCAATCCCCTGGGGCTTCTGGCTATATAAAGAGCTTCGCGGAGAATGTCAACGGATTCCTCTTTTTTCTCTTCCTCTTTTCCCTGCCTTGCGGTGTTGACAGAAGACTTGGTATTTTGCTGCGGCTTTGATGTGGGTACAGTGGATTTATCCAAAGAACACAGTGGATTTATCAGGTTCGGTCACCCGCATGCTGGAACTTGCCAAGTGGCTCGCTAAGTCTGTCAGCCCCATCTGCTACGTTGGCGCTCCGGCATGCAGGTCCTTTCCCCGATCTACTAGACCGTATGTGGGAAGGATAAATCCGACGGGAATGAGAATTAGCGGTATACAAGATGATGGAACGAGTAAAGCAGTCAACCAAACAATGGCAGCTCATTCAGCTGCCCGGCTAGCTCAATCGGTAGAGCGTGAGACTCTTAATCTCAAGGTTGTGGGTTCGACCCCCACGTCGGGCTCAATTCCCGGCGTTTACAACGCCTTCTCTTTTTTGCGTTTTTACTATTGTCGTGTTACTATTTTGCTATTGCTTCCCATGTTGTTTTGGGTAAGCAGCCTATACTATCTCTTTCACTTGTCTCTTTTTTTTAGTCTGTGAGACGGATCAATGATCATGACTTCTGTGACTACGAATGAGAGGTGGAAGGTTCTTCTGTTTTGCGCCTTCTCCGGTGCAGGTAGATAGAGTAAGTATGTTTTATTTGACTGAACTGGACAAGGCAACCCAAAGCTGTTCGTTGCGCTTCAAGGACGACTTAAACCTGACATTGTTTCACCGTCTCGAGTCTCGTCAGTATGTTGCTTCATTATTGACATCGTTATCATTATCAAGATGGAACAAACAAACAAAACTCGACTTCTTGCCATAAACATATCCAATTCGAATTTGTTCCATCCCAGCCACTCACTCACAGGCACCTGCTTCATCTCTTCAGATATCGACTTCTGTCAAACGATAGACTTCCAAAGTTCCGGAGGTTGTTGAATTAGGACAGACAACCACTCATCTTTTTTGTCCAGTTACTTACTAGCGTCTAGATAGGAGTAGACCGTGCCACTGCTACTCCGCAATTGTGCGACCACCATGATCCTTTTTGACGTTCCGATGAAGTACATACATCGGGTTATTTGGACGGGAAGGACTCTGAAGAAGTGCATTTGACTTGCGGCTGGACTCTTCTTTGTGTGTGCGGGTTAGGCTTCGCTTCATGTGTCGCATCTCTCTCAGTATCCATGTTAAAGAACTGTCTAGGTAGGCCCTTGATAAGTGGCAGGCAACAAGCACACTATTGTATTGACCTTTCCAATATCTCGCGAAACTCAAAGCAGATTCTGTTCAGCAGAGCTCGGCGGGGACCGTTCGTTGTCAGTAGCAATTATCATAATTCCCGGTAAGCAAGTTCATTTCTTCTTCCACGCAACAGACGCCGAGGCGAGATGCACCAGAACACGACGGAGTTGTCAACTCTACTGGATCTGAAACTTGCGATAGGCGAAATGTCCGAGTGGACGCATTAATGCCGGACGGAGTGCGTAATGTCATTCAAATGTTCTTTTGAGTTAACACAATATTTAAACTCGTCCCCTATGACTGCCTGCTACTCGTCATCGTATTGATTACAATAGCAGAGAAGTTTATTCACATTACGTTGCCACCCAGATGGGACATTATCTTCCTTCCTTCACCCACGCTGCCCACGTAAGACGAACACACCCCCTTTGCAAGGAAGACTTGGAAGACAGAAAGAATCAGAGTGCATGCAAAAAGAAGCAAGGAAACTAGCAGGTGACTTGACTGACTGACTGATGTGCGTGCGGCAATGAAAACAGCGAAAAAGAAATTCAAAAAGAAATTGGACGAGCTGGGAATCGAACCCAGGACCTTTCGCATAAAAGTTTCACAATCTGGAAGATAAGAATGTTATAAGTATGCTAAGCGAACGCTCTACCAACTGAGCCACACGCCCTTCTAATTGGTTGTTGGAAGATCTCCAGATAATTGTACCTATGTACCTAGAAACTGGCAACTTCAATGGGCGCCTCCCGTAGTGAGTGGACAAGATCAAAGGGCTTGAGTTGTACTTGCTTGATGGATCTGGATAACGAATTGACCCCCAGCAATATTTCGTTCAATGGAAAACAAATACATATCCAAAATTTGCAAGCATCAACAACACCAACTCCGACATCCAAGTGAATCCAGCCCATCACCTCACCTCGCCACATATCCACCAGAAACGAAACGCACCTCTCATCTCCCCATCTCCTCCCCCTACTGAACAGGCACAACAACCCTATCAACATCCGGTCCCCACCCTCCCCCCTCCCACCCGCTCACCACAATCGTATTCCCACTCCCCTGCCTCAACCCCCTAACCACCACACTACTAACCCCAACTTCCCCCGCCGTCCCTTCAAACGCCACTTTTTGAGGGGATCCCCCATTGACACTAACAGCCGCGTACCTGGGCCCGGTATCACCATTCACATACCGAATTTGCAAAGTTGTCACTGCTCCCTCTCCTCCATTACTCTGGATGCCCGAGATCGTGACGCTCCCGTTGGTACCGCCAGTGCCGCCAATGTAACCAGCTGCTTTGCCTCCTGAACATTTCGAGCAGGAGACTTCCTTCGCTCCTCCGGCGTATTTTCCTTGCGCCTCACCCTCGTAGCTTGTTTCTGCCGGGCTTGCTGCCCATGTTCCCCCTCCTGTACCAGCGTTGGGAACCCAACTCCCGCGGTTGTTCATCGTGACTTTCGTCCCGCTGATCTCAAGCGGTAACCAGATATAACTACTCGTTTGTAGGTTTTTGCTTTTCCAGCGATCGCCCATGTACATCACATTCCCTCCCCCATAGTCCAAGACAAAGGTGGTTTGAGAGGCATAAGTGTTACTCCCCTTATCGGCAAAAATCTGCCAATCAGACCAAGGGCCCGAAAGAGAAGTGGCGGTGGCGTAGACGTTGTCGTTGGGGTCCCAACCGGTTAGGTGCGAGCCGAAGATGTAGTAACGACCTGTACCGGAAGAGGAGAGCTTGAGGAGGGCGGGGGATTCGATGGCGGTGGGGAAGAGGTGGGTTGAGGTGCTGCCGGATATGGATAAGTAGTCGGGGGAGAGGGGGTTGATGCGGAGGCCGTTTTTGCGCTGTGGGATGGGCGAAGGAGAGGGGGGTGGTTAGTTGGTGGACTGAGGGGGGAGGGGGAAAGAATAAACTAAACGCACATCTTCGGTCAGCAAGTAGGCCTTGCCATCATCATCCTTAAACAGCCCCATATCCCTACTCTCCATCCCCAACGGCCTAAAACTCCCCTTATACTCGTACTTCCCTCCACAAACCGTATCACTCGTCGCCACGCCCACTTTGGCGTCTCCGTAGTTACTGCTATCCACATGCATCCACATCACATATTTCCTCGTCTGGTCGTTGTAAATGACTTTTGGTCTTTCAATGATCCTGTTCGGTCCGAGGTCGCCCGACGTTCCCGTCCGCGAAAGTAAGGCGCCTTCGTACTTCCATTGCACGAGATCGACGGAGGAGTAGCAGTTCACGGCGAGAAAGGAGGAGCCTTGGGATTTGTCTTCGCCGATGAGGTAGAAGGTGGAGTTGACCCGGATTACGCCGGCGCCGTGGGCGTTGAGGTGGTCGCCGTTGGACTTTTGGAGGATTAGGTTAGTATGGGATTTATGTGTGTGTGTGTGAGAGAGAAGGGAGAGAAGAGAGTGGTTATACTTACGGCTGTCCATGTCCCTCCGGGAACGATTTGTAGGGCAGCGAGGGCTGTTGATGTGGCTAACCCCAGGATTGAGACGGCGCTCAGAAGGCGGCGGTGATGCATTGCTTTTGGTGGTCGCCTTCTCAGATTATCTCTACAACAAAGCGAGCGGTCAATCTCTCATCGCTGCTTTTGACGGGATATCCGTTGTTTATGACTCTCAATCTCCATTCCATTTTGGTTCACTGGGAGGTCTCATGATCCCAAAATTCGGCCATCACCCCAGGTCGACGACGTCCCATCCAAGCGACCTTGACTCTCCAGTTTCAAATGTCCCAATTCGTGGGGAAACATTTTTGCCTGTTTGTCCCCCGGTCCCGTCGATCAGAATACTACGCCAAAAAGCCGGTAGGCGAGTTGGCCTCGTTCATGCGCACCTGTTGGGCTGTTTCTTGTATATTAGTACCCTCGAGGTATAATAACGACGAATTACCAGATGAGGAGCAACGGTGTAACTCGGCCGACGAATGTGCCTAGATGCCGGATGAGTTGGGATCGATGATGGAACCCATGACACGTCGATGCGATGGAGGGTTGAAAAGGCATTTCGATCGAAGGATCATTCTGTCAGACTGTATTCCCAAACACAGGCATCCAATACCTCCCTCAACCCGTTGAATCCTTCAATCCTTTACCGACCGACCGGCCTCTCACCCCCCTCGGTGTCGGAACCAGCAGCCCGCTGTCAGTGTCATATCATCCTTCTTCCGGGAGGGGGTTAAGGTGGTTAGGTGGTTCCGTCAGGTAATACGGCGGCGCGCCCTTGGAAAGTAGAAGTATGGTAGAACGTAAACCCTCCGTGTTACGCTGGGTGTACCGGTCCGGTCGGTGTGTTGTTACACTTGCACTTTTACACCGGTTGGTGGTTGGTGGTTGGTGGTTGGTGGGTGTGCTAGTGTGGGAAGTTTGAGGGTTAGGGTATTGTATGGCGTTTACATCATGATGGTTGGCTGATGTCAAAATGGGTATCTTTCCACACTTGGGAACGAATAATAGAAATGATGTTGGTTCAATCTCAAAGGAAAGTTCAAGTGCCAACAACCTTCCAGGCCGAAATCGCAGTAGACATTGACAGTCATTACATCCCTTGCTGTACAAGTGGACAGTAAGCCAACCAGAACGGTTCCTGCCGGCCTGAGACATGTCTCTTGCTCTTGTCAATGGCAGGTGTCCAAAGCCGGAAAGAGGAGTTGACTGACGTGGGATTCAACCGTCCTTGCGACAATTGCATCATCTTGTCTGCGGTCCACCGCGGTGCACATTGTTTCTATTGTATAAAATCGTATCGTATTTGGTATTTAACGGGGTCAGTTCCCTTCCGTGCCTTCCATGTCCAGTTACCATCCTTCCAAAAGTATAGCGAATGCTTCGTTTGGAGTGCAGGATTCATCAATCCTTCCCGTCGATGGGAAAAGCAGAAGGATTTGACGGGCTGAGGCTGACGGACAGGATGGATGCGTGCAATTGCCGATTCCAGTATCTGCAACACCTACAAGTAGCCTGTCATGACGCCTATTCGTTTCGTTGCGCGCCCTTTGGGAATGGGCTTTGTCGTTTGGGCTGTTGTGCGACAAGCCACTGCATCATTGCACAGGTACTGGAGAGGAGAGAGGCCGAACGTTTAGTAATCGTAATGGGTAGAGAAGGTATGTTGCCGAGGTCGGTGACGGTTGGTATGACGCCGGGAGTTTTTAGTGTCTTTCTTCTCCTGTTGAACCAACATGCAACATCCAGTCATTTCTTATACCACGATTTGGAATCTGTTTGAGTTATGTGTTGGTACTTGACTCCAGAATCCAACAGCTTGTTCTTCCACTCTTATTAATACATACAACTGAACCTCCAATTCCTTTGTCGTGCAGTGGTCTGCAGAATTACAGACACTGTAAAGTTGCCGAAATGTTGTCACGATCTTGGCGTCCACAATGGTAAAGTCCACTTTTTTCAGTTTAGCGTTGGGTCGGGTTGCCTTAGCCCCGGCTTATCTCCATCCGTGATTGGGCAGTTGGGCATTTAGCGGGCTCCATTGCCATGCAAGAATCCACACCTCCGTGTTCTCCATCCGTCTCTCCGCTCTCCGCTCCCGCTTTTTTGTTTCCATGTGGATTGGATGTCCCTTGTTGGATCTAGACGACACTCATCCTCATCAGCCTCGGACCCGACATCGTAACTCTGCAGACAAGACACCAAAAGAAGGGAAAACATATCCCGAGTTTTTATGTCTGCAAAGAACATGTCCCAGGAGCAATAAGCTTCGTGACTTCACACTCTCCAGTACATCGATCCATCACAGTGGGCGATAACCGAAAAGTATAAAATGACCAAAACAGCAATCCAACCGAAAATACCAAGACTTCTTCGACTCTTCCCGAGTGGGAAAGGTGTGAATGATACCTCGATCCCGCAAACGGCTGGCCGAGGCTCCCCGGCTCCCCGTCCCCGTTCCTCGTCCCCGTCCCCTTTCAAACCTTTCAAATCGCTCCTTCTGCCGTGATACCACCCCCCTCGCCCTCACCACAATGTCATCTGCACGGATAGTCCTGCAGCAGTGCTTGCGTTGTTGACTGCATATGTTCCTGTTCCGTGGGCGATGTTCAAGACGACGTATGGTTGATGACGGACCCCCTGTAAGTGTAGGGAAAGTAAGGTAGCTAAACTCTAGTACCTTACCTATCCTTCTGTTACATCCAGGATGCGAGCCATGTCGCTTTCCATCATCGTTGGCTCGATTTTTCTTCTTATCTAGGCACTTGCCCGCCTCTTCCCCCCTCCCCCCAACAGCGAAAAAAAGTTTCTTTGTTCTGTTTTCCTCTCCTTTTTCTCTAAAACCTGCACCAGAGAACATGAGATCATAATCTCCTCCCTCACCCGTTCAAGACATTGGTCCAAGGTGGACCAACAACCGGGTCCTCAACCATGACCACCACCACAGGAGACATAATGGCCAAGATGCTCGACCATGAGACAGAAAATACGCCTCAACAACAACAACAACAACCACCACCACCAGCGCCGCCACCACCACCACAAGACCTTCCAGCATCAAATTACCCCCTCTCCTCCACAGACGACGTCTCCTCCCTTTCCAAACCACCAGCTAACGAACCCTCCCGACGTCGTCACTCCTCCTCCCACAGCGGCGCCTCCGCAAGCAGCGCCTCCCTCTCCTCGGGCCACCTCGAAGCCCTGCACCAAGACGAAATAGCCTCCATCGAAAACGCCACCCGCCTCTCCACCGTCCAAACCCGCACATCCACCTTCTCCTCGGCCTCCCACCCTCCAGATCTCGAAGTAACTTTCTCTCCCGACGACCCGGAAAACCCAAAAAACTGGCCGCTGTGGTACCGATGCTGGACCATCTTTGCGTGCTCGTACAGCACGTGGGTGGTGGTTTTGTACAGTTCGTCGTACACGGCTATTGTTCCCGGGCTGATGAAGGAGTATCATGTTACCAATCAACCCGTGGCGACGCTGGGGCTGACGACGTACCTGTTTGGATTGGCGTTTGGGTGTTTGGCGCTGGCGCCGCTGAGCGAGCTGTATGGACGGAGGCCGATTTATTTGGTTAGTTTGGGGGTGTTTGCGTTGTTGATTTTGCCTTGTGCGATGCCGAGTAGTTTGGCGGAGATTATTGTGGTGAGGTTTTTTGGGTATGTTTCCTCCCTCTTTCTGTTGTCTTCTCCCGGGTTGCGTTGTGGTCTGATGAAGCGAGTGAGGTGAGCGAACATCTGAGCGAGATGCTGACGACACCAAAACACAGCGCCCTCTTCGGAGCAGTAATGGTCTCCAACTCGCCCGCCACCGTAGTCGACATCGCCAACCCGGACTACCTCGCCCTCTGCATGGCCGTGACCTCGATCGCCCCCCTCAACGGGCCCGTCACCGGCCCGCTTATCGGCGGTTTCGCCTACCAATACCTCGGCTTCCGCTGGGCCAACTGGATCGTCCTCATCCTCTCCGGCGCCGCAGTCATCTTCATGGCCACCATTCGCGAGACCTACGCGCCCGCCATCCTGCGCGCCAAAGCCGCCCGTCTGCGCAAGGAAACCGGCGACGACCGGTACTGGTCGCGCTTCGACCAAAAGGTGTCGACCCTCCAACTCCTCAAGACCAACCTCTCCCGCCCTTTCATCCTAGCAGCAACCGAGCCCATCCTCTGGTTCTTCAACACGTGGATCTCCCTCGTCTACGCCATCTTGTACCTCTGCTTCGTCGCCTACCCCATCGTCTTCAAAGAGCACCGCGGCTGGTCCACGGGGCAAGTCGGCCTGGCCTTTTTGGGAATGGGCTGCGGCACCGTCGCCTCCATCGTTCTCGAACCCTTCTGGCGCTCCATCATCAACAAGCGCACGTCCAAATTCGATGCCGAAACGGGCCGTCCTGCTCCCGAAGCCCAGGCGTACGTCATGACCATCGGCGCCGTCCTCACCGCGTGCGGACAGCTCGCCTTCAGCTGGACCTGTCTCCCGGTATCGATCCACTGGATCGTACCCATCATCTTCGGCGTTCCCTTTGGCATGGGAAACACCATCAGCTTCATCTACGGATCCAACTACCTAGCCGGCGCATACGGTCTCTACGCCGCCTCTGCGCTCGCCGCTAATAGTTTCCTGCGCTCCGTGGCCGGCGGCGTCTTGCCGCTTGCGGGACCGAGTATGTACAGGAACCTGACGCCGCAGATTGCGGGCACGATTTTGGCTGTGTTGGAGGTGCTGCTGATTCCGATTCCGATTATTTTCTACAGGTATGGAGAGAGGATTAGAGGGCGGAGTAAGGTTATTAGGATCATGCGGGAGGAGCAGGCGAGGGAGGATAAGAGGAGGTTTAAGCAGAGCGAAAGGGCCAGGAGGAGGGGTGCAGCGGCTGGGGAGAAGGATGAGGAAAGCGCGGAGGGGAATGGGATGGTGGAGACGGAGACGGCGACGGGTGAGGGGGAGGTCAGTGGGGAGGGGGTGGTGGTTGTGGCTTCCACTTTGGGGACATCAGGGGAGAAAGAAGAAACAGTGAAGAAGGACGATGAAGCGGTTTGATGACTTTTTTGTTTTATGGAAGTGAGCGAAGGTATACATTTGAGTTTAAAAGTTATGATTGACGAGCGAGCGGGATGAATGAAAAGCGATCAAACGTAACGCATGTGACCCGATGATGATGATGCGTACCAAACGTCCAATTGAACCTGAGTAAAAGAAAATGAGGCCAGTCCAAGACAGCCAGGAACAAACGATGAGATCCACAGCATCACGGGCAAAGCGCTCGCCCTTCTTTTTTTTTTTTTTCTTCGGGGGGGGGGGGGGGGGGGTTTCAACCCAGGAGAACTCAAAGGCCTCATCCACCTCAGAGCTGTTGTCCATGTGCTTTCAGCGAGGATGTGTTTCGATCGTTATATCGTCCAAGATCGTGGAATGACAGATATACGTGAGGTCAACTGTTGAGTACACCTCGGATATACACTCAAAGGAAACTTGTTTCTTTCCATATGTCATGATATATGAACTTGCAATTAGACACCAGTGTGCGAAACCAACACCACCAGAAAATCAGTGATCCGCCCCATCCATCAATCCTGTCCTGTCCTGGCCAGCCAGTGCCCATCCCATGCCGTTCCTATTTAGAAGCACCAAGAATGAAACCTTTATTTTCCATGTTTGATTCCCACAGTTATTTTCTTGCCTTTTCTCCCTCAAGGTCCCCCATCTCTTATTCCCATCCCACACAACCTCACTCACCAAACTCAAAGCCCCCTCCACTTCTCCTTCCACCCCCCCTTCTCAAACAACCACATCGCCTCAATAGCATACGCCCTCACACTCACACTCCCCACCCCCTCCTCCACCCCCGCCGCCTCCCCAATACTCTCCAACACCCTTCCCTCCTGGAAACACCTCCACAGCGCAAACGCCAAATCATCCCCCTCACCATCCCTCCCTCCCGCTCCCGTGCCCCACTCCCCCTTTCCAAGACGATACAACATCCTCCCCAGCGTCCTAAACGCAATGCACCTTTGGCTATTAACACTACTCCTCGCCAGCCTGGCCAACTCGGGGATCGTGTAACCCGCTGCCTCGGGCGCCTCGCCGTGGTGATGCAGTCCCTTTGACACCGGGATCTGGCGCGACAGGCGGGGCGGGATCAGGCTACCTTTAAAGTCGAAGCGGAGGGCGGAGACGGGGAGAGAGGATTGGCCGGGGTAGTAAGGGGATTCCTGGTCGGCGGGCGAGTCTTCGGTGGGGAGGGGCGCCATCCAGGCGAGTTTGGAGGGGTCGGCGGGAAGCGAGGGGAAGAATTTCTGGTGCAGGGTGGAGAGGAAGTCGGGGTCCGAAGGGTCGAGGTCGGGAGGGGCGGGGGCGGCGGGGAAGTGCACGCCCTTGAGCTCTTCGTCGCTGTGGTTGTGGGATGGGTCGCTGCATGGGGTTGTGGGAGTTTGTGGTTCGGAGGAGGAGCCGGCGGTGGGAAAGGTCGGCGTGGCGAGGTCTTCGGCGGAGAAGCAGGTCTTTTGAGGGTAGGGCGTGGGCGGCTGCTTGGTTCGGATGGGGAAGCTGCCGGGGGGAGGTTGTTCGGGGGCGAGGTCCTCGTTGAAGGTGACGGTCTTTTTGGGTTTCTTTGGTTGTTCCGTCTCTTTTGTTTCCTCCTCTTGTTCGTCTTCTACGTATGCGCTTTTCGAGGTTGAGGTCTTGATCGAAGGTGGCTTCTTGTAGGAGATTCTGGGGCCGCTATCGTCTGCTTTCTTTTCGGTTGGCTCTTCGGCCGGTTTCTCGGGAATGTCCCAGACTTTGGGGTCGTTGTTGTTGGAGCCGTCCTCGACATTTGCTCGCCGGAGAAGCATCTGGATAAGCCTGGGGTCGAGGCCGTTGAACAGCTCTCGTTGGGCTTCGGCAATCTCTTCTGGCGACATGGAGCTCAGTAGCTTGTTGTTCTCCTCGTCAATCCTTTGCTTCTCGGATTTGATAGGGTCTGCATCGATCTGGGGCTTTGCGCCACTGGTGAACTTGATGGATGGTGATGGTGTTGATGAGGTCGCTTGGGACGACGAAGACGATGGGTCTGCTTGCTGTTGTCGTTGCTTCTTGAAGGCCGAGACTCGTTTCTTGGGAGCTGGGAAGCCTCCAGAGGAAGCGGACGGCGGAGTTGGGAACGAGGGAGGCTTGACCTCACCCACAGCGCGTTCCTTGACATCGAGGATTTCGAGGGTGCCGTCCATCGTGTCGAGTCGCTGTTGCTGTCGTGATCGCTTGTCGAGGTCGCGTCGAGGTGTCTTGGATGTTTATTGGTGTCGTGTTGCCCGGTCGTGGTGACGGCGATAATGGGGGATAATGTATGCGGCGCTCAAAGAGCAGTGGATTCTTTGATACAGATTCGGTCATCCGGCATAAGGTTTAAAGAAATCAAAGGAGGGGCTTGCCTGCCCAAGGAAAAGAATTGTCAGCGGCGGATCCCGGCTTTAAGCCACACCAAGCACTGCATTAGCGTCGATCCAAGACACGGGGAGTACACAGTATTTACGCTAGTATTTACAGTGCATTACCGTGCGCGGCTTGGGGCTCCATTTGGTCCCATTTGGCCCCATTTTCGTCGTCTGTTTCGCGTTTCGTATTCCAAAATACCAAATGCACATGTGCCCGCTGGTCCGGTGGTCTCTAGCAAATGGGTAATCGGCACGTTTGAGAGAAAGACGTCAGTCCCGCCCGCTCATGATCAGCATGAGATGAGCTTGTTTCCAACATTTTTCTCGACTATGCCAAGTGAGCTCATCCGAGTTCCTCTTTGTCAGTCAGTCACTTGATGGATCTTGGCGGCCGTGCTTTGTGTTCGCGGGGTTGGTGGCTATGTTACTGTGAGGGTGGTGCTGCTGAGCATGTCTGAGATCTTGTCATTCAGCGTCGCACCAAGATAATGCGGCCATATAAACACACCGGCTGCAGTACGCACGCAGGAAGAGCACATTTCAGAATCGCAATTTGGTGTTGCAATTCGGTATCACCACGCAGAATGTACCTTTCCCAAGCTGCACTGTGAATTTAAGTCCTTCCAACGAAACCGCAGCCGCGAATCTCTTTCTCTTGCTCCGTTCGTGTGGCTTGACCAGCCAGCCCGTCTAGCCGCATTAACGAGTGTGACGTGCCGGTAACTGAAATTTAGAATGGCAGTTTCGTCGCGGTTATTGTGTCGCTAACGAGTGGGTCACACAAGCGCGGCTCCAAATGTCGCGCAGCATCCATCCCGAATCTGGAACAAGGTATCGGTACGTACCGGTACGGATGCTTGTACCTGACAAGGGGTCTGGAAGTTTGGAGTTGGCTCGTGTCCTTTCCGCCTCTCATCGCATTTTTGTTGCGCTAGCACGAGGTACCCTCGTCGGGTTCGTACTGTGTTGTCCTCTTCTCTCACCTCAACCGCGAATTCCAAAATCTCACACCGGCTGTCTACCACTAAAAGACATCAACGCTGCACGGAGTACACCTAACAAACACGAGACAAATCATCGCTACTACACCAGTTTTGATAGGAATTCAACATCTCCAGCCTCTACATGTTCAACGGTTAGTCAGCCGTGCAGCGGTGCGTGTTGTGTGGAGTCATGCATCATCAACTCCAACCCCAAACGGGTCGGGTCACTAACAAGTCACTTTCCCAAGAACCCCAAAAGAAGCCCTGTGGCCCCTGCGAGGTGTTGCAGTCCAGTCCATTGATTGACTGTGTAACCTTGTTTCTCCATCTCCTTCTCATTGGTTCAAAATCCAACATTTACCTTGGCATTTTCCCTATTCCTCTATCGCTCGCACTCGCTCTTGTATTTTCCCGTTTCCCTCAGGTGAGTGCTAAGGCAAGCCAGGTCCGCACATGGATGTCTGCTAACTGCTTGGCATAGGTAGCACTTTAAGTCTGTGCCTCGGGCTCTGCCTTTTCCTCAACCCCCCAAAATGTTTCTGCTTCTTTTGGTTCTTCCGGCCTGCCGTCATGAGGTCTGGTCTGAGGCCTGGCCTGGCCAGAGCAGAAGGCCATTGCGTTTGGTATTGTCGGGGCCCCGGTTTTCCCTTTTGTCTTGACTTGTTGTTCCTAGCCATGCCCATTTGCATGCAATTGGGAGACCATGGCCATTGCATTACCTGGCCAGCTGCTGGCGCTGCAAAATACAATTAATCGTTCCCAGTCCATTCAACACGTAGCCATCCATCCATCTCCATGCCCCCCATTTCCAATCCCGCTCGGTGTTTTCTATTTCCCCCTTCCTCGCACGACCTCCCACCTCCGCCAATTCTCTCCCCTTCTCTTCTCTCTTCCTCACCAAAACACCCACCGACTTTTGCACTGCAATTGACAAAATCCATCATAACCATTCTCGTTTGTCGGGTTACGCATCTCAAAAGTCGAAAATTCATTTTCGCAAAACCCGCCGCATCGAAGCATCCAGCCCGATTGCCCGTTTCCCCATCCGCTCGGTCGTATTTGGGCATTTTTCACTACCTTGTCGTCAGGTTCTGGCAGGTGGTGCAGCATCTCGAAGAAGTTGAGGATATTCCCAACCGGCAAATCCCCACTTTTTGCAGCACAGGCCGACGAGTTAGCAAGCGGCACAACAAGCTGCTAACAAGCAGGTCACGTTACCACGGCTAGTGCATCCCGCCCCAAAGGGAAACCCCAAAGAGGAACCCCCAAGGCCAAACCACGCACTCCTTGGCAGTCCCTTCATTGGCTGTTCCCGGCAGGCCCACTGCGCGAACCGATTGGCGGCTGTCAACTAATAATACACCCACCCACACCTCCCGGAGCCCGTCACCACATCACAGGGCCAGGCAAGCCAGGGCACATTGAGGAACCCACCGAACACCGAAGCCAGGCCGGCCCAGATCCCAGCCCGCCAGCTCACGGCAAGGCACGACTATCATTATCGGCACATAGCATCTGTACCACGGCACGAGCATTCGATTAAACACGATAGCCGCACCCTTCAGTTTCTACCGTACACAGTTCCGACTCAAAAGACACGACGCGACACGAGAGACACTGAGGACCGCGTACCCGGTATAGTCGATCATCAGCAGAACAGGTACCTGTTCCCGTCGGTACAGCCACGGCCACAACCACACAACTATCCGGTATCTCTTCACTGTCCCATACAACCGAATCGCGCAGAACCGCCGATATGGACGAGATAGTTGTTGATCCCGGTTCTAGCGCCGCCCAGTTCAGTATCATGCAATCGCAACAACTACCCCAACACGGTCCCGAGGTCCGCCTGACCGCTGCCGGTGTACCCCGCAAGAAGCCCGGCCGCAAACCGAAACCCAAAGATCCCGCCGATGAGAACTCGACCGCCACCGAACAACAGCCCAAGCAGCGCCGTCCGCGCAAGCCCAGAGACCCCAATGCCACTCCTATCCAGAGAAAGAGGAAAGCGGCCGCGACCGACGCCCCCGATGCCGCCGATACCGCCGACCACGACACCTCGATGGAGATTGACACCTCGTTGGCTTCTGCCAATCGTTATCTCGGCGGCCCCAGCAGGTCAGAGGCACCTATTATTTCCCTCGATCAACGGGCGCAAAAGATACCCAAACGCGAGACCCATCCCGTGTCCATGAGCCATCTGCTCAACCAAGATGACCCACCGCCGAAGCCCCAGCCTGCCGCTTCCAGACAAGTGTTTGATCCTATAAGAGGCAGTTACGACCCAGTCCGAGAAACCATGATGTCCAGAGACGTTTTCGGCACCGGCTCTATTATGGGTTCGCCCCGCGCACCTACCTCACAACCTGTCAACCGTGCCAGCGCCTCGCCGTCCATTGCGAGCTTGGTTGATCCTCCTGCTCCCCCGAACATCATCTCACCTGTCCCGTCGCACCAAACGCCTTACAACACCGCTGCCACAAAGTCGCGACTCCAAGAGTCAACATCTGCTACTCCTTTATCCTCCAATCCTGTGCGCTCCACGCCACAACAAATCACCAAGCCGCAAATTATCGAAGTCAGGCGTGCCCCTCCGCCGCCTCCCGCACCAGCGGCCTCCCAAAGAAAGCCGTCGCCTCCCAAGAACTCGTTCACTAGTATGTCCACAGTTCCGCCGACGTCTTCAGCAGCAGCCGCTACCAATGCAGCAACAGCGGCTCCATCAACAACAGCTCCTCCTACCAACAACAAGAAGCTCACAGCTCTTGTGCAACAAGAACGCGAAAGCACCCATTCCCGCGGAAACAAGACCGGGAGCAACCACTCCCCAGAAGCTGTCAAACCCGGCGGCGGCAGCAACAGCCTCAAAGATGCCCTCCTTCCCCCCTTACCCACTGTCGGTGGTCACGGCACCGAGCGCTCCATCCTCGACTTTGGCAAAGCCAACCCCGGTCAGGAAATCGAAGCACCCTCTATCAAGATCCACATTCCTCTGAATGGTGAAACGAACAAATACGTCAACTTCATGCGCATGGCCGAGGAGCAGTACGGTTGGGACGCTTTACACCCTCGACAAGCAGCCAACCGGGAGCGCAAAGCGCGCATCGCAGCGGCCACAGCGGCGCTGGAAAAGTCCGTGGGCGCTAGCGGGCGGGAGTCAGGAGAGGAAATGGACGAGGATATCCAGTCCGACGCGGAGAACAGTAACATCGAGATGGGCGGCATGGGCGGTGGCGGTCCTAATCCCACTACGAATGGCGTCGCCTCGGGCCCAGAGGCACCAGCGAAGCCGGCGAGGAAAAAGAGGAATTTCAAGGAGGACGAATACGATATCGATGATGACTTTGTCGACGACTCGGAGATGCTCTGGGAGGCGCAAGCGGCTGCTTCTAGGGATGGCTTCTTTGTGTACTCTGGTCCGCTGATTCCCGAGGTTCCTAAGCCCGAAGTGGCACCCCCGGCTCGTCGCGGACGCGGTGGAGGAAGGGGCAGCAGAGGTGGACGAGGTGGAACAACACGCGGTGGTGCTAGCGCGGGACATGGAGCGGACACGGGTGCAGCGTCGGAGAAACCAAGTGGACGAGGACGAGGCGGTGGACCGGGGAGTAGAGGTGGTCGGGGCGGCGGTGATGGGACGAGGAAGCCGAGGATCACGAAACTGGAGAAGGAGCAGAGGGATAGGGAGAAGGCGGAGAGGGAACGGCTGGCGCAGATCACGGCGGCGGCCAAGGCCAGTGTGGCAGCGGGCGGAGGACCTTACATGTTGGGACTGAGTCCGCCTACTGCGGCTGGAGGGCCGACGGCCATGATGATTGATTAGAGACCACGGAGATCACGTTCAGGTCGAGTAATCAGAGCTAGGTCCTATTGTTAGGTTGGGTGTGGTTGATGTACATCAAGGGAAGAGGCTGATGGCACACTGTTCTTTCATGTTTGTTGTTGTTGTTTCTGGCGTTCTATACACACACACTCACACACATAATGGTTATGAATGGGTCAAGGTACGGATGGATGGGAGAGGCACTGGTTGGCGGTCTGTTGGTGCGTGCTACTTTCGTTCCGTTCCGTTACTAGCATTGCCCTGGAAGGAAAGGAAGGAAGGTGGTTAGGCATCTTTATCAGGAGTCGTCTGCTATCAATAACAGTATCAGTATCAGTCAGTGTCGCGTATCATCATTATCACTAGAGGAGCGCGGTGGTTACCGACCGACACGTACAAAGACAGACAGACCTTTTGCATGTATCTTGTTGTATTGTTGTATTGTTGTATTGTTGTATTGTTGTATTGTTGTATTGTTGTATTGTTGTATTGTTGTATTGTTGTATTGTTGTATTGTTGTATGATTGATCGATCTCGAACAAGATGGAGAATGGGACGAGACGGGACGTAACTGATGGGGGTATCTGATGATGGACGATGGCGAAGAGAAGAAGAAGAAAACGGAACGAGCGAGCGAGCGCTGCCTGTACTGTACGTACCCCTCCCTCCGTGTAGAAACGCGTAATCAATGAGAAGTGCCATCCATTATCGAGCCTTCATTTGCTTCTTAAGTTGAAGGCACTCTAAATCAGCAAAAAGACAAACGAAAAGCCCAATTCCATTCGCAGACATAACTCATGAACTCCTACAAAAAACAAACAAACAGTACAGAAATCCTCCACCATAAACATGAAACCATAAAAATCCAATGAACCCATCCATCCATCCATATGTACAGCAACTTACCAGCCAACACAGTTCTATCATCCACACTCTCCCACCCTCCCACCCTCCTAGTCCATCACCAACCAAACCAACCAACCCACCCTAAGCCTCAATACTAGCAATCGTAAGCTCCGCCGTCTTCTCCATGGCCATCGCCTCCCTCTGTCTCTCTTCTCGCTCCATCCTCCCCCGCCGTTCCCTCTCCTCTTTTTGTCGTCTCTCCCTTTCGCGTCTCTCCTTTTCTTCCTTCTGATGTTTTTCTCTCAAAATATAATCGTGGTTTTCGATGGTGACCGACTTGGTCATGTGGTTGACCTTGTACACCCCCACGAGCCGGGCGGCGAGCTCAAACATGTTGTTGCGCAGGGAGATGACGATGAACTGGGCGTTTTTGGTGCGTTCTTTGATGTAGGAGGCTACGATTGAGACCTTTTCACTCTGTCAGTATTGATGGCAATGGGGAGGGGATAAATCGAGCGTAGCGAGGAAAGAAAAAAAAGGAAAAAAAAAAAAAAGAAAAGAAAAGGAAGGGGGGGGGAGGGGGGATAACAAGAAAAGGGGAAAAAGAGACAAAAAAAAAATACTCACATTCCTGAAATCCAGCGCCGCATCAATCTCGTCCATCACATAAAGCGGCGTCGGCTTATAATGATGCAACGCAAACACCAGCGCCAGGGAACTCAGCGTCTTCTCGCCTCCCGACAGGTTACTGATATTCTTCCAGCTCTTCTTGGGCGGCATCACGCTAAACAAGATGCCCTCCGAGAAGGGGTCGAGACTATCCACCAGCTCCAGCTCCGCGTTGCCGCCCATGGTGATCATCTGGTACATCTCTTTTAGTCGTAGCGAGATGGTGCTAAAGCCCTCCATGAACCCTTCGAGTCGCAAACGGCGGAGCTCGTCGAGCCGTTTCTTCGCGGCGTCGCGCTGGGACACGGCGGACGCGAGATCGGAGGAGCGCGCGAGGTGTTCTTCTACGCGACGCCGGTATTCGGAGAGCACGGAGAGGTCGATGTTCACGTTGGAGATTTTTTCTTCGAGCGCGGCGATCTCGCCTTTGAGTTTTTCCTTGGACATGTCGGCTAGCTCGTCACGGGTGTAGCGGGGGAGTTCGAGGGGGTTGCGGGGTTTGCGCGGAGTTTTGCCGGTTTGTTGACGGCGCTGGCGCTTTTGCTTTTGCTTCTGCTTTTTAGGCGTCTTGTGCTGGTGAGGCTCCTCGTCTTCGTCGAGGGACATGGCTTCTGCGTCTTCGTCTTCTTCATCTTCATCTTCCTCGTCGTCTTCTTCAGCTTCGGCGGCTTCGGCTTCGAGTTGCGCTTGGAGGATGGAATCAGGGTCGTCGACGTCCATGGCATCGGGGTCGACGGGTTGTTGGGGTGCTGCGTCGCCGCTGGTGCCGCGCTCGAGATCTTCAATGTCTTGGAGGACGAGCTTGGAGAGCTTGTCTTCCCAGTAGCGTAGGCGCTTCTGGTTCTCAGACAAAATCTTTTGATTCTCCTCGAGTTTGTTGCGCATTTCGATTTCCACTGCCCTCGTCTCATTGAGCTCGGCTGTCTTCTCATCCAGCTCCTTCTTCATAGCTGCCAACTCCTTTTTCTTCTCTTTGAGTGCCTCCTGAGCCTCTTCGACACGGGTCGTCAGACTCTCGGCGGTATCGCCTTGGTTCTGGATCTCCTCCTCCAGAGCTTCGGTCTCCTGAATGGCGTTCTGCAGCTCCTTGGATGCCTTGTTAAAGTCCTTCTCCAGCTTGTGCTTCTGCTTTTCCGCCTTCGCCATCTTCACCTCGGCGGCAGAAGTCTCCTCGTTTTGCGTAGCGATTTCGGCTTTGAGCGAGTCCACAGCGGCCTTTTGGGAGCGAAGCTTCTCACCACCCACTTTCATGATCTTATCCTGAAGAGCCTTGATTTCATCCTCGACGGAGGACATCTCCTCGCGCAGCTTCTCGACCTCGCCTTCGAGCTTGGCAATTTCTTTTTCCAGGGCGGCGACGCGGTTGTCATCCGTCTTGGAAGGCTGTTGCTCCTTGCTGAGCTCCTTGATACGGCGCTGGGCATCGGCGAGGTTGCGCTCGGAACTCTCGACTTCGAGGTTGATCTTCTGCATCTTGGTCTCGAGCTGGGGAATCATGGATTGGACCTGACGCAGACGAGACTCAAGTTCTCGTTGGCGGTCTTGGAACTCGTTGAAGGCCTGCTCCAAGGTATCACGGTCCGCCTCGAGCTTGTCAACCTGCTCCTTGGTGGTGTCGGCCACAAGCTTGGAGGACATCAGACCTCTCTTGACTGTAGTACCACCACCGGTCATGGTACCTGACTTGTCGATAAGCTCACCGGCAAGGGTCACTACTCGCCATCTCTTGGCACCGTAGGCAATACGGTTCGCCTGAGCGAGGTCCTTGGCGACCAATGTGTCCTGGAGAGCGTGGTAGAAGGCGGGTCGGAACTTGTCGTCTTTGGGCTTGACAAGGTCAAAGAGACGAGGGGCGTTTTCGGGAGTTTGGATGGGAGACATGTCGCGGACTCTCAACTTGTCCAAGCACATGAAGTTTCCACGTCCAAGGTTAGTTTTCCTGAGATACTCGATGCATTGCTGACCGGCCTCGACAGTGTCGGTGACAAAGTTGTCGAGCGCACCACAGGCTGTAGAAATGGCGATGTCGTACTTCTGGTCGATAGCACCGAGATTTCCAAGTCGTCCATGGAACCCATCGATACGACCCGACTCCTTCATGCGCATAAGCGCAGTCAAGACATTGCCCCGGTTTTGAGTAGCGGACAAGCTCGACCGCGCCTCGTCGGCCTTTTGGCGGGCATTCGAAAGCTGTTGCCGGTACTTGGGTTCCTCCTCCGCAAGCTTGGCAAGCTCAGCCTCGATCTTCTTGCCCTCCTTAATCAGGTTCGCTCTCTCGGCCTTGCACTGCTCCATCTCCTCCGCCTTGGCCGCTTGCCTTTCCTGGATGGCCACAATTTTCGCCTCCGTCTCCTCAAGGGCCACAGTCCCGGCATTGGCCTTTTCCCTGAGAATGGCCAGCTCACTCTCCGCAACGGCAATGGCGGACTGTTTCTGATTGATCTTGTCCTTCCATGGCTCGAGAGACTTTTGCTTTGCCGCAATCTGATCGGAATATTTCTGCGTCTTGCCCTTGAGGCTCTCACGAATCGTGGCAAGTTCGGCCTCCTCCTCCTTCACCTTCTTCTCCAGGAAGACAATGTCCTTTTGGCGACGCTCGATCTCCTTGGTGCAATTCTGGATAGTCTCCTCCGCTTCAACAGCTGTCTTCTCGGCATTGGCGATTGTCTTCTCAAGCTTCTTACGCTTGTCGGTCAAGAACTTTCGCTTCTCCTCGAATTTGACCCTTTCCTGCTCGAACTTGTTCATCTCCTTGACCAGCTGCTGCGTCTGCTTCTCCCAGGAGTCGTATTCCTTGCTACCCTTGGAGTATGCCTTTTCCAACTGCTTGATGATTTGTTCGCTGCCGTGGTGCTTCTCGAGTTCCGCATCAAGTTGTGCCTGCATCTGACCGATGGCCTCCTCCATGACAGCAATATTGTCGTCGCATTCGCTGATGTATAGTTGGTAGAGGGACGACTGCTTCAGAGCCAGTTCGTTTTCATCACGAACATACGCCAGCGCCTTGTTCTTCTTGTCCTCGAGGCTGTTCCTTTCCTTTTCCACATGCTGGACACGACCGCTCTTTTCCATACAGATCTCGTTGAGGGTTTCGACCTCGGTGGCCGACTCTTCGATTGGTGTCTTGTATTTGGAAGTGCCGATGATGTCTTCTAGGTACTCCAGCAGACCGTCTTCGTGCTCGTTACCGGCTTTGGGCTTCATTTGGGCAATGGATTCGACCTCACCCTGCAGAATGAGGAAACGCTTATGATCCAGATCGACGCCACGGTCGCGGAGTAGCGTAGTCACGGTGGTGAAGTTGGATGACTTGCCGTTGATGTAGTACTGGCTCGAGTTGTTCTTGAAGGCTTTGCGCGAAATGACGAGTTTTGAGTCGGGGATAACCTCGTGGCCACCGCCAGGCTACAAATGTCAGCACAACAACTCTTCTCAGGATATTCTTCCCACTTACCAAGTCCATGACTTCCTGGAAATGCACTTCCACCTCACAGTAGTCGAGATTCGCAAACTGCGCCGAGTTGTGGATCAAGGCCGAGATCTTCCCTTGTCGCATCTTGCTCGCACGAAAACCAAAGACGAACAGCAACGAGTCGATAACGTTGGACTTTCCGGAACCGTTGGGGCCGACGACCGAAGAGAACGAAGCATGGAAGGGGCCGACCTCCTGTCTACCGGCGTAACTCTTGAAGTTGACGAGCACAAGGTTGGTGATGACGATGCGTGGCTTCGGGCCGGTATCCTCGACGACGGGAAGAGCCATGGTCCGTGACTTGAGCACAATATCCATGGGCTTTTCCAAAATGGTATCCATAGCCCTGACGGGCTTCTGGGCCGCCACCACGGTTTCATCTGTTGTTGATGTTGGCTGGGTGTTGACGAGTGTCTCTGATGCTGCGGTCGCTGGAGGTGGTAAGTTTATACGTGTCTGGGTGATGTCTTGTAGAGGAGCGGGTTGGCGATCGACGCGCTGAGTTGACGGAGAGCCTGGTGTTGGTGTCCCTTGACGGCTGGCTTGTTGTTGTTGCAACTCGAGCTGGTCCTGCATGATCTTTGCTGGCGATCTGCTGAGCCGCCGCACAAGTGTTCTACGCTTCCGCGGGGGCGACTGAATTTCTTGCGTATCTCGTGTTTCTGGCTCCGCGATCACGGCGGTAGTGGCGGGAGATACGACAGACGCGACAGTCACATTGGGGTCGATACCCTCGTCGATCGGCTCATCCTTGGGTTTGACGGCGGGCTCTGGGACTTCGGGTTCGGCTTCGGCTTCGATATTCGCTTCGACGACACTCGGCTCGACGCTGGGCTCTTCGCTGGGTTTGGGCGCGGCGTTCTTCTTAAGTCGTCCGCGCCTTTTTGGCGCAGCTTTTGGTGCCGGTGCCGGTGCTGTCGATGATGATGCCGCTGCTGGCGTCCCTGCCCTGGGAGCGGGCGTGGCAGTCGACCTTCTGGTGCTGCGCTGAGCAGTCTTGCGGGCTGCCGAAGCAGGCGCGGGTGTATAGTCCTCCTCCTCGTCATCCTCGGCACCTCTCGATGTAGTGTTTGCGATCTCGTCGTCCGATGAGGATTCTTCGATAATGGGGGCGCGCCTGGTTGCGGCGGCCCGACGCGATGGGCGCGTCGACATGGCTGATGTTCGTCGGTGGTTTCGGCTTGCAAATTCTAGACTCGATCAATCCGCGAATCAAGGCAAAAGAACAGAACAGAACGCGCTGCAAGATGCGGGTATCAGACAACGGAGACGTGGAAATTTATGAAAAAAAGAGTAAGAATGAAAGCCGGTCTTTACATTTCGCAGTTGCGACAGACACAGACCGGGAATGTAACGCCCAGAAACTCTTCGCTAGTCGCAGCTCCTTGCCCCGCCGCGGTTGTTGACATTCAGGACAGTTTTGACGGTTCTTGCAGTGTAAACAATCAGCCACAGCAGCCACAGCCAATGCAATTCGTGCACTGCAGGCGGCAACCCCTCTGTTGGACACTCGCACCGTGTCGCGCTATCATGCGTGGCAGGTGGGTCTCTGTAACGAACATCGCGCTTACGGGTTTCTTATCGATAAGCAAGGGCCGTCTCGTTAGCGCAGGTACCAATCCGGGGAAGGCTCCATTGATGTGCCCCGTTCTCCATTCTCAGCGCAGGGGACCCGTTACATTGGATATTCCAGGGCATGACGGCATCCCTTCGAATTTCCATTTCCATTCAACATCCGAGGGCACTTGGAGACACTTTTCCTGCACAACCCAACTTCAACATCACGATGCTCGACTACACAGAGTACAACAACGTGTTTCCCTCCCCGGGAATCATCAACCCCTACGACCACAAGGGAACCGGTGCCATCGAGACCTTCCGCAAGTCATTGGGCGGCGTCCTGTTTGTGGATCGCGTCCTAAGTCGGTTAGGCATCGGCCAAGGTTAGTGTAAACACCACCTGACACAACCAATTACATTATAGCGCCCTTCATCGCTAACCACCATCGAATTAGGCACTGCATATCCGCCCAAAGGTGAAAATGGCCTTCGCTCCCTTCATCAACAAATCTGCCAGAGCAGCGTCTCGTCGCACCACAAAATATCAGTTCTTTACTATCTCCTCCTCGACCATGATGACATTCACCCGGGTCGCTCGCAGTGGGCGGACGGCTTTGCTGAGGAGACAGGACTGCCGAAGAAGTACCAGATCCTTATGAGGGGCCTGTGGCACATGGATCGCAAGGAGTTTAAAGTGCGTCCGTTTAGTTCTGAACCTCATTTACTTTGCAATGCTAACAGGCCTCAAACAAACAGTACGCAATCGAAAATCTGACCCACCCTTCCCTCCCCACCGAATTCGCTGACGAAATCACCATCGCCCTCGTCCGCTCTGCGAGTCAAAGCGATTACACCCTAGCCCTCGCCTACTTCCACGCCGCCCAGCCCGTCTTCACCTCATCCGAAGCTCTCGAGCTGCTCTTTGGCGCTCTAGCTCGCACCAACGTTACCGAAGCACTCGATTTCTCGCGTCGCTACCCGGAGTGGACCCGCCAACAGCTGTTTGAAAGGTTAGTGGCTTCGATTCTGGAGCAGCCGGAGAAACTGGGAGCGAGGGGCAAGGAGCTCGTTAGCGCGGCGTTGACGGGCGAGGAGGAAAGTTGGTTTCAGGATTATTTGAGGCGTGGGGAAGGGAGAAAAAGTAAGGGCACAAGTGTGCTTTTGAGGATGAGGGGGGTTGTGACGGGGAGGTTGAGCAGCACTGCCGCGTTGGAGAACCTTGCTGGTCACCTGTGAGGCCAAGATTGGGTTACACAGTATTGGTATGGCTTTATGGCTGGGCGTTTTTCTGTCGATAGGTTGATATCTGGCAAAGGCATAGCGACGGCGTCTGGGTACCTTTAGGTCTTGCGATGGGAGATGGTCACCATGTTTATGACTGTTTACCGTCCATCACGACGAGAATGCTATTTCCAATTTGTTTTTGCTCCTCAAAATAACGAAGGCCGAGAATCTACGCTCGTGTTTGTGAGTTTGATACAAAAAACGCCGAACATTCCTGGAATTAGGAGAGGGTCCGGTCTCTTAGAGGGTATATGCCGTGGAGTGATCTTGAGCGTCTTGGAGAAGCTGGAAAGAGGTATAGAAGGCTTCTATGGCTTGTTGAGCCTCGGTCATTGTCGCTGCGTTTCAAAGGAAGTTCAGTTTTCTCTCTTAGAAGGCCAATAAATAGCGGAGAACTACGAAGTTTCCTGCTAGACGCAAGGTCGAAGAGCCAAAGTAACGAAGAACACGGTATTGAGATGTAGGTACCACATATCGGTAGCATGTTGTGTGATAGATCACATGTGTGACAATGGAAGGCGCCACTGAGGTGAGCGAGCCTTGTGGGTTTGGCCTTTCCTTTTTGTCTCGTTTCCTTCTCTCTTTCTAGTTTAATCTGTTACCATGGAAGCTCGTACCCTACCAAGTCCTCGCCATTTGGGGTATTTAGCTGAATTCTCAACGTTTTCTCATCTTCTCTTCAACTTATACAACAACCTATTCCGACTGACTTGCAAGCGTTCCATCTCTTTGAACAGGTCCCGCCACCATTGGAACGCCACGATGTCGGAGCGCCTGTGCGCTGTTTGCAATCGCATTTTCACCTATACGATACCGCAATGGCGATCAACGAGTTCACATCACTCGAAACCAGGCGACCTCCTTCAAGCGGCAAACGACGGATGCTACATATGCCGATGGGTAACAAAGTGCCGCGACTGGAATGACGTATCCTACTTGTTCTCCAAAGGGTTTCCAGTTACCTTTGAAGTGCGGTCACACGTTAAATTCCCGGAACCTTCCAGTCGCTTGTCGGGACGGTTCGAAGTTATGGCCATCTGTCGCGATATCAATGATGTGGACTGTCATCGGAGATTACACCAAGCTTTGGAGGATCTTAATAATCTTAGAAAGAAACGGCGATACGTACGTTTTGAGTTCGAAACATCGCCCCACTAATTTCTTTTCGATTTTTATCTCCGGCCTATTCAGAATGGTAAGTCATGTGCCCTCCAACCTAAAAAGACCGATGAAAAGGAAAGTAGCAGAAAGGGAAAGGACAATGTGATTGACTTACGATATTTGTATTCAGAAGCCACTGGTGACCATCGCCATATTACGACACCTTCCTCTGTTCCGAGTGATCCGGCCATGATGGGTTTACTGAAGTATTGGTTCACAGAATGCTGCAACAACCACGCCTTGTCCCTCCCTTCAAGCTCTTCTTTTAGCCCAACAAGACTTTTGCTTCTCGAGAACGAGCACTCTACAAGGGTAGTCGAAACAACAGACTGGACTATCCGTCATCCATATGCCGCTCTGTCACACTGCTGGGGAAATGCAAACAGACTCAAACTCCAGAAGAGCAACATGATGGACTTGAGCAAGCACCTCAGTATCAAAGAGTTGCCAACCACCTACAGAGAAGGCATATTCGTCTCTTTGGCGCTCGGTATCTCTTATATATGGATCGATTCGCTTTGCATCATTCAAGACGACGAGGAGGATTGGAGTAAGGAAGCGGCAATGATGAAGGACGTGTTCGAGCACTGCTCTGTCAAACTTGAGTGCCACCGCGGCAGCCGACAGCTCGCAAAGCAATTTCAGAGACAGGGATCCTGAAATTATCCCGCCCCTTGAGGTTACAGTTAGCGATTGGAAATGGGAAGAGCCTGGACAGTCAAAATTCTGGCTCGCGATTAAGTGGGTGGACATGAGGCGGGAAGATATTGTATACTCGCCGCTCCACTCGCGAGCCTGGGTCTTCCAGGAAGCGAGCTTGTCTCGGCGCCGGATTGACCTCGCTCGGACGCAGATGTGGTGGTCCTGTCAACAAAACTGGGCTTGTGAAACATATCCTTTGGGTGTATGGGATGTGTCTAACCGCGAATATCAACCAGGGGAAAGAGGCAGCCTACAGTATTTTAACATGCTTAAGCAAAGGGGCTTTGATCATAACGCCATGTTATCTATCTGTCCACAAAGCGGGCCAAGCAGCCAAGCCGCTACTACCGTGGCAGACAGTAATACTTGGCCTGAGCAAAAGGAGGACCATCAAGCCCATTGGTTTGAACAGGTTCGGATATACTCCGATTGTGGCATTATCGAGACAAAAGACCGGCTAATAGCCTTCGCTGGGATTGCTCAACGTTACGCTCAAGTTAGAGGACTTAGTCTCGGTGACTACCTGGCCGGGATCTGGCGTCAAGAACTTCCTCATTCTCTTTGCCTCAGACCAAATCATAAAAAGCTATCTTACCGTCCGGACGGATATCGCGCTCCATCCTGGTCTTGGGCCTCGCTGGAAGGGCCTGTCAAGCTCGAAGGTTTTCAAGTTAATTTCTTGATATATGGACTACCACAACTTCCGCCACTGTGCAAGGTCGTCGATGCGAAAGTCATCCATCAACTAGAACATTGCCAAGCCGGCGGGATGAAAGGAGGCGTTATCCATTTAAGGGGCCGTCTAGTTGAACGGATTCTGGACAGTCAGGTGCCCAAGTGGCCTAACGACAAAAGCATCAAAGGGCTGACCAATGCGAAAGTCGATAATTACGACTTCGATGAGAGTTGGGATGTCAGAGACTCAAAAACCCCACATCTAAGGCCACCAAGGGTTAGCTATCTCGAGCACCCTCAGGGCCGGCCTGATCAAAGGAAAGAGGGAGTTGTTGACGGGGCGGTACGAAAATCGATCCGTTTCAACACATTGGACGAGCTGTCCGAGCATGTCCGATTATTCATCCTCCCCATTGTGGCGAATACGAGAACAAAGGTAGCTATATGTCTGATGCTATGTCAGACGTTGGATGACAGCTTCGCAGGCAACAACATCTATCAACGTGTAGGCACTTATTGGTGGTGCTTGAGTAGGTGGTCGGTTGAGGATCTGGAGCCTGTTCCCGAAAGGGATGTATACATTATCTAACTTTGATCTTTCCTCATTTCTGCTTGTTACACACTACAACATCTTGGAAACATTTACCTCCATGCCAGTCTCCTTACAATAGGTCAACGAATGCCTGTATCTACTGTATTTAGCGCATCGATCAAATACCGATGCTGTCCCACGGCCACAGTCAGCCTCCAGCTCAGCCGGATCCAGCACCCTGGACACTCTCCAGTCGTTGCAAAAACAGAGACGTGATTCAAAAGTCCTCAAATACATTGGACTTACCCCCATCTGGTTTTCCAGGAAAATATTTCGCATCTCATCAACAGAACGATGACACCATGACACGACCAACACACATCGCTTACCTATCGGAACCCAGAAATCTGTTCACCAGATTGGCCTTTCGGATGAGGAAGTCTCCAACTTTCTTCGAATCACTGAAGGAAGTTCATAAAGCAAGACCATCATAGAGAATCTTACGCCACTCGTGCAATCAGGTTAATTGTTGTAGCAGAAAATATCGCGGAGTGTCTTGGTAGAGATCTGTGCTATTTCGCGTATGAACGACCCATCCTTCCTCTTACATCAAAAGGTCTTGGCGCCAAGGGTTAGTGCAACACACTGTTCCCACACTCAAGCACCTTGACAGTTTCATGAGCTGACCACAACTTTTTGGCAAACGGACCATCGAAACGAAAAGAACAAGACTTCATTTGCCCATATCTCCACCAAATGAGGAGATGAAAGAAAAATGATTGTAGATTCGACATCAGCATGCTTGAAACTATCAAGAGAGCACTCTTTCTGATGATATAATCGAGTTTCTTGATTTTCGTCTTTCGTTTCGATGGTCCGTTTGTCAAAAAGTTGTGGTCAGCTCAATTCTCGGGAAGTCTTGGCAACTGTCAAGGTGCTTGAGTGTGGGAATGGGTACCAGCCAAAATGTTAACACCACCCCCAGGTCCCAGAATCGCCGTTCTGCGGTCGGTCAAACCAGGCCGCCTCCAGCTTCCTGGAGCCCCCCGATGCAGGCAGGAAGGCCCCGTATATGGAAGGCACCACCAGATACAGGAAACCTCAAGAGACTATCATCAACCGGGGCAGGAACTGTCATTGACCGGGAAGGAAGGAAGGAAAGAAGGAGGTCATCAACTGTAAAGGAAGGAGCGAGACCAGCGACAGTCCCGCTCAGAGGGAAGAGAACTGATCCAGAGCAGATCAGCGGGGAGGGCGACGAGAAATGTGTATATGGTCATGAAGGGCCCCCCAGAGCTTTGGTACGGCTTGTTTCTTCTCCTCTCGCAATCCGGAATCAAGCACTTTTCTAGATCTTTTGGCATCCCCCAAGTCTTCTACCTTTTCCCTTGTACCGGGACCGAGGGTCAACTTACGCTGCTACTTCCTTCGGTATCATTTCTTCTGGTCTGCAAGTCAAAGTCAACTGGAATTTATGCCAACGTTTGTCCCCCCCCCCCCCCCCCCCCCCCCCCAACGTACTTCTTTGCACATCCAGAGGTTGTTGCGGTTGTTATTGCCGAGTGTCATGGTAGTGTTTGGGAGGTGCGTGGGAATATTGATATGTCAGCACGCACCACAGAGGTACATATCTTCGAGTCACTTCCACCTCGGCAACGGAACCAACATGACCAACAGCGCCAACCACGGCAACGGCATGGCAAACAACCTGAAAACAAGTTGTTTTCCGCGGAAACTAATATGTTCGTTTTTTACCGGTTTTTTTTTAATTCAAACCGGATTTATCCTACCCCCCTCACGGTCTAGTAGATCGGGGAAGCACCTGCCTTGGACTGCGTTGAGCCTAGTTCCCGCGTTTAGATGAATCCGGTTTGAATGAAAAAAGCCGGTACACTTTGAGCTGGTTGATCTGGGCGGCCGGGCTGACACCGCACTTGACCCAACGGAACAGGATAGGAACCGGAAGTTTCCCAGATTTCCGCATCGCCTGCGTCACAAGTCCCAACGAAACCAAGATTTTTTTGCGTCTTTGACCTTCGGTTCGTCAAGGAATCAAGGGAGGTGGGACTGGGAGCCAGCCAACTTCGAGACTCGAGTCTTCAAGGTACATATTGGAGGAAAGTCAGTCGATAGAGGTATAAAGGATGAGAGTCCCACCCATGTCTATCGTCGGACTTGCTGTCTCTCTACCCATCACTTCCAACCTGAACAATTTCTCACCGCAACACTCACCACAACGCTCACCATGAAGCTCTCACCCTTAGCCCTCTGGGCTGTCATCACCACCCTCACAGCAGCAGCTCCCACTGCCACCACCTCCAACCCCAATGACCCCTCCAACCTCACCAACGACTCAACCGTCGAAAAACGCTCCACATGCAACATAATTCCAGGCGACTCCAACCGCATGCTCGTTCCGCATGCACTCGAGTGCTACATCCATTTAACCTTGAACCATGGGACGAGGTCGTGATTCCGGAAGGCGGGGTCGACATTTGTACCGAAAGTAGTGGGAAGTTCCGGGTGAGCCATAGTGGTAATGGGGAGCAGAGGACTACCAAGTAAGTTTCCCCCCACCCCTTCATTGTGGTGACAATATAGTTTGTTTGGGGCTTGGTTTTGGATGAAGGCTCGGCTTGGGCTTGAGGGAGGTTGTTGTGCGGAATGAGAGAGAAGGTGTGAAGTGTATTGTGTAGGGGAAGAGTGCGGTTTGATGGGAAGGGGGGGAACGAGGAGAAAAAAAGCCAAGAAGAGACCGGATAAGATTTTGCGGAAGTGATTGCTAACGAATGGCTGTGGCGTGGTGTAGATTCGCGATTGCCCAGGCTGCGATGAAAATTATCGGTGAGTTTTTCTTCTCTGGCTGATACCCGAGTCGGCGGGACTGAGAATTGTTGAGTTGTGGTCGCATATACTGACGGTGTGGAACGCAGAGGCGTGTGGCTTCCAGAATGGGATCTGGGTGGCCGGCACGAAGTCCATCACGGATAGTATCTCTCTGGTGATCTCGTAGTGACGACATCAGATGAGAGAAGGGAATAGCGGCGAAGTTTTGGGGTATTCGAGCTGTTCGTCGCGATGATCAGTGGGGAGATGGGGAGAATATAGGACGAATCTGGTCCTCCATTTCATCTCATTAGCAAATCACACCAGAATTAAGTGGCTCACCGACTTTGACTTCTCTCTCGTTCTCTGACATGAGCTCGAATTAGTGAAACCCCGGAGACTGGACGACAGACAAACGTACCTCTGAAGGCAGCCGCAAAACGTCTCATCGTCAACCTCACCACGAGGACGATCCACCACTACCTAGAGGTAGAAGTATAAAAGAAGCCCATCTTCCACCTTTCCATCCATCAACTCTCCTCTCCCTCATCATCAACCAACCTCACTGCCATTCTTGCAACCTTCGCCTCCATTTCTCACCACCACTCACCTACAACTCACCACCCACCAAACACCCAAAATGAAGTTCTCCACCATCCCCTCTCTCGCCCTCGGCCTCATCGCCTTCAGCGCCAACATGGCCCTCGCCACCCCTACCCCCATGAACGGCGACATCACCTCCAGCTTGATCAACAAGCACCGCAAGACCGTCACCAGCCGTCAGACCTCCACAGTCAACACCACCCCGACCTGCGAGTCCGAGCCCGAGGGATTCATGACCATGTCCGACGCGCGTTCTTGTCTCGATGAGATCGCTGCCAAGAGCACCGAGCAGCTGACTGTTCCGGCGCCTGGTGGAGTGCTCTGTGAGAGAACGAGCGGCAAGTTTTGGGCGGGGATTGGTGGGAGCCGGGAGCAGGTTGCTGCTGCGTGAGTACTTTTCTTTCCGTTTTTTTGGTCTTTTGGAGTTGACTTGGGTTGTTGGGGGAGTTGAATGGGTGACTGGGTGAGACTTATGCTGACCGTGGATTGGGTGGGATTCGTGGGTGTAGGTCCGACATCGCTGCTGCTGGAAAGCTTATTTTGGGTGAGTTACAACAACCTTTTTTGTAAAAAAATATGTACAAGATCGCTGACAGAGACCTGACCTGACGCAGACGCCTGCAAGTTCGTCGGCATCCCTGGCGCGCAGACCGAGATGACTGGTGGTGGAGCGTACGTGGCTACCAACGGCCACATTTATATCATGTTCTCGAAGGATGAGCAGGATGACTGAGTTTCCCGTTGCTTACGGATTTCTTTTGTGTCGTCTTGGGTTGGACATGGAATGAACAACGGATGGACCACAGACACGAAAAGGAAGAACGAAAAGGAAGAACGAAAAGGAGTGTGGTGAGGATCAGGGGTATCACGTGGTTGGTCATGGGTCTTAGTCTGAGATGCCGAGAGAGCTAACGACGGGAGCTTATTTCCCCATTCGGGTCGCCCGGCTATCCTCGGCCATGGTGGTTACTTGCGACATCTCGGGTTATACAACTCGGCTGGACGCGGAGATAGAAGGGCAGAAACTTCAATGAACAATGGGTTGATTGCCTCACATCTCGAGAAGCACGTTTGTGTGCAATTGGCGCTGGAAGATGTTTTCCGGCGCGTGAAAATTGTTAGTGCAACTACTTCTGAAAGCTCGGCGTTGTGGGGGAGTTTTAGCAGCTCCGCATCTCCGGGGAAACACGACGTCATTTGCAGCTTCCCGCTGAAGCTCTTGCCGCTCTCCACCCAATTTTTGGACCGAGCTCACTGATAAGATTTCGATTCCACATCTCGGGCCTTGTCAATTGCATCTTTCCCGTCAAGAAGTCAACAACACCGGCCAATTGCATCACCAAACTCACCCACAATGGCCGTCAGAATCGCCCTCCCGCGCAACACGACCTCGTCGTTCCGGCGCTTCGTCCGCGTCGCCGGCCGCTTCTACTCGACCGAGGCCCCCGCGGGCCCCATCATCCGGGTGACCAACCTTCCGGCGCCCAACTCGGGCCACATCCGCATTCTCGAGCTCAACCGCCCCGCCGCGCGCAACGCCATCTCGCGCGCGCTTCTGTCTTCGCTCCGCGACGAGATCGACGCCGTCCACTCGCAGTACGATGCCTCGACGGGCGAGGAGAAGCCCGTGGCTTCGTGGAACAAGCGCTTCGGCGGCGTGGCCGGCGAGGACGAGAAGGGTCCTACCCGCGCGCTGATTATCTCTTCGGCTGTTGATACCAGCTTTTGCGCGGGCGCGGATCTGAAGGAGCGCAAGGGGTTTACGCAGGAGGAGTAAGCTTTTACCTTTTTCTTTTTCTCCTTGTTAACTTTCCCTAATCATCCGGATGGCTAACCAACTCTCTTACCAAAAACAGAACAGCCGCCTTCCTCACCTCCCTCCGCACCGCCCTCACCTCCCTGCAATCCCTCCCCATCCCCACCATCTCCGCCATTTCCTCCATCGCCCTCGGCGGCGGTCTCGAGCTCGCTCTCGCCACGCACTTCCGTGTCCTGACCTCCAACGCCGTCGTCGGCCTGCCCGAGACCCGACTCGGCATCATCCCCGGAGCCGGCGGCACCTACCGCCTTCCCCAACTCATCGGCATCCCGCGCGCGCGCGACCTGATCCTGACCGGCCGCCGCGTCAGCGCCCCCGAGGCTTATTTCCTGGGCTTGGCCGACCGCCTAGTCGAGGTCGCGCCCGAGTCCGAGGAGCAGGCCAAGGAGTGGGCGGCCATGGAGCAGGAGCCGAGGGACGAGATGGTGCTGAGCCTGGCGCGCAGGACGGCGCTGAGCGAGGCGGTCCGTTTGGCGCAGGAGATTTGCGAGGGCGGACCGGTCGCTGTTAGGGCCGCGCTCAAGGCTGTCCAGGAGCCGAGCGAGATGGTGGAGAATGATATGTACCTCAGGGTGGTGAGGACGGAGGATCGCGATGAGGCGTTGAAGGCGTTTGCGGAGAAGAGGAAGCCTGTGTTCAAGGGAAGGTAAATGCGTTGCTGTAGAGTGATGTGAGTTTTGGAAATACCATTACCATGTTGAAGTCAAACACCGAATGACTGTCTGTGTCAGATGGAGCCGTGACGCCTTCTATCTTTCAAACAGGTAAGGTAAGTTGAGGCTATTGAGGCTGTGATGCCCCTGGTCAGAGTGGTAACGTCATTGAGTCCACCAGAGGGCCCATCAAGGTGCCAAGCTTTCGACATGGGTGACAACCACGGTACATACTTGACGAGTTGCGATCTACCGTTCTGGGTCTCGATCCGCGCCGGGAAATATCGAAAGGGGGCTACCAAAGCTTTGACAGTTGTCAACATTATCGTTGGGTTCTTATGACTGGTGTGATGGTGTTTTGTGTTGTGTTTGGCTCGTGATGGTTGCCATGTGAAAGTGTACATCAACACTCCTAATCAGGCGTTGAATACACAAACCTCAATCTAAGCACTCGCCTCAGCTTTCTAGTTCCTCCTCTTCTGACAGATTTCACTTGCATCATAGCTAAGGCCTGTCAGCTTGTTAAGCTGTCAAAGCTGTCAAGCCTGGAGGTGCAGCTGTCTCCGGCGATCCGTGCTTGTTTACATGCGAGCCATGATCGTTGGCGGTGGAGTAGCAAGTGGAAGCGTTCCTACAACCAAGGCACAGGAACTTCACGATATGGACAATTTGAACAATTCCAAAGGACAGTTGAAGATCTGGACCAAAGGAGAACAAGGAGACTGGTATGTGTGAAAGGTACGTACCTCCACAAAGGGCAAGGCCATTGAGGTTCGCAGCTTCCCCCGGTTCCCCGCCAAGAGGACGTCATTGGCCTGCAGGGGTTGCACGCTGCTGCATCAACAACACCTATGACATCACCGCGACGGAACGGTTCATCACTTGCGAGGAAGGAACAAACAAACACCTTTTTATAAGCACAACATCTTCCATCTGAAGACGGTTCCTTCTTCCCTTTCAATTCAGTCACACACAAACAAATCCAACACCTAAGCAACAATTTCCTGGAGTCTTCTCTCAAACAAATAACAACAGCCACGAACCGAATCCCAACAGAGGATCTAATCTGAACAATAACACAACACCAACACCTAAGATACCCACACACACAACCCACAAATCATCACAATGTCCGCCTTCACAATCGCTACTCGCAGGGTCGCTACCCAGATCCCCCGCGCTGCCGCCGCCTCTGCGCCCCGCGCCGCTTTCTCTTCCTCCGTCACCCTCCAGAAGTCCATCGCCGAGACCGTAAAGGACACCCTCAACACCGTCAACCGCGCTGTTTCTGACAAGGCCCTCGATGGCATTGACATTGGCTGTACGTACCCCTCCTTCCACACCAAAAACCCCCTCTCTTTCTCTCCACCACCATACTAACTCCCTACCTTCACAGCCAACGTAGCCTCAAAACTCAAAGAAACCGCCGACTCCCTCACCAACGCCTCCTCGCCCTCCGACCTCGCCTCCCGCGCCAAGGACGCCGCCAGCAACGCCGCCTCGGACGCCGCCGACGCCATCCCCAAGGACGTCAAGGGCCAAGCCTCCGAGCTCGCGGGCAAGGCCTCCGGCGCCGCCTCCAACATTGCCGGTAAGGCCAAGGGCGCCGTCAACGAGGCCACGTCTGGCAACGTTTCCGGTGCCGCCTCTGAGCTTGCGGGAGAGGCCAAGGGCAAGGCTTCCGAGCTTACGGGCGAGGCCAAGGGCAAGGCGAGCGAGCTCGCTGGAAAGGCCAAGGGTGCTGCGAACGAGGCGACGAGCGGGAACTTGTCCGGTGCTGCTTCCGAGCTGGCTGGCGAGGCTAAGGGCAAGGCCAGCGAGGTTGCGGGCAAGGCCAAGGGCGCTGCTAACGAGGCTGCTGGCGGTGATGTGCAGGGAAAGGCCCAGGAGCTCAAGGGACAGGCGAGCGGTAAGGCCAGCGAGCTTGCCGGAAAGGCGAAGGGTGCCGTGAGCGAGGGACAAGGGAAGGCCAAGGGTATGGCTAAGGAGACGGAGAAGATGGCCAAGGAGGCCGGAAAGCAGGCCGAGTTCTCTTAAGGGATTCAACCGCGAGAAGGAGTGTTTAAGATGGGATATTGCATTTTGGGATGAACGGGACCATTCACTTTCACAAGGATGGGTGATAAAGGGCAGGAAGGCGTTCAGGGACGCGCACAGCAGTATTGCATCATGATGACTATTACGAAGTTTTCCTTTTAATCAAGAGTCGAACTGTAATTTTATTGCATTTCACATGAATCACTCACTGATCTCATCATTCAAACGTGAACATATGTGATGACAACGATATCAAAATGTATCAGCGCACATTCCCAACTTCCTACCAACCCCCCCTAGACCCTCTCACGAAAGTCCAGGAGGGAAGGAAGCCAGGACAAAAAGAAGCAAAAAGCAGACATCCATCAGAAAGTCGATCCGTGCCGACGGTTGACTTTTGTCTGCTCCGCTCCTTTCTCCCACCACTTGTACTTTTGGTACAATTCCCACCAAGTGACGCTGGCAGCTTTCCCCTTTATTGCTTGTTTGTTTCTTCACCCATCCATACAAACCCCGCGAAGGGTGTGGTGGGCTTGAAACGAAACGAAGCGAGAAAAGCCGGTGTTTGATGTACCGCTCGGAATACAGAGCTTGGAATCAAGGATTGATCTCGCCTTGTGCTCCACCTGAACGTGCGGAATTTTGGGGAAAGGGGGGGTGGTATGTGGGATGTGTGTTGAGAAGAGTTAAGAGAAAAGTAGCAATTTGGAGAGTGAAAAGGTATAAGAGAGTGCTAAAAGGGGATAGGGAGTAACTCGGAAGAGAAAAGAGGAGAGGAAGCTGAAGTGGATAGGTTAGCTGCCCGGCACAAGAATGGTATGGCAAAAAAAGGGGATCAAGCAAAGCAAAGGGGGACAAGTATGTATGTAGCAGAGTAGCAGAGGTGCAAAATAGTCCCCACGCGCCCGACTGAAGATTGACGATGCTGGTATTGTCTTTCGTTGAAGGATATCTTGTGCATGGTAGCAGAGAATACCCACGTCCTTTAAGTAGCCAGTTAGCATTGTCGGGTATCTGTACACAACTACCATATTCCTCTCCTCCACTCGTCTCGTCCCTAGGTAGGTACTCGGCACATCGTTTCTCATCATTGCTGTTCCGTTTCTCTTGGTGCCGCAGACCGGTGCTGATGTAGTTTTGTACGCCGTCGGTTGCGTTACCTGAGTGTACGGCGCCTTTTCTGTGCTATTGCGTCCGTCTCGTAGATGTGTTGTCGCCGTGTCAAGCCCAAACGTTCAGCCCTCCTCAAAAAACACCCTCTTAGTCCCTTGCTTATCCCTCTGGCTCTCCAACTCCTCCAACTCCCTATCAATCTCCATGATATCCATCAACTCCGCCTCGATATCCCTGCCCTCCGCCTCCGACTTATCATCCTCCACATCCGCGGCAAAGTTAAGGTCATTGATGAACAACAAGCCCGGATCGCGGCCCTGGCTCTGACTCTTTCCTCCTCCAAAGGCACTTAACGCCACAGTTTCCTGGGTATCAGCGACCCCTTCCTCGTCAATATCTTGTGTTGATCCCGCGCCGTCAAAGCTTGCGCTCACGGATTTAGCTGCCTCCAACGCCTTGGGTCTGAGCAGTTTCTCCCCCTTCTCCGGGCGGGCCAAGCTGAGGTTGAATGCCACGGAGCTGGGTTGTTCGGGCTTGGGGTGGGCGATGATCGCTTTGGCGGTGCCGTTCGTGAGATCCAGCCTGGCTTTCTTACGGGCAGGTAGGGGTATCAGACGGCGTTCCGTGGACGAAGAGGCACCAGCGGTCGCTGTTGCGGCGGCTTGATCGAACGCATCTTCGTTTTCGTGGATGACTACCAACCTACTTTCGCCTAGCAAAAGGGTTTCGATGGGTAGTTGCTTGCCTTCTGTTGACTCGGTGAGGGACCCCGTGGAGCGGGGGATGGCGGTAGCGGCTGTGAGGCGCTCGCCTAGTAAGCCGGCGTTGAGGTCGGTGAGGCGAAGCATCCGCGCGGACGGTTGGGAGCTGCTGCTGTTCCAAAGGTTACCTCCGGTTCGCTTCAGCTGGGCGTCCCAGAAGCGGGAGAGGATGGGGATGGTGCAGACGATAGGGTTAGTATGGTCGGCGCCGGTGTTGGAGAGCCACAGGATCGCAGACTCTTCGCCTAGGCCGTTGCGAGGGAGGGGAAGTTGAGAGATGTAGACGCCGCCTTTAATGGTGGCGAGCTTTTCGGGCGCGTTGGCTGTGGTGGAAACCGCCGAGGGGACAATGAGGGGTGCGGATTTCTGTGTAGTAGTGGGAATGTTGCGCTGGGGCTGAGGTCCGGTGGCGGTTCCCTCTAGGTAACCCGAGACACTGAACTGGGTGATTGCTGACCCACGGAGGCCAGAGTTAGCTTTGGTAAAGAGACCGGCCGAGGAGGCAGTGGTCGGATTGGCGTTGTCAATATCCCAGATACCCCACTGACCATCGGCCAGCAGCACGAGGACCGCCCGGCCGTGGGCCATCCACTCGGCGCCGACGACGGGTTTGCGAGACGTGGACATACCCGTCCCGCGGGCGAATGGCTGGTAGAGGGAGACTAGCCATGAGCCCTGGGTAGGGAATGGGCCCTCTGAGGTATCGTCCGAAGGAAGGGATGGGATGGAGTAATCGTAGATTCGCACCGCATGCGCTGGATCAACAACAAGAAGCTGTGTGATGTGCAGCGGGTTGAACGAGATGCCGCCGAGTGGTGACGGGAGGTACTCAGTCTGGAACGGCTCGACACGAGCGGTGGTGCCGGGCGTTGCGTCCAGGGGAACATCCCAGAACCGCAGGGTGCCGCTGGCCTCGCGCGTGTGTGCTGCAACAATGGCACGGGTTACCGACCCCTTACGGTTCTGTAATGACCCCGACCCTAGCTGTTCTTTCACGAGCGTAATGGCTACTCCTTCCGAGGGTTTGCTCTGGCCTGCTAGCAATGTGAGAGTCTCCCCCCAAGCACCCTTGCCCGCATTTCCAGCGAGCAGGCTGTTCTTCAGTGCCGGTCGCGCCTTGCTCTCGTTTGAGGGAGGCGTCAACGGTAGTGTTACGACAAAGACGTCGCCGTTGGCGCATGTGACCGCAAAGACGATGTTCTCTTTCAGGATTTGCGCTCCGTTCCAGGCTGCGTCTTCGACGGTGCAGGTGGGCATGGGTAATACGGCGATGTGATGGACGGCTGTGCCAAACGCCAGGTCGAGAGTTTGGACAATGTCGGCGAGCGAGGAAGCATCGGTAGTAACGGTGTCGTCGAACTCGGGCTTGTCCACGAAGGGTGTAGATGGAATGGCCGGACTCTCGTCGTCCGAGTCAATGATCATAACGGCGTCTTCCGGCTTTCCCCCATTTTGCGCCGCATCTGCTGCTGTCTTTGATGGCTTGAGTTTGCGACCGCCACGCCAAATCAGAGCGACGCCATTTTCGTGGCCGTAGATGAGGACAGTGGCGCCTTGGGGTGTCTGGACGGGGTATGTTTTGATGTCGTACACTCGGCTCTTAAGAGGGTATCTGATAGACCAAGTCAGCTTGCGTCTCTCCCGTGTTGAAACGGTGGTAGTGAAGGACTGTGCGCACGTAAATTGTGTACTTTGCGGCGTGCGCCGTGTTCTGGGAGTGGTCGACTGCATCGTCGAGAGTCGACAAGTTGGACAAGAAGCAAAGAAGAATCAACAGAAAAATGACGGAGACGCTATTGTGATGTCGTTATCATGGCCTTATTATTTGGGTATTATGGCGTCGTGAAGAGAAGCAGTATTACGGTGTGAAAGAGTGGTTGGCGATGCTGATGGTGTTGGTGTTGGTGTTCAGTGGAATGCCGAAGCTCGACCATTTTCAAAATCACCGCGTCACAAACGCGCAGGAGCTTGGACCATCAGAGCTCATGACATGACAGCACAGCTGAAAGTGATCTGTGCGCTAGATTCGTTTGCTCGATGCCAAATCACGTGTCACAAGAAAGCACAGACCTCCTCGACTTCCATCGTCGAACAACCACCACCGCATCTAACAAGAGTACAAGACTTGCTCAACGTCTCAACACAAGACCTGGAGTTGACAGGACGATCTTCCAAATGCTTAAGCTAAGTACGGCTTAATGCTATTCCCTGCGCCATCCAACTCGGAACAGAATACTTCCCCACTGCCCCGTCATTGACATCTTCTCTATGGTGCCTACCGCTTTCAATTGAAGAGCCCTATGCGATGACCTCTGGCCCTACTAAGAATCTAAGAAACAATTCTCACCTTCTCACCTTCTTCTCACCTTCTCACCTTCTTCTCACCTTCTCACCTTCTCACCCTCTTCTCACCCTCTCACCTTCTTCTAACCTTCTCACCTTCTTCTAACCTTCTCACCTTCTCACCTCAACCTGCTACCTTTCGTTCCTCACCTTCTGATATTCTGACCTTCTCGCCTTGCAAGATTTCGGAGCAACGACACGAACTAAACTCTCCTTTAGACCCTCGATCTCTCGTATAAACCAACTCTCAGGCCCCATCTTCCAGATATGTCACAGAAATCACTGGCAATAATACGGAACCAAGTTTGAGACTGCAGTCAGATGTATTTTGTTTCGAAAGAAGAACCAATGATCTGAATCAAAGCCAAACAGACAGCCATCCCTTCCAAAATCAGTCACTCCCAGCAAAATACTGGGAGATCATCCCCAACACCCAGCCAGCCAAACCAAACCAGCCAGTCGAAGAGGACAAGAGCAACACAGACCCAAGTCATGCACTCATGTTATCTTTTAGTATCGTGAGAAGAAGTTGTTTCGTTGTTTTGTTGTCGACAAGAGACCGCTTAAGTGCAAGCACTGCAGATGGCAGCAGCAGCGCTCACGACAGTGGGGGCAACGTTGAGGCCGCAGCTGGCGATAACGCAGCCGGCAGCGGAATTCTGGACCTCAGCAGACTTGGAGCACTGGCAGGCGTAGCCAGCTCCAGTGCAGCCGATGGCGGAGGCAGCGGACTGGATGCAGGTGGCCTGTGAAACTGTTAGTCAACCGCTGACTCAAAACTCAAAAGATCAAGCCATCGGAAGGAAGAACGTACACCGCACTCGGGCATGAGGGTGGTCTGAGGGCAGTCCTGGGCCATGGCGACGGCGCTGAAGAGAGCGAGGGCGATGGTGGTGAACTTCATTTTGAAGGTTGTTTGGGGGTCGTTTGGTTGGTTGGTTGGAAGTGTTGGAAGTATTGGAAGTGAAGAGGCTGTTGATGCGGATGATGAGAGAAGGAAAGTCGTCGATGAGGGCGGATGAGAAGGCCTCTTTATACCTTTTTCGTCGACTCCTTGACTCCTCATCCAACAACCGCAACTCGGAGACACAACGGCATCGTCAAGTTCCACATGGCAGGACACGATCGGCCTCGGCCTCCCCAGCCTCAACTTCTGACTTCTTCACGATGCCAGATGCCTCAACAACAACGTGCGGCCCGTACACACAGTGTTGGTGTAAGGTTGCTTTGCCACTAGCGCCGACTTCTTGGGCAGCAACATTGGTGGGCCGCCGGGCTTACCCGTCCTTGCCGTTGCACTATAGACGGGACCGTCCTTTGGCTTTCCCCGCGGTTCATTGCTAGCTCGATCCTTCGATGCGCAAAAAGAGATTGGCGAAGTTGATGTGGGAATGCAGGCTCGAAGGCAAGTCGCCTGAAATGGAAGGTTTTGCGCGGCGCCAGGACGCCTTACCCCGGTCTCTTGTCATGCAATGTTCCCTCGCTTTGCTAGCTTTCCCGAAAAAACCACGCTTGCGAGACTTCGGGTTGCGGGGGAGCTTCCGCTTTTTTTCGGAGGGTGATGGCATGGTTTGAGATCCAAGTGGGTCGGATCTTGGTCAGCTCCTGTTCAACGTCAGCCATTGTGGCACTGTGCCTGTTGGCGGACACTGGGGGCTACGAAAGGAATAAGGAGGTTACATCAAACCCGGAGTTGGAGTATGTTATTGGTGAAGAGGCCAAAGGAAGTGTCCGTCCTCCTCCTTCGAGCTGCCTCTCTCAGGCGCAAGGGGCGCAGGATCCAATCTCAATAATTCTGTGAGGCAATTTGCCTGTGTGAACAGCTTTTCAGTTGAGGCATCGAAAACATACTAGCAGAAGGGGACAAGGGATCTTCTAGATGGAGTCGTGTCCGGCCTGCCGTCCACCCGATAAAGTTTCTCCGAGATCTACACGCTCTGAACTCGTGGTCCAGCAGCCAAATGGTGACGATCACCTGTCAGAGCCGCCGTCAGAACCGCTGTTAACCCTTGCCCCTGTCGCTCACTGATACTCGCCAAAAGTTCACTGTTGATCGTTCCACGCTCTGACTGGCTAACAGCTGTGGAGAAACCTGTTTGGTTGTTTGTGTAGGACTGGTGGGTTGCGGTTGGACCGGCACCTGGACGACCAGAACGGCGTAGCTTCCGATGGTATGAAGTCTCAGTGCTACGATCCCCGCTCCTCTGCAAATGCAACCGGAAAAAAGGCAGGCGAGCGGTGTGAAGAATTTGAAGACAGTGAAGTCCCTCAACGCCGAGGTTGCCAAAGAGGTTGAGAGCACAGAGTTGGGGATGACAACAGCATGTGAAAGGATTACAACATCGGAGTTTTTGGCTTTGTGCCAGTTGCACTTCTCTGGTGAGTCTCTGTCAGTTCAAGCTAGGTCAACGCTCCGTACTCAAACCGTACTCAAACCTGGTGCGTCTCAGATGTCTACAAAGGTCACACGCATTAGGAGGAGGAACCAGAGGGAATGAAGCTCCAAACGAGCCCCCGGCTTAAGACTCGAGGGACGCTTCAAGAATTGCAGTCCCAACACAGCTGGAAGGGCGCAATCCACCAGCGTAAAACGCAGACGCCGAAACCGGATACTACTATGCAAGCTTCGGAAGCTAACCTCGTCGGCCTGCCGCTCTTCGTTGCAGTCTTTCGCCACCTCAGCTCATCGTCATGATGAGATATCAGGTCGTCCTCGTCCCCGCTCCCTCGCCCGCTCTTGCTTGAGAGGTGGGTTGTGACATCCTTGGTTTGGCAACCTTCACATCAATCTCATCGGACTGCTGCATTGGAGGGCCATGCTCTGCAGAGGAGTCGTGAATCAGTTGACGGGTGAGAGATATCTGCCTGGAAAGAGTGTCTTTATGATCTTGGCCAATGGGGCGATCAGATGAAATTTTGACAGCCTCCTCATATCAAGAGCAAAGCCAAGTCTTTTTGTTATCATGCATTCTGTCTTCAGGATTTTAATGGCTTAAACATCGATGTGGTCCTTGATTGCAATGATCTAACAGAGAGAGAAGAAAGAGAAAGGTAGGAGGCAACAACAACAACGTAAGTAAAAGAGCATCAATAAAAAGTACCAAAGAGAGTCCAGTCCTAACAGGTCCTAGCACATATGTCTTCACGCCCCCACCTCCACCGTCACCATTAGAAGACATCCAGATATCCCGGGTCGGCTTTCCCCCATATGTCCGTCACCGCGTGGCGCCGTATCCTCGTCTCAGCCCTCGAATGTCCAGTCCCCAGAGTCCTGTTCCGGCTCCTCGTCTTCGGCGTCCAAGTCAAGGTCGGAATCATCATCTTCCTCGCTCATTTTGTCCAGTTCATTCTGCAGCAGTTCCATAAGTTTCTCCTGAGTATTCTCGAGTACTTGTTTCACGATCTGTATTCAACCCAAAGGCCCCATAATTAGCACCGTTCTCTTTTGATGATGGGCTTGACGGGAACCCGAGAAGAAGAAGAAGCTCCAGTAAGTCAACGTCTCCCTTCTTACTTACCTTGTCTCTTAGTAGGTCCTTAGTTTGCAAGTAATTGCAGCAATGAGGGATGGAGAAGTTTTCCATCGCTTTGGCCATGGGCATGGAGAGCTCGCAGCCTGGGTGGGCGGGGTCAGGAGGTGGGACGAGGGTTGTGCCGTCGGGTCCCATTATGATTCTCGTGGCTCCTGTGGCTCCCGTGGCCACCGTCAGTGCCGTGGCTCCTATGGCTGTGGTATCTGCGACAACCGGAACCGAAGCCTGTTTGACGCTAGGAAATTGCTGGACTGGCACTTCAGAGGTGGCAGTAGCCGTGCCAGTGGCAATGGCAGTTGCAGGAATGGGAGACTTTTCAGTCTCACTCAAAGACAGCCTGGCGTACCACTGAGCCAGAGCAGCCTTTTCAGACTGCTGCGCGCGCAAGCAGACCGGATTAGTATGGTTCGGGTTAACGTATAACATGTGTTGCTGTTGGCCTTGAGGCCAGTGAGCCACATGGGCGTGAGCCTGGGGCAGGCTTCCGCTCCTTCCGTGGGCGTCATACACTGCTCCTGGGTTAGGAGGCGTCATGGGAGATGAGATTATGCACGGAGCATATTGGCCCCAGTTATGCTGCTGGTGGTGGTGCACCATTCCAACGTGTCCGGCCATATTCTGGTGGGTAGCCGGGACGATGAACGCCGGGTGAGAACCGGGAACGGGCATCCATCCGTTTGGGACCATGTTGGCGGCCGGCATGGACACAAATCTTTGAGGGACCGGAGCAGCGTGGATGGGCCGTTTGGAGTCCGCCGGCCAGGGACTACTGTCGTGGTCGTCCGGGTTCGGACAGATGGGTTGACGAGTATCCATTGTTGTTGACAACTGAGTTCAATGTCATTCACACAGGGGCTCCAATCCTTGGCGTTCCGGGTGGTTGAAGTAGTCTGGTTATTCCGAATCTGGCTCAAAACCAAGCGTGGATCGGTGGCCGGAAACCGATGATGAGCGAATGAGAGGGTGCGCGGTGATTCTTGACAGTGTTCGGTGATTGGTGTGGCCTGTCAAAGGCAAGGGTTGAGAGAACTGTTGAGAATACAACATAAAATGCATCAAACATCGGGGGGCCGACGACTCTTAAATCGATATCAACCTGTGTTGAGTAAACCTTCGAAGTTGGGGCCGGAGAGCTATCGGGATGTTGAAAGAAAGACAGCAGTTCTCAGCGAGGTACGTGCTGCCATTCTCGAAGAATATCGTGATATAGAGAATAGGGGAAAAGAGTTACTAACTTCAGTAGGACAAGAACGCTTTGCTACACCGCAATACCCACGGAGCATCACGGCATGGGCGCTATAGCCCGCTGGAATGCCAATTCTCTAGCGGCGGAAAGGTGGAGGGAGCCATGAAACGGGCATCAAGCCGAGTATTATGATGCCACACATCATTCTGTTTCAAGGCTTCTATGCACCAGAGAAAGATAAGGTAAAAGTTCGGCAATAGACAACCATCTGTCATGGCAGCGCGCCACGAGTTTGCTCCCAAAGAAGGTCCTGTGGCAGGATCGCGGGACAGGGGTCACGACATGGCCCCCACTCGGGCTTAAAGCCGGCTTGATGCCATCCCACCAGGGCTTGCGCTTGGCGGCAGCGATGGCATCGTGCCTGGCTTCAAGCCTGCGCTGTTTGGTTTGAGGCTCAAAGCCTACAAGTGTTGGCATTGCTCCAAAAACAGGGCGCAGGGTCAACATGGTGCCATTGATTGGCTGGTGAGGTTGTACAATTCCCGGGTTGGTCGCCTTGTTATTCGCTGGGCTTGAAGCCTGGCACGCCGTCTTCATATCGCCTGCCTACTCGATGCGATCGGCGCTGACATGTGTCCAGTCTTGTTATACACCAAGATCGAATATGGACGCCCACCTTGACCGATACGACCCGGGCAAAGAGCCGCTTCTCCTTGCATCAATCCAGGCTTCAAGGCTACATTCAGTTCGATCTACTTGAGTCTCATCAACTTGTCAAACGTCCAGGACGGCCTGAATACCGAGGTTATCTCACGCAATGGCTAGCACCATCCAACCAATCCGGCTGTCCTTGCTTCACGAATCTGACACGCATCCAAGCTACACGCCGGCGAGGTGCCAGGCTACACTCCCGCTTGCAGTCCCATCTTCGGTATGAATTGTGTTGACCGATGCTTCGTCCCATCCATGTCAGTTAGGCATCAACCGAGAATAAACACCTTGGGAAACGTTCAAGTAGGCCGTACTGCCATGCGGCTCTGCGGATATGTCGCGAGGATTTCACGTCTGTCACCCTCATGCTGGATCCGTAAGGGGCAAAGGGCACATGGACTGCGGGAAACTTGCTTCGCATGTGCACGCCGAATTCACGACTATATGAACCAGGCACCCATCGTTCATGCCGTAACTGTAGAAGAAAACACCAAATCGAGGTATTACAGCCAGATTGTGTACCACATTCATCTCTATACTACTTTAAACTCGTGACAAAGGAAAGCTAGGGGGGCACGCACAACAATGGCGGCCCCTGGTTATCACTACTCAAACGGCCTCTTCAACGAGGACCACCTCCCCCCAACTGGATCCTCGCCGCCTCCTCCGTATCACATCGTCGTAGCTGACAGACCACACCGGGCTTCGGCGTCTCATCCACAGGGTCAGAGTTCTCCGATCTTGACAACTTTCCAAACGCTTCCGAGAGGAGCTCCAGCCCAGGGCCATGCTACCTCCGTATCTCCTACCTCCGCCTACGCTGTCCTGGCGTCTGAGATGGCTGGCGCACAAGGGCAGGTCTACCACCAATTCGTCCAAGTGCCATATCCAGGAACAAGATATCCTCCAGGAGTTCCGCCAGGCTTCCCACCATCACCATCATCACCACTCTCGCCAGCAGCAGCGCGGTCACCACACCAAGCATCCGCACACCTCGTACCTCAACAATTGCCGACTCACACTGGCCGAGATCCAGGCTCTGCTGTTCCATCGTCTATCCAACCTACTCCTCCTGTTTCGGCTCAACAACCCATCTCTGCTCCTACCTCTACCTCTACCTTTACCTCTACTCTTACGGCTACGGCTACGAACTGCACAGATACATGGACTCCGGAGCAGGATCGATTCATCTTCCGGCTCGGCAATCATAAACGAAAGTCTCATCAGAAAATCTCCATTGCTCTGGAGGACGTGTTTCAGGTGAAGAGAGATGTGGGTGCGATTGCCAGGAGGTTGGCGCAGTTAAGGGCGAGGAGTAAGGTCTGGAGTGAGGATGTGAGCTTCCTCTTCTCTCCTAATACCCGATCATCATCAGCCTCACTCTCCATCCCTCTGTCTCCCTATTGGAAGTACTAACTCCTTCCCCCACCAGGAACTCAAACAAGCGGCGCAAAAAGCCATGCAAAGCTTCAGCTCAGTGATGCAAGAGGAACTGGCGAGCAGTTTTGAGCTCCACTTCACTGCAGACCCCAACAGAGACAGGAACAGCCTGAATGATGCAGACAACAAACAATCTGCTGATTTGAGACTGGCGGTGCGGTTGGAGTTGGAGGGGATGTTGGCACAGGGAAATCTGACCAGAACGACCCAGGAGAGAATGGTGAGTGAACAGAAGGAGAGGAGTGCTCGGTGTACGATAGCGATGGGACAGAGAGAACGTGGTCGGGAGCGGGAGTGGGAGTGGGTGGATGGGGATGGGAATGGGGACGCCGCTGGGGATCAGGTTGAAGATTATGAGATTTTGTGAGGTTTTGGCTGGAGTTTGAGTTCGCCTGTTTGGGAATGGTGATTGGTGGTTGGTTGATAAAGAAACGACAGACAGTGCTGCTGACTACCTGAGGGGTTGTCGCCGTCCTCCGACCAGTGATTTGTATGTGGGGGTGTAGACCTAGATGATGCTGTCACCAGGCCCGCGTGTTGCACTTGAAAGGATTGTTGTCATGCTGTTAAGATGTCGGCGCTGTGCCTACCAAATCTGGGTCGCCGCACTAACACTTATTCATTGCAGTTACTCCACTTGTCATGCCCCTGAAGCTGCCAAACGCTGTACCCTGCGAGCCGCCAAACCAGGGGCAGTGATGCAATGAACGGTGGAGCCCTGCTCATCTTTCCATTTGATTTGTTCTTGACCCTACTCATGGGATCCACTTTTAACGTCCTCTGGTTCCCCCAGACACTCAGAGTCCGGATGAACTCCCGGAGCAAAAAGGAAGCGGGTTTCTAATGCTCAACACCATTTCAGCACGTCCTCGTGATTGTTAAGCCCAGGTCTTTTGTTCGCGGGGTAGACGACGAAAGACGGCTTACCGGCTCCCACGCTGTGGCGGAGTTAACGGTTGGCCGGGAGAGTGGCTTGCAGATGGCGTCTGGTGGACAGCTGCCCATCAAAACCAGGCACTCTGGATCTCGACGGTGTCATTATGTATCGGACTTTTCGGAAAGATGTGGCCAGAGGAAAGTGCCAATTGCTTACCTGGGTACCTGGTGCGCGGCCGGCATCGAGACGCGTTGACAGGTACATACCTGTTCACTGGATCGTGGGGTTTCAAACGCGGGATAAGCCAACCGAATTGATGTGACGGAAAGAACTTACCAAGCTCTAATCGACCAGAATAAGGTTGAGTGGTCTTCCTTAGCGAGTCGGAGCTGGCCGCGCAATTTTCGGTGAGCCGAAAACAAGACTCTGCCAAGCAAGCCGACGTGGATGATGGAGAAAGACAACATAAACCATCAACGAGATACTTCCTACAACGAGCCAACCAGCACCAGGATTCCCAGTATCAAGCTGGTAAGTATGTCACCGCCTTGCATTAGCGCACACATTTACATGAACGACGACACAGGCAGTGACAGGGTTCGCAGAGTACTTTACATGTTGATACAGGTTATAACGAAAAGTTCATCCTTCAGCGCCACTGAAGTACTTGCTGACAAGCCGTCACCGCCAGCGCAACGCCTGAATTGTCCATCAATTAACTAGGTAATACTGTTACTTACCTTGTAATTGAGCACTTCCGCATTTGTCCCGGCAATCATTATCGGTGAGCTGGCCAGGTGGAGGTCTGGTTGCCTTGCAAACTTTGACGCTCATTGGATCAACGTCTCTTATCACATGCTACGATGGCACTGACAATGGGCTTTATGCCTACAGTGCTGAGAAAAAATACGGACCGGAAGAGTCGAAGCATTTCTTTACCAAATGTGACAGGGCCGATGACGGATGGCGGTAATGGCTGATGAGTGAACCCAGGGGCACGGGTTGAGTACACACACTGATACGAAGTTGGGTAGGCACTTCGCAAGGCACACCACAACCACGATTGGACATCACGTACCTCATCGCCCGGTGTCTGGAAATTCATGTTTCGAGCAAATGCCAACGAGGCCACATTGGACGCTCTTCACTCACCTGCCATTGGTATTGTCTGGGCTTGAAGTATCACAGCCTACGACACTACCTACCTACCTTACCGCTTTCGGACCTTGTGAGATCATGAATTGGACACGGGAGATGGGGCCTGACGACGAAGGCAGGGAAACCCAACTGTTGCAAATCGGAATACTGGGTCTACCAAGGTGCCAATCGTGCATTCCGGGCTTCAAGCCGGCGCAATGCCGGATACGGGGATCCAGACCCCGAGGTTCGTTCCATGACTGGTTCCGAACCACCACTGACTACATGGTAACAGCTTAAAAATCCCGGACCTCCCATACTCACTCCCTACTACTTCATGCTCCTTTTCGTCCATTGCTTCAACCACATGCACTAGCCACTCCCCGAGTCAAGGCCTTGCGGAGCTTATTGTTCCGTTGGCCAGGCTCAAATCTTTTTCTATTCATTGCTATCAAGCAAGCATTCTTCAATTTGACGCCCTTGGCAAAGTCATCGTTACCACTTCGTTCAATAACGCTCTCAGTCGAACTAATCACTCGAATTTTTCCATCTGCGCCCTCAGCCACGCAACTCATACCATCGACTCTTTAACAACCTTCACATCTGGTCCCATTCGATACCAGCGACAACAACCATCACTCCCTTATTCCCAATTTGGCTCTTTCCTACCTATCCTATCAACCACGCATCTCCATTAAGCATTTTCTAGATCATTGCCGAACAAGATCGTCTGGACAGTTGGACCGACGATCCGGCATCAGAGAATACGTTCCACGAAAGCCTTTTTGTACATCGACACAACCTTCTTCACTTCCCTCTTTCCCAAGCCTTGACCGGTCGAGGACCGACCTTGATTCACCAATCTACCCTTCCGCTTTTCAATATCACCTTCCATATCTACCATGTCCATGCCAAATAACCCCCAATACGGAGCAGCTATGTCACCGACTCAGTCTCAGAATGGCCGCGCTATCACCCCTATCACGGATGGCCCTGAAGTATGCACTGCTGAAGAGCCTCAACTGTCAAGAGCACCTTCAACTCACCAAGAGCAACCTCTGCCATTTGATCTGATGCAGCCTGGCTTGGGCTGGGATGTGTTATCAGCTGGCAGACCAATGACCGGTGCCCAAGTATACGGTACCTCAGCCTATAACACCCAAGGGGGGGCGTACATGGGTCAATATCCCGATATCCCAACCGACACTGGCCCCTACGCAGTCCAGCACGCCCACACTTCTTCCGCCATGCCCTATCACAGCTTGCGGCCACAGACGGCATTCGAAATGGATGCAGGTACTGATGCAGGACAAGCATCTCGCCCTCAGATGCACTACTTGCCTGATGGAAACTCCCCCACGCTGCAGGGCCAGCACCACGTCTTCTTACCCAACCAATCAGCTATGACTGCTCCTGGGTTCGAGCCCAACAACGTTGATCACTTCAACGGCTCATCATCATCCGGGCCACATCCGAGACAAAGCCTCGCCAATGCTTCGACTTCGTATCAAAACCCCGACGAGCCAAATGCCAACCAGAACGGCTGGACGCAGGACCAGGAGGACCTCATCCGTCGATGCAAAGACGAAGGAAAGAAAGTAAAGCAGATTGTCGCCAAGCTGAAGAACACATTTGGCGTGGTGAGATCGGGAAACGCCGTGTCGAAGAGATGGAAGATCATCAAACAGCGCTCTAGCAGAGTTGTAAGTGCAACAAATGATACCTACCTCCCGTCTACTTACCTCTACACCCTTCTTATACTCACATAGACTGTACATACCTACAGGAATCGAAAAAGGTCATACAGAACGTCATGCCATCCTCATTTCAACTGTTCAACACAGAGCTAGCCAGAATTGCCCCTGGATACCTCTTTGACGCGAGCGGCGGCCAGAATCATCAGCACGATCCGCAAGTCAGCGGGATCACGCACGAGGTGCAGGAGTACTTCCAGAAAGGGTACACCAAGTTGGTGGAGGAGTGCGTGTTTATGTGGCAGAGAGGACAGGCTCAGCAGCCTCAGGGACAGGGACAGGGAAGGCACGGAGGTGCGAACCTGTGAGGGGCGGTAGAGGTATCCTAAGGTACGGTTCTTTTCCAACTTTTTTTTTACATGCATGTAAACGGGACAGGAACTGTTTCATTTTGATCACTTCCCTTGGGTTCATGTGGTTTGTGTTTCTTGACCGCGCTGGCAGACGAATATTTATACGGTTTCAAACCTTTTCTTTGTTCTTGTTGTTCTTCTTGCAGGTGTTCAAATATGTGCATGCCCTTGCGCTTGCCAGCGGTAGGGAGTGAGAGTTTCATCTCTAGTCGTTGTTGCCCGGAGTCAACGTTATCGCTGCCTTCCTTCCTTCCTTCCGTCTTTCCTTCCTTCCTTCCGTCCTTCCGTCCTTCCCTTCTGCCCTGCACCTCAACCAGGCAGCTGCCTTCCACTCCACCTCCTGGCTCCTGCCTGCCTTGGGTACTCAAGGTACCTCTGCCTGTGCTCCTTGCCACACACAAACAATCAAAAAAAGCGCGGTTGGCGCAGTGGTCTAACGCATCACTCGATTTGTGGGTTGAAATTCCCAGAGAACCTCTTTTCAAAGACCGACTCTGGGGGCAAAAATTTCAGTAGAACAAATACTGAGTGAAGACCCGGGTTCGAATCCCGGACCGCGCAAACTTTCTTTTCTTTTTTTCCCATCCTTTTTTTGTACATTTTTCTCCCAAAGACGGCTTCGGGATTTATACCTCTAGCTCACTCAGTATGGGCCCCATGGGGACTGATTGGGTAGACCTCACTCACTCAGTCATTCCCCAAAGGCTTCCACTCCCGATCGTACAGCATGGATACCCAGTAGAAATCATCCCCAACATCGAACCTTTCGCGAACGTGTTTCATGCGTGCGACTAACAACATCAGTCAGCGTTTCAAGGAACCCTGTGATGCTCTCGACCACCCGTATACCGCGTAATGACCATCTCTTCGCTTTTGAGGATAACAAACAACACAAAGGTCATAAACTCCAAACTTACCTCGTGCAGGATCCCTGATCATATCTCCTGTCCTCCACACAAAATCCAGCTGTTCGTCGCTCAAACGAGCCGCCTTCGAAAGCTCCTGCCTTCCCGCCTCATCGTGGGGGATGTTGAACGGCAACACGCCCTTATTGATGAAGTGGAAATGCGCGAGCATCGTCTGGGCTCCGGCATGGTGAGCTTTGATGCTCTCGGGATTTGCATACTCGGTCTGTTGTTTTCCGTACAAGTCCGTCAGTCAGTCAGTCTGTCAGTCTGTATCCACACTTGCCTGATACCATTGACGACCAAACGAAGGTAAGTAACATACCCTCATCCCCCACTTCCTAGCCGTCTCCGCGTCCCGTCTTGTCACCATCGAGCAACTATGCAATAACACAAAGAGCGCTAGGTAGATGGTGAACCAGTACTCCCTCTTCTTGGCTAGGACCAGGTCATTCAGCTGCTTCAGCACGGCCTTGCTCCAGGGGCGCAGGAAATTCGTGTATTCGATGCACTCAAACTGGGCCGTCATGATCTTGGGCATCGGTACGCGGCCGTAGTACTTGCTCTCCGGTTCGGTGATGGGAGTGCCGCCGAGTGTTTCTGGGCCGCAGATGAAGACGGGGTTGCTGGTTAGGCGGCAGACGACCCAGAGACGGAAGACGTTGGACATGAGGCTGCGTTCTTGTCCGGTCTGTTTGGGGCTACTAGTCAGTTTTGGCAGCAGGAGATGTGGGAGTGAGGAGGACAGGGCTAGAAGACGTACATTAGCCTCGTTGATATGTCGAAAGGCCATCCCGTACGTCTCCCAGAAGACGGTATCCAAATGCCCAACCGTCGCCACGATGAACTTGGACACGCTCGTTTCAATGTAGGCCTTCAGGGTCTCGCCTGCTTCGTGCATCTCTGCCAGTGCGTATCGCGGTAGAGCGACCTGTTTCATGCCTTGGGGCGTCTTCCACATTTCATGAACCACATCGCCTTCTGCGGGATTGAACTTTCGGACGCGGAACTCGAAAGGAGCATCGACATGGACCGGCGATACTACGATCGTACGGATGTCCGAGGATTCCCAGTCGCTAGCGGGGATGTCGATGATGTCCATGCTCTGCCATCGATGCGAAAAGGAGGGGTGTTTCTGCTCGCGGTAAAGAGAAGCGTCGGTGACGATGTATCGGTAGCAGGGCATCTTGCAGAGGGTTGGGCCGGTAATGCGTTTGCAGGTGAGACACGGTCCGTTAGGATCCGATGGGTCGGGATTGCACTGCGGTGGAGGGTCCTTGTTAGCTTAGATGGCACTCCGGTGTGTGAACTGCGGTCCGTTAAGTGATATATGAAGGATTGGAAGTCATACACGACCCCTGTTCATCCTACACCTGATGCACGACTTGAGGACACGAGTGAGAGCGGTGTTGAGTCTCATACTCTCGTCAGTATACGGACCTCGTCGTTTAGTTCTTGATTTGCTCCCTTCACAAGTTGGCTCGGGTTTGGGTTTTGAGACTCCATTGTTGCTTTGAGGCTTGACCTTCTTTCTTCGTTGGATACGCTGTTTGGTGTTCTTGGTGAGCAAGTGTTCTCAATCTGAGGACTAAGAAGACGTACCGGAGGGAGCTCCCAATTTTTTGTAATAGGACCTGAGGAAGCAGAAGGAGCTGGCTCTAGGGCTGCCTCCGGGGCTGGGGGAACCTCAACCCGGTCATGCATTGTCATCCCCGGAGGCTGACATGTCTCAGGTTCTGCGAACGCATCATCAAAGTCTTGTAAAAAGCCCGACGGTGTGTTATACTCGATGACGGGTTGTTCTTGAACCGTCATTGTCGATTCATCTTGACGATGATAGGATGATGTTAGCGACACTGGCGTGGCAGGGCCATGAAAGTACAAATGACTCTCGGAAAAAAGGCTCGCTGCTTCATCGAATGCTGTCAAGTTAGAGCTGCTGAGAAACGAGTCGATATCGCTTGGCGTGGACATGTTGAACGTCAGCAGTGGCTCAGGGGTGCTGACGCCCGAGCGGGAGTCGGGAATAAGACAGATCTCGGGTACCAAGCCCTGAGATTGGGCTTGGGTGTTTCCATTTGTAGGACAAGCCATGGGAGTTTCTCTTTCGGGGGTAGCGTAAGTGTCAATATCGAGGATCTGAGTATCGAAGATATCTCCAGCGTCAAGACCGAAAGCTCGCTCTTGGTATGACCATTGATCGACAACGGAGGGGTAAGGGGTGGCGCGAACGGGTGCGCAGTTCAGGTCTTCCGAGGTCGAGAACCATGATACAGCAAGGTCTCGATCGGGTATCGAGCCGTAGTGTTCCACAAGAGCCATCATCATCTTGTTGTGGCTGAAATCACCGAGACAAACATCCGCCGATTCCATTGCTGTGGTTTCCATGGCGCAACACAACTTTTACAAGAGTATGCCGAAAGTCACAAACAGCGTATGGGTTATGGATAGGGGATGATATATGTGATGTTTTGTTGTCGTGTTGATGGAAGCCGAGCTCATATCCGGGGATGGACGGTTGCATGAGTGCTACCCTTCCACAGTGGCTTGGAGCTTGGCAACATGAAGCTGAGATAGCGACAGTTGTCCAGCGCTACGTACTGCTAAACGCCGACAGCCCGATGAGAAGTCACTGTTGTAGACGGAACCATCAAGGTGAGCATGGCCGTAGGATTCCATTCCGCGCAATGATGGGGCGACGCTGTGATTGGTGTGTGACCGAACCGATTTCCTCCTTTCGACCTGTCACGTATCTAGCTTACCTACCACAGTATAGCTCCGACAGAAGAGCCTCATGATGGATTCCCAGGAGTCGGGCGTTCCGAGCATTACGTCCTTCTTATGTAACGTTGAATGAGCCCGTAAAATATCCGGCTATCAGATCTTTTGTCATTTCCGTAGGACCGCGCCGGTTCCAAGGACAAGTTTTTGCACGCCGCGCGGAAGTGTACCCTTCAGGATACAGAGACTCGGGAGAGAACAGTATCGGAATCTCATATGTCCCCCAGATTATTAACCGAACGTCAGCATACGGGCGGTCGTTAGCACTTTGAAACCAACACGTTCTGTAAAGCAATGTTAGTAAAGAATCTCATGAACTTTATCAACACGTTCCGTAAAGCAATGTCAGTCAGTTGACGAGGGAATATCCCCAGGATGACTCCCAAGAACAACCTCTTGCAAAGGGCAAAGAAGGCGGATGACACTGCGAGTTCTGACGCGACCTGCAGGTCAATCAGACGGCTTCGTCCGAGAGACATCCAGATGGGGTCTGTTGACGTGGGATTGAAGTTGGATAGGTGAACATCGGATGCCAGTGGTGAAAGATGGAAAGGGACGAGAAATGTTCTGGGTGGGAATTGTTAGTGGGATGGGAGAAGGAGTGCACAGACCACTTCCTCAACGTGTTTCTTATTCGCTTATGCCAGAACCTCGACCTCCAACCAAGAGGCCATCAGGTTCGAGAGCCAGAGACATGTGAGATTCGGACGGTAAATTTTGTAGTCGATAAATCGAAACGGTCCGTTCTTTTCATGAATTCCACTCTGTTGAACTGCCGTGAACATGGTTGCGTTTTCGGTGATTGTCGTGAGAAAAGCATTGCCAAGCATCATGACTTTGGCGGTTGATCGTTCCGCTTATCAGTGATAAGATAGCGATAAGAGCTCCAAATATCAATGACGTAGTGCTCCTTCTCAAAATGACACTCTACGCGGGGCCGAGAGGGCCCTACAACAACAAAGACCGAGAACAGAAGGGACGATGACGAGGAATTGATATTAGCGTTATGCGAATCCTTCCTCATTCGGTACCATGCTTTTGCCTGGTTGGCTCTCTGACGTCGTGAACGTTCTCCTCGTGGTCGGTGGCTATATAAGTTCTCGGTAACCCTTCCCCTAACATCTCCATCTTCGCAGCACCCCAACACAAAACACCATACTCACGACTTAATACAAACACAAACAAAAAACGAAAACACACCATGGCGACTGCTCAATTAGCCTACGGCGTCGAAAGGATTGTCGGCCACGGCCCCGAACAAATCAAGCAGGACATCTCCACCTACGACCCCGACAAGGGAACCGGCGATGCCTCCCAGCTCATGAAGGCCCTCGTCTGGGAGGGCAATAAGAAGGTCCAGGTCGTCGAGGTCCCCAAGCCCAAGATCGTCGAGCCCACCGACGTCATCCTCAAGGTCACCGGCTCAACCATCTGCGGCTCCGACCTGCACCTCTTCCACGGCGCCGTCATGCAGATGAACAAGGGTGACATCCTCGGCCACGAGTTCTGCGGTATCGTCGACCAGGTCGGCCCGGCCGTCAAGAAGGCCCAGGTCGGCAAGCGCTACGTCGTGTCCTTCCAGATTGCCTGCGGCGACTGCTTCTTCTGCAAGAACAAACTCTCCAGCCAGTGCGAGGTCACCAACTCCAACACCCAGATGAAGGCCATGTACGGCGGCCGCACCGCTGGCATCTTTGGCTACTCCCACCTGACGGGCGGTTTCGCCGGTGGCCAGGCCGAGTACGTCCGTGTGCCGCTGGCCGATGTCAACATGCTCGAGATCCCCGACGACGTTCCCGATGAGAAGGCCCTCTACCTTTCCGACGTGCTTCCGACTTCTTACAACGCCGTCAAGGATACCGCCGTGTATCCCGGCGATGCCGTCGCAATCTTTGGTGGTGGTCCGGTTGGCCAGATGGTTGGCGTCTACGCGCTGTGGGAGGGAGCCAGCAAGGTTATCTACGTCGACACGGAGCCGAGACTTTCCTTCGTCAAGAGCCGCTGGCCAGCCGAGCACCAGGATAAGCTCCAGTTGGTTGACTTCAAGCAGCTCAGCTATGGAATCACCACCAAGGAGACGGTTGTTAGCAAGTTGAAGGAGTTGACCGGTGGTCGCGGCCCAGATGTCGCCATCGACTGCGCGGCCGGAGAGTATGCCAAGGGCTGGTTGCACTGGCTTGAGATGCAGCTTGGCGCCGAGACAGATACCAGCGAGATCATCAACGAGATGGTCGAGGGTGTGAGGAATTACGGCAGAGTTGGTTTGACCGGTGTCTATGTCGGCTACACCAACCACTTCAACGTCGGCTCTCTCATGCAGCGCGGCATCCGCCTCATTGGAAACGGCCAGGCACCTGTGCACAAGTACTGGGAAGAATTGTTGCAGAAGATCCGCGACGGCACCCTCGATCCCACCATCATGCTTTCCCACCGTGTCCGCCTGGATGATATGGACAAGGTCTACCATAAGTTTGATGCAAAGGAGGACGCCATGCAAAAGGTCTTCGTCGAGACCAAGTTCTCTCTGCCTCGGGCTCCGGGAACTCCCGAGTTGACGACCTACGAATAAGTGGAAGTGGAGGAGATACCTAATGATGTAGTAGTAGTGTACTAGTAGTAGTATGCTGTGTCACGACGTTATGAAGAATGAATCAAGCTTTTTGGATACCATCAATAGTTTTTGTCTCGGACAACATCTTGTGTCGGCGCAGAACACAGCACTTGCCTGTCGCCATCGTAACACGGTTGGGAACAGTCGCCAGCAAGGCCAAGTTCGTGAATAGGTAGCAAGCCACCCGTGTTGTTCTCTTGCAATGCAGAAATCGTGTGCACTGACTGATCATGGGTGGGCAGACGCATTATCGCAAGGTCCTGCATGAGGCTATGAGCAGCAGGAGCTTGTTTTCGTACCAACAGCCACTCACGCAAGCCCCGCGCCTCGCATAAGAACATTGCTAATCGAGGTCGGCTTCTGGACAACAGATTGGAACGATGATTGCTTCCTCAGCCCCGAAGAGCGTTCTAGCTCATGACTTGGCAAGATCATCAAGGGGACCTGATCTTGATCGACAATCATCGCTGTCACCGTCACGGATCGTCGAACCGCCCTGCATTTACTCCACATCGTCAGTCGTTGACGTTCCCGATCGCCGGCTGTTCATCGGTGACGTTGTCGTCGTTCAGACGGCTTCCTTTTTTTTTTTTAACTACCTCGACCGATTTGTTGCGGAGAGAATCCTGTGTCCGGGCAAGCTGCAATCGACAGCTGATCCAACTTGATTGCCCGCCAGACCCAAGGACGCTCATGATCATCCGGAATTCAAAAGGGGATCAAGCACCAGCACAAACACGTGCCACCGCAAATGCAAACAAAACAGTGGGAGATGCACTTTTCCTGAAATACGGTTCACAGATCATGCCGTGCACCTGCATCCACCATGCCCCCGTATCAATGCAGACCACTGCCGACGGGCATCTCGCTGTGGCGTTCTAGGATGGCACAGATGGCTTGGATGGTTTATGCCGATACGCATTGGGACCACGGGATCCGTGACCACTGCAATCGCAAACAAAGATGGAATGAATGGTTTGGCCTTGTCCTTTCCCTTTTTATCCTTTGCTCGTTTCAATTGTGCTAGGATCATGAGTTGAGAGTTTCAGGAATAACAAACAAATTGTGTGTCAAGGGAACAATGGAAAGCTTTTCTTTTTCTCCATCATCCCGTGGCCGCCCTCTCACGATGGATGTGTCCATCCGATCCGCAAGATCGTCGTCGTCTCCCACAGTGACTTCCAAGACCCTGGAGGTCCAGGTCTACGAAGAAGAAGTTGAAGCCGACGAAGCCGACGATCAAGAACGGCTGGATGATCCCCTTATATCTCGACGATCACGATCACCTCCCGTTCCTCCCCCAGTCAGCTGTGATGTGGATCGTGACCCACCATACGACGACAGTGCCAGCGACAGCAACAGCGACTACGGCTTCCTTGGAAGTCCCACCCCCCTTCGATCCCGTCCTCACGGTTCCCGATACCGTTATTGTCACCGTACCACCACGGCCGGCAGTGACGGTCTTTTCCCAGCGTACCCGTACCATCTGTACGACCTTTCGTCGAGATCCAGTCCCTCCCAGTATCATTACCCCGATCCCGACGCCCAACACAAAGAAATGTTTTCTCTCATCCACAACCCACGCACCTTCCTCCGCTTCATCTTCGGCATCGTCTTCCTCATGTGCTTCCTCACCAACATGGTCTCCGGCGGTCCACTAGCCCAACACCTCCGCGACGCCTTTCACCACCGGCCATGGGCACACGAAGACCTTCGACGAGATGCTGCACAGTCGCAGTCGCAATCCCCACCACCACAGGGTGGTGGTGTAATCCGCGTCGCGGCCGCGCCCATCCAAATCGATCCCGCCGGCGTCTACATCCGCGCTTCTCCCCTTTACGACTCCAACGGCCACCCCGACACCTCGCGCATCATAGCCGGCTACGCCGCCACCTCCGGCCCCGACCGCGTCCTGCGCGTTTCCTTGTCAACCGACTCCGGCGCCTCCTGGTCTCGGCTAGGGGAAGTAACCCGTCGCCCCTCCGACGGGACCTCAGACCTCGACAACGCGATGCCCCTCGCTTTGCCGTCAGGTCGCATCCTCTTTGCCTTCCGGAACCACTCTTTGGCCCCCTCCCCCACGGGTTTCAGCTACACACACTACCGCCTCACCGTCTGCTCCTCCTCCGACGGCGGGCTTACCTGGTCCTTCCTCTCGCACATCGACGAACGGCCCGCCTCTGCCTCTGCCTCTCCCTCAGACAAAAACGGCCTCTGGGAACCCTTTCTGCGCCTAGCCGCAGACGGCCGCACAATCCAAGCTTACTACTCGTCCGAAAACTCCGCCAGTTCCCAAGACAACCTGATGCGCTTTTCCACCGACCAGGGAAAAACCTGGTCGGACCCGCCCATTTTAGTCTCCAACAACAAAAACTCGAGAGACGGAATGACGGGCGTTTCTCCCTTTTTTTCTTCCTCCTCCTCCCCTTGCAAGCAAAACGAATTAATCTGCGTTTTCGAAACAACCTCCCCCCACGACGGAACCTTTAGCATCGCTCGCGTCTTGTCTCATGACGACGGACTTACCTGGTCCGACCGGCAAACGGTGTACGTCGCAAAGGACAAAAAATGGGCCGGCGCGCCGCAGGTTTATTTGGTGGGGGACACGCTCGTAACAAGTTTCCTGACGAACGAGGGAACGGATTTACGGAAAATTGATGGGGCGTATACCAAGCTTGTCACTAGCAGAGATCAAGGCAAAACGTGGACGGAGACGGGGCAGGCGGAGACGGTGGCGGGGGTGGGGAGTCATTGGCCTGGTTTGTTTTCATTGAATGAGACGCACTTTTTGGCGCTGTATTCGACTGATGAGATGGGTGCTGTGGGGCATTTGCTGAGTGTTTCTTCTTCTTCTTCGTAACTTCTTCTTCTTCGGGTTGACTGTCTAGTCAGTAGTCTGTCTTGCGACTGACTGCTCTGTGCTTTTCAGGGCAGGCTAGTACATAGGCCCCGGGAGGTGGTGGATAGAGGTGGGATGTACATTTGGGGTTTAGGATACTGTAATACTTCAGGATAATTAATAGTAATTATTAGCATGCATTACATACCATACCTTCCATACGATATAGCGAGCGCAATGGCTCGACAAGGGAAAAGGCAAGGAAGCGAAAGGAGAAGAAGCAAGCAGGCATATGATAAATAATAGGTAAAAAGCGAAATTGATTCTCCTGTTCCCGAGCGAGAAAGGAAGATTAGAGGGAAAAAAGGGCAAAAAAAAGGGCAAAAAAAACAAAAAAAAAAAAGCGAAGACAGTAGCTACTCCACTGGTTCGAACGCCTTACGTTTCGTACTCGTCAAGGCTCAGCATGGGAGGGCAGGAGGGTAGGGCCACTACCACTGCGCCATTCAGCCCCGGGAGGTCGCGGCCTACCTGCCTTGGGAGGTGTTGGGAATTGGTGCGGTTGAAGTAATACATATACCTAGTAACTGGTTGGTCAGGGCTGGACAGGGGACACGGCACGGGACCAAGCGAGGGGAGGAGGAGGAGGAAAGATGGGATGAAATTTTGAGGAGGGGAGATAAGGTATGACGAGGGTGAGCAGCTGAAGAACGAAGGTCCGCTCGGTATCTTCAGGAGAACGAACATGGGGAAGACTAGTCATTTGCATAGTGTTTCTTGAGATGTCATGGTAAGGAATCGATAGGAACTGAGGAGTGGCTTGGATTAATGGGCGTTGGGGGACAAAGGATGGGAGATGAATAAATGCCCGAGCGGCATTCGTTGCGTAATAGTAGTTTCTCCGCATGTATTCTTGTGAGACCTCAGCAGGCACCAGAAGATCGAAACAGCGGCTCGCTGTACGGCAACGGGCAAGTGCCGACATCTAAGACATTGGGTGATTACGAGTACATGGCGCAACAACGCATTTTCACATTCGCAGACAATTCTGTCAGCGTAGAGCGAGCTCGTGGAAGTTCATGGAAAGAGAATGAGATTTTCATCAAAGGGTATCCGTATCAACAGCCGTTACTCCATCCTGCTGCCATCCTCCGCCATCGCCTTGCTAACATTGGGTATTAGGGGTATTGGGTATTAAAAGAAAACATTCCTCGCCGTCACTTCCAGTCCGATATCATCAAGTCGTAACAAAGACCATCAAGGCCCTAGGTATCCAGTTCTCCCGGTTCTTCCAGTCCGTCTCTCACTTCCACCACCTGTCATCAGAGTCGTCGCAGACACAAGTGTGTCATCACGTCATACGGGTAGCTGCATCGGTAACCTCGTTTGGTTTGCTTGCATCGTTTGTCCACTCTCCATGAGCACAGCAGCAGGGCTTCGTCACCTCACAAAGCGAGCTTAAACGACAGCAGCAGTGCGGGGAGTAGCGCGGTGCCACTGCCACCAGGTGTAGAGGATGTTGAACAACAGGCCGAAGCTATAGTTGTAACATTGTTAGCAATTCGTCACAGGAATACACAGCACACCCGAAACTGGAAACTTACAAAGCAATAAACGTAAAAGCCTCCAACGCATGCCAAATAGAAGGAACATAACGGTTCGAGTAACTCTCAGCAGCGAACACGACCGAGACCAGCCAGAGGTAGCTGAAGATGAGGTTGAACAGCAAGCTGTAGCTAGGGCGCGGGTGGAGCATGAACGAGAGCAAAAAGAAGGCGACGGTGAGGACGGCGATGACCAGAATGTACACCAGCCGGTTGCCCGGCCATGCGTTCGAGCCGGCGTACTTTTTGATCTGGTGGATCTCGTAGGCCGAGATGCCGAGCACGATGACGGACGAGAGCCAGATCAGGATGTTGCTGAGCGTCAGGATCGGGTGGAAGACGCCGCGACGGTCGGCGTGGTGGGTACCATGGGTGGTGGTGGTCGTCGTGTGAGTGGTGCGGGGAGCGCGTCCGAAGGCCATTGTGACTGATTTGGTGTTTTAGATTACGATTATTGAAAGGTGATTAAGTGTAGGTACTGTTGATCTTTGTTGATGCTGCTGGCTTTATGATGGTAGGCTGACCGTCCTGCGTTGTTGTTGCAAATAAACAGTGTGGAAGCAAAAGGAGTAAAGGTGAAGGAATGGGAGTGGGAGGGAGAAATGCTGGTCTTAAATCTGGTGACGGATGGAATGTGTAGAAGTGGGCAGAAGGACTGGGAATGAGCAATGTAGTTACCGTAGTTGCCCATTCACTTCACTTGTCATTGTCTGCCTCGTCTCAGGCTTGGTTCTTTCCCTGACTGCCTGTCCTCCCACCGTCATTGATAGGCTCATCCCAACCAGTCACCAACGAGAATGTGGTGGAATGTAACGGATGGCCAAGAACTGGGCAGGTTTGTACACCGCAATTGACCAAACACAACTGGCCAGCACCATCATCCATCATTCCTGCCTTGTAAGGTGCCATGCTCGCCATGCTTGCCAAGTCTCTCCTCTCCAGTCACTTTCCCGACATCACTCTTGTCTGTCGTGCAACCGGAGCGTGTGATGGATGGTGGTCTCCGGGGCGGGCACTCACTCATTGAACCATCCACATGCCGTTGATGCCCTCGTCCCAGCAAAACGTGAATAAGAAGAAACGAAAGACCCTTCATCCAATCCCTGTAAATCCTTCCCGAGAGCTAATGCGTGCCTGTTCTGACGTCGGTGTAAAGAGAAAACATTGCTGACGACCGGGGAATGATTGGATGGCTGGGATCTTGACCACCATGTGATTGCTAACAGTTTTTGCCGAGGTACTCACCATACGCTGTTAGTGTAGGAAGCTCACCCCCGATGCGCTACGTCATTTTGCAGGGGTGTCACAGCATGCCAGTCACCCAAAAACTGACCAATGACGCTTCTCCTTAGATGTGCCAGTCTTGACAAAACAACCTCCCCCCTCCAAGGAACCATGACGGATAATCATTGGTTTTCCGCAGTCATGGGATCAGGCTTTTTTTCTTCATGATGCCGAGCCTTGCGCCAACAAAACATTCGATGCCCGACTTGTGTGATTCATCCTGTCGATTGCCCAGCGAATATCGAGATGCGGTGATGGCTGACCAATGCGACACTGATGCGCAACCACGATGGTGTTCTGTCGCAAGGATTGGAAGAATGCGAGGGTGACATCCGCAACGGCTATCGGCACTCTGTTTCAGTGCCGGCATCGATATTGGCCGAGTATGGGTGTTGCAGTCACAGAACACTCCCGCTTGCAACTCTGTGCCGCAATGCGGAGATATTGAGAGACAAGACATGATCCGCGCAACGACCACAGAAACCCAAGATGCGACTAGAACCGACGACGATACCGCTTGATTATATCCAAAAGCTTATAGCGACAAAACATTCCTCAAAACCTCTTCTAGCTTCACCTCCGGCTTCTCAATCACCGACCTACTCCTCCATGCCACAAACCGATCCGGCCTCACCAACACACACCCATCATCCTCGACTTCTCTCTTCTCCGCCCAGTCAAAGTACACATCCTCGTAATCCTGCTTCCAACCAATCGAGTATGCGACAACCTCGACACCCAACTTCTCCCCAACCGCCTTCACCGCGTCCTTCCACGCCTGTCCGCCTGGTCCGGTAAGCAAACAGAACCGCCGATGTCCCGCCAAGTCAATCGTCGACATCTTCTTCCCAGGCACCCGTGTGTTCAACCAAGCATGCGGCAGCCTGCGTCCGGGATACGTAGTAACCTGGAGCGTCCTGACCGCATCCTTCGGCGCAGGCGGCGCCTCTCCCTGATCTGCTAGATATACCGCGTTCGACACGTATTTCTGGTTCATCTCGATGCCCAGCCCGTGGAACTCGGTTGTGGTATTCTCGATCCCGTCACGGAACGCCTTCCTTCTCAGGCGGCCCTTCTCACCAGGGTCCTCAAACTCCGCCAAGATCTCCGCCACCTTCTCCTTGTCGTCCTCCAGCAAGCCCAACGTCTTCTGCCACCCAAAATGGTCGCGCAACCCTTGATTCGCCCTGGTCACGATATCCACGCCGACCGGCTGCCTCTCCTTGTCGAAACTGTCCAGCAACTGCTTGCCCGCCTTGCCAGACATGACATAATCCACCTTCCACGCCAAGTTGAAGGCGTCCTGGATGCAGGTATTGCTTCCCAGCCCGTTAAACGGCGGATGCCGATGTGTCGCATCGCCAAAGCAGAACACATTCCCACCATCGGAATACCGCTCCGCAACCACCTCGTTAATCCACCACTTGCTCGCATGCAGCAGCGTCACCTTGATATTCTCATCCCCAATCACCTTCCTCACGCGCGCCACGTACTCCTCGTTGGTAGCGCTCATATCATCCGCCTTCAAATCGGTTCCCGGCTGGGGCAAGAAGATAAACATCCACTCGTCCCACGCCCTGACCATTCTAACAATGCACTCCTTGCCCCAAGCCGGGTACTCCTCTTCCTCAGGGTTGATCACCCAATGAAGATTTCCCGACCGATTCTCCATCAGATGCGACAGATCGGCGCGCGCAAAGACGTTGAGCGCCAACCCCTGGCCAGGCTTCTTGATGAGGGGCAGCTGCAACTCGCGGACGACCTGACTGCGGGCACCGTCGCACCCGAAGAGGTAGCGCGACTGGATGAAGTAGGTCTGTCCCGTGAGCTCGTCGAGGACTTCGGAGAGGATAACATCCGGAGATGGGCGCGAGAGGCGCACGTAGCGCGTGTTGAAGCGGACGGTCCAGCCGGCGTGGGTGGCGCGCTTGACCAGGATGGGTTCGAGGAGGGTTTGCGGCAGGTCGATGTGGTCGCACGGGCTGGCGGCTTCGTAGGCGCCCTGCGTATGATATTTGTTAGCGTTTGGCGGCGGCTTTCTGGGGAAGCCGGCGAGGAGCTAAGTAAACAGGTAAGTAACCCACCTTATGCTTCGGATCATGACCCCACGACCAAACCCTCGCAAACTCTTCGCCCGCCATGCTACGACACCACCGCGTGTGCTCCATGTGCTTGCTATCTGTCCCGGCGTTTCTGCATTCTTGTTCCAGTTCGATGTCTCGTAGGCATTCTGTCGGGAAACAACCAACACTGTTAACGGTTTGCGCCTATGGGATCGGGCAGCATTACGTGAGGGGGAAGCAATCCTGCTACGTACCAAGAGCAGCCATATTGGTGATATGAGCTCGTGGTGTATCCGCAGTGCCGGGAGCGGCCGCGATCAAGATGCCGGTTCGTCCTGGGAGTGGGAGGCGTTAGTCGTCAGCGTCGAACTTGGGGAGATCGGAGATTGATGGGTGATGGATGGCTTACCATGAGCAGCAAGAAAGCAAGCCAACGCAGCACCCGCTGGTCCAGCGCCGACGATCAGCAGGTCGGTCTGGAGGATGTTGTCGTGTTTCTCTGTTTGCGTCATGGTGAATCCCTCTGCTTGGTGTTTCTGGGAAATTCGGAAAGGGATCAAACTTGAACAGCCGTAGAGACGGAGACTCGCTCGGGGGAACCCATCAAGTTATTTAACTCGGTTCTACACTACTATGGAGAGGGCAGGAGAGGAGCGGGCCTCCTCCCTCGGCCCTCCCCGTCAAGGGTTCCATTGCATCAGAAGCGGAGTCGTACCTTCCTAAGCCGATAATCTAGCGATCAAACTACAGTATATAACGCCTTGGCTTTGGCTCTCTCCGTGTTGGTCATTCTGTGCTGCCATTGGTGGCTTGGTGCTTCCGTTGCTGTAAGCATCCGTATCCCGTTGGCTGTGGACTTGTGAACATCGAGGCTCTCGATCCCAAGTCAATCTGAGTAAAGCATTACGAAGACGGTGACGGTGTGGTTGGTGACCGGGCCTGTGCGCCTAGGCAACGCGGGGCGGGCAGGCGGCAGGAGCGGATCGGCACGGCACCTGCTTGCGTCGATCGGAACGGGGGTGGGATGGTGGTGGTGGAGTTTGGAGATGAAACATTTCGAGATACATATTCATCACAGTGTTTTCTTCTCACAAATACCTTACATAAAGTATTACGGATCACTGTACTATACCCCTATCATATTACCACTAAGCCAATGTCATCTTCAAAAGAGTGACGGTGAAACGAGACACCCAGTTACCAGTTAGGCTCGATTCTAGACCCGCCATTATAAACATGTTGATAATCAGGAGGAAACATGGAACAAAACCACTTTTGCATGCGTTGCACTGCTTGGTCAATTGTTGGTCAGACGCCATGTGGAGTTGATGAACCGTTGTTCGGAGAATGTGGGGATGTCAGCGAGCGGTTAGCGGCCCGGAGCGGGGTCGGGGTTATAGCGGGGTTAGGCTAACAACACCCGGCGGCGTTTGGCAGGGACAGGGCGGAGGTTTCTCCAATTGTTTGATGTCTCCAAATTCCACTTTATATTCCCAATTTCTCCAACTCTTCACCTCATCAAGTTTTCTCTCATTCTGAATGCCTTCTTCTCCATCACATACTTGTGTTCCTGATGTACAACACCGACGGCTTCCTAGTTGGCTTTCTGGTCAAAAAATCTTTGAACTATCAAAGGAACAGCAGCAAATACCGACAATTGGAGATGTCTGCCATTCGCCTCATTATCGTATCCGATGGGATGCCTGTCGTCTCCCGGGGTGTGTCGTTTCCCATCTCGACATGGGCAGTTGGGCATTCCAGTCCCATTCCTGCCTCAGCTTGCTCGGGTCTTGGTATCTACTTCAAGAACAATCACGCGGCCCGTCATCTTGTACCCCCTCCCGCTCGCCCTGTCGCCGTTGGTCACTTGCCCATCATAATATATATACGAAGGGTGCTTCGCAAGCTCCCAGTAGAGCCTACCAAGCTTGAGCAAAATAGAAAAAGGAAAAAGAACAAAAAAAGAATTAACAAGCGATATCTAACCAATCTTGAGATTTAGACTCCACGGGCTACACGCGACCGTGACAGGATATTCCAAACTCGAAAGTCTGGCTGCATACTTCGATAAATGGCACTGGGCAGTCTCAAGGCGGGAATTGAACCCACGTCCTCACGGGAAGGTGGTGCGCAAAGCGCTACCGAAAACCATTCGGCTATGGTCCCCAAAGTTTGCTTCGGGGTACCGCCTGTTGAAAGATCGCACCACTGACCTCTCTTTAAGAAACACCTGCGGTTATATGATCAAGATCAATCCGACACGTACATGTTATGTGGCGTTTTGTCAGCATCTTCACGGCATCCAATTTAGATGCTCCTCCAGTCAACCTATCTGTATTTGTTTCCAGTCGCTCCGCCAGTCTCAACACTCGATCATCTAGGCACTGTACTCCAAGACCATATCCCCAGGCGAATTTTACATCTGAAACCAATCTTCACAATTTCACAATCAGTCCAGGACAAACAGTCGACACCACGGCCACTCAGAGCAATAGCGAGGACTGTCTTCGGGTGAACTCTAGCAGGACCTTGAAAACTCCCGTTGGCAACATCTGGAGCCCGCGGTACTCTTCTAACACCTTGCGGCACCTAATACCGACCTCGAGCTAATGATCCTTGCGGTCCAGTTTTAATTCTCATCAAATTGATGAGTGAAGATGGCCAGGCCCGTGGAGGAGGCGGTCAAGAAGACGGAGATCAAGAGGTGGTGAGCGTCGTTTATTAATGTTGGCAGCATCCGATCTTGATGCGTTATTATGGCATGAAAGAGATACAAACCTACCGTCCTAGACATCTTTGCGTGTCAGAACAGTTGCCCCGAGGTCCTTATTTGGGTCTGATATTAAAGAAGGATGGCCGATTGACGAAAGGCGGTTTGACCCGCTTGTGTCGAAGGGTCTGCTTGACAGTGACTATCACTCCCAGAGATTGCTTTCATGTCATCAGACAAGGGCGTCAAAAACTACAAAGTACAAGCCTTCACGGTCAAGCGGGAACCAACTCGAACTCCAGCCGACCTTCACCTCACGCGGCCAAAGTTCGCTCCTTCCTCCGGCGGCTCCAGGTTCCGTTCACTCCCGTCCAGGTCCCCTTCACCCACGCGGCCGCCTCCGGGTTTCCACGTCCCATCTTCCATTCACCTTGAGATCCTTGTCCGACTACAAATCCGCACGCTACCCCTCCCTCCTTCCTTTCTCTACCTCCAACTAGCACCTCTTTCTGCAAGAGCGCAGCACACGTCGCGACAACGAAATCTTCGCCCCGGAAGAACACCCTTCGTGTTTCCTTCCTTCCTTTTTGTCGCAGTCGTTGGCGACAGGCGAAATGGCTGACGAAGAAGAGGGCCGCCCTCTGTTGGGCACTCGCGATTACGGTGATGGCGACTCCGGTGATCACGAAACCAATCATCGTGAGATGGATTACGAGGATCTCTGGTTCGACCCCGAGCTTTTCGCTCACGTGCATTCTCATACAGGTACGCCAATTATATTCCGCATTCTATTTCACATGTCCATTTTAGAAGACATAAGCGGCGCAATGCAACCCGTGAAAGATACTAACTCACGCATCCGACTTCAGGCAATCCAGTAGCGGGCCACTACGTATGGGTCTGTGTCAATGATGAGCCTGTAGAACGCTGGAGTTAGTTTCACTTTCAAAACTTCCGGACTTACTACATATTTGTCTAGACTGACACGGCCACGACAGTTACTGCGCTAGGAAGGGACAACGCTGGGTATGAGATTCAAGCAGGCAATGATGTAATCCGCTTCCAATTTCGCTGCTTGGACGATGAGAACATGTTACGGCTCTTCACGTATTGGGAAGAGATCCTAAGAGAGCGCGCCAGCCAGGATGCAGTCGCTGAACAAACCTCTGCCACCGAGAATATCGTCCCCGAGAACACCATCCCCAGGAATATCAGCACCGACAGCACCATCACCGACAACACCATCACCGAGTGTACAACCGAAAACTCTTCTATCGAGAATCCCACCGAGGAGACCGACGAAGTAGCAACCACCGACATGAACAATGACGGCGAAGATACTGCCATCAAAGCACCCGGCGGGCGAAATGCCCTTGAAGTGGTCAAACATTTTTTCTTTCAGCCCCTTAGACTGCCTCCTATGCCACGCGGCCTTGATCTCACCCGACGTGCGGGTCGGAACCAGTTTAGTTTCTGGATTTTGCACGTGGTTTTTTCGGTCATTTACTGGGTGGTTATGAATTTGTACTCCATCTACCACATGCTTCTGTTTCTTCTAATTATCGCAGACGCGTTTGGCTGCGAAGGGGCCGGGCGGCTACTCAAGGAGCTCACCTTTGGATGGCTGCCCATAGCGTGGCTGGGCTGGGCTAGGAGTGACGAAGGCAAAGCCGCGGAGCAGGAATACACTGCCGCTCATGACAGAGTGAGGGCCGAGTACAACGAGCAGGTTAGACAACTTCGCCTTCAGCGAGAGGCGCGGAGGATGGCGTGGACGGGTTAGTTTCCAGGGAAGGCATGTGGAAACTGCATGTCAGGATACCTCGCGAGGGTTGAGTATTTGGTCAGATAAACGAGTGTTTATTGAGGACGCAGCAGATGGTACAAGAGAGCGCTTGACTACGGGACTGTTATCTCGTTCTTTCTTTGTATAGGTATTATTGTATTAGTACCGCCTGCTCTTCAAGCGATTCATAAGTGTGAACGTTCTTACTTTACTCGCACATCACTTTACGATAACGGATGGAAAGACATCCATTTCATAGATTCATATTCTCTATTTTGTCCTACCTAACATTGTAAGTTTCCTAACGCCTATCGTTTTATTGCATTGCTTCACCATCGACACAGCATCCCGTCGCGTCATGTCAACACCGCTAGTTCTCTAGGCTAAAAGAAATAACGGCCACATCATTCTCTTTACATCTCGTCTGCTCTCTCGTGACCGGCATCTAGACTCCGGCGTTTGGCTCGGCGAGAATCTCAAGGTTTCGGGAGAGAATGAGTAGGTTCTATGCCATTGACAACACTTTGAGGGAAATGCAAAAGGAATGAGGACTATCTATCGAACTATACGTCAAACAGGTCGTTGTCCGGGAAACAGAAGTTTATAATGCTATACGAAAGTCTCGATCTTTTTCACTAGCGAAGTGTTTACGTAGGGGACACGGTGACAAGCAGCTGGTTCATAATTACATGGGCTCTAGCTAGCACCAGGTGAATATCTACAGGTAAACATTGAAATCCGTGGAAATAGTTTCCAGGGGTCTTTAAAGCCACCAACTCCCCCTCCCTAATATTCTCGAAAAGTCCCAGCATCAGCAACAGAATCAGCATCCAAACCCAAACCAAAGTCCTAAGACCAAAAGCCACTCCCAAAGCAACCACATAAACGTACCTACGATACAACCATTGCCCAAGAAATCCACCCCGTACATCCTGTCACATTCCCGTCCAGGACTCTACTAACACACCCCCGGGCCCCCCCACCACCACAGCACCATCAATCTCTTCCCTCTACCCCTCAAAACCCCAAACTCAAGCCCCTTCCTGATCACCAGGAATAACCAACCACCAATAAAGAGTCAAAATGTGCTACGAATCCAAGTGCATCTGCCCCCACTGCCGCGGCACCACCGCCGAGCAAGTCGCGTCCTGCTCGGAGGTGCTCTTAGGAGAGAAGAAGATTGCCATGGGCGGCTGCAGCAAGGGCTGGGAGACCGTCTGTCAGATGGAACCGGGGGCGTGTGTTCGTTGCGAGAGCCGGAGGGCCCGGAGGCAAAGAGGAAGAAGCGAAAGAGGTTGAATGAAAGAGGTCTGGGGAGGAAGCCGGTGAACTGGGATGCATCATGCAAGGGGATTTTGGGTGAAAGAAAGGAAAGGAATGAGTTGACCTGACCGCAGTCAACGATGGACCATTGGACTATGGGCCATGTAGTTGGATGTACCTGGGGACTGACTTCAGGTTACCTAACGGTAGGTAACCAGAACAAAAATGGGAAACTTGCCACTTCACACCCGGAAGAAAATGCAAAACCTGAATTGACTGTTGAAGCAAAAAGCGAAGAAAGAAAGAAAAGACAAAAAGAGAAAAGAATTTTAGCTGCAACTCGTTTCGATCGAGTGACCTCCGGGTTATGAGCCCGGCGCGCTTCCGCTGCGCCATGCAGCTTTTTTTTTTTTGTGTTGATAAAATATTTTCTCTGCTCGTGGTCTTATGTACCTACCTGACGTGATATCTTATTCTAGTTCCCGTCATCACGCCTTCACACTGCCTGCCTTTGCGGCCTTTGCCTTGTGGTTTTGTTCCTTCTGTTCATCTCGTCAATCTTTCCTTCGTCCTTCCGGAAGCCTTCGAGTACAGCGTTCACTTGGGCATTCCACAGGTACTATTTCGTTGCACGAAGGACTTGAGATTGAGCTGACATAACCGAGGGAATACACTAAATTGGCCGAGGATTCTAATTTGGATGTGATTATGAGCATAGGGTGACCGAGCCACAATATCACGGATAATAGGAGAGCAGCAAGACTTTACAGGGAACAGAGCACACTAAACTTTCTTTCCATTATGTTTACGCAACCTGTATTGCAATGACCGCTCGCCAAAGACGTGTCAATAAGCCTGGCTCTTAACTCGTCTGATCTTATCGAGCTTTGAAACAACAGCAAGCTGTCATCCCATAGCACCCACCGGTATTCGGAACTACCTACTTCCTTCCCAGTCTGACAACCATGCTTGTCTATTGAACTTTACCTATTGTACGTGGAAAGAAAAGTGACAGAATGAGTGAATAAGTGAACAATAGCACGAAGAAGAATACAAAGGGTTGAATAAGCAGCCCCAGCACTACATTGTGGCACGTATCTCTAACCTAATCTTGGTATAAAAGCCCGGTAGCATATGTAGCGAGAACTTGCTCCCTTCACCTTTTTTCACCAGCATCAACAACGACTCCTCTAAAGGTCTTTGTTAACGGTGATTGTCACTCCAAGAGTCAGTAGTCAGTACGCAGTATCATACGATGAACTATTCAACTTTGAGTTTGAGCCAAATGGCCCCCAAACCAAACATGCTCCTCTCACTTACCAATCAGTCAGTCACCATCACTAACCCAACACTCACCTCAGACTTCACCAGTCACTACCTGGAGGCTACCACCAAGCAAATCCGTGTCCCTCAAACAGCAAAAGCGACAAAGTCAACGAAGAAACATGGCCGAATACATCGCAATCCAACGTGAAGCCGAAGCCCGCATGGCGCGAGAGGCAAGAAGAGACCGCGAGCGTGAGGGTAATGACAATGACAATGACAATGGCAACGGGGGCAACGGGGACAATGGCGGCAACGGGGCACTGGCGGCAACGGCGACGGCGGCGGCGACGGAAACACCCAAGCTCCCGACCGCACCAGGTTCTTCGTCTCCATCAACTCAACCGCCGATTTACTGATGAGAGATCAGACGTGGGTTTCTTGTCAGGATCGTAAGTCATCCATCATTCCCCTTCCCCTTTCCCCCTCCCCTCCCCATTTCCATCCTCATCTTACTTAACCCACAAGCTAACCCCATTCCACTCCATCGCAAACAGCCGAGCACCTCCCCATGATGGTCCGCACCATCCTCTGCGCCCTCCTCACCCTCGGCTCAGATGGAGAAGACGGCTACGGCGCCGGCATCCACGTGCAGATCACCAAGATGCAGAACAACAACACTGCGGGACGGTACCGCGGACACGAAGGAGAGAGAAGGCTGCGCGAGGTGGCGATGGATATGGCGGGTGCAAACGTGAGGCCGGAGAGAAGGCTCAGATTCGAGGCGGGTAGTGCCGAGGAGCGGGAGACGATGATGATGCTGCTTATGGAGTTGGTGAGTGGTGGGATTGGGGCTTTTGATTGAGGGGGGCTTGACGGGGGATTGCGGAAGGGGAGAATGCAGTTGGGGAGGGGGGGACTGGAGGGCGGTGATGCATGGTATGGAATGGAAGTTAAGTAGGCAAAAAGATAGTGAGTGGCCTCTGAGGCTCACGGATCAGGATCGGATCCCATCACGGATATAGGAGAGGTAGAGCTGCGAGAGATCCAAGGTTAGCACACCGGAACTTGGCAAGCTTTCAATAAAATATCACTCGGTGACATCTTCTTCTTCTGTAAACGCAACGTATTCTTCAGATTAACGAGATATGTTCTTCGTCATATTTTTCCCTGTGGTCTTGACTTTGACCTATCATCGGAGTCTAATTAAGTTCATCATTTGGACGTTGGTTGGCGTTGTCGGGGAATCGAGCTCCGTCCTCGTGAGTTGGAACAAAGAGAAGCACCTAACTTGCCTTGTGTTGGGCCTGCGGCTCCTACCGCTGCGCCATGGTGACGAGACAGATTTCTACTCTGTTCGTTGGGAACAGGCGGTGGGAGGGAGACTGATAAAGACGGGAGGCTTGTGGAGTGATGGGAGTTCTAATGGGAAAGAACTTTCAGTTGGTGAAGTGCTGGTGAGGGATGATGAGGAAGGAGGGACTGGTGATGGAGTGTCACTGGGATGCTGGTTTTGGAGGAGGAAAGAGCGAGAGAGATGGCAGAGGCAGACATGCAAAGTTTTTCCTCGATTTTGGCTTCTGGCCTTCATCGCCAGCTTGTGGACATGCAAAACATCCAACCCTACATATTCACGCGTCATCACTTCGACATTACCCCGCCTGTGCCCCGCTATGGAATCAATGGGAATAGCGACACACTCTTCGCTGTACCATGAAGATTCTGAATGCAGAATGACCGCAAGTTGTCATATTGACTTTGCAAAATTTGAGTGTTGGAACTTGTGTCGTTGTAGAATCGATAGTGTTACACGATGCTGGGAGCAGTGGATTCAGGCGCGAATGCAACGCTGAGTAACGACACAAACGAAAAGCATGTGAACAACTTAAAAAACCCCGGAAATGCCACGGATATGATCAGATTCCATCTTTTCATTGCTATTCCTGAAAGCAGCGAGGCAGTGACTCTTTCTGTTCCGTGATGTTGCCAGATTGGGAGGGGGCAAAAGAGCTCCAAGATCCCTTACAAAATATTGGCTGTTGGTTCGTTGTTGTACTGCGCGTTCTAGAACAAAACATTCCATGTCACAAAACCAAGGGTCCTCAAGGGTCCTGTCCCACACCATTTCGATACCCCAGCGTTCTAGAAGCCGGGCCGCAGCTGCTTTGACGTCCAGCAGGCTCATTGCTCGATTGACTTTGAATGGGTTTTTCTGTGTATGTGAAGAAGAAGCTTTTAGGCGAGAGGTATGAGATGGAGTGTCTTCGTGGAAGTTGCATCCAAATCATCCGAGAATGTGAATTCTCAAGTCCGGCGAATTTGCAAAGATGAGATTCTGCCGGTGGACGAAAATCCGGTGTTGCGTAACGGACTTGGAAAACGATACGTACCGCACCCCCAGCCACCTCCAGCCCCCGCACATCTACTACTCAGAACGGTATAGCTTCTTAAGTCCCATGATCGTATAGTCTTTACCTCTTTGGGTAATATATAAATACGCGTGTGGAGTTGTTGAAGCTGAGTTAGCTCGTGCACGGCCGTTATATTAACTTAGTAAAATTGTAAAAGTTATAAAAATTATAATATAAAGTGTAGTATTATAAGTAACTGTACTATATTGTTGCTGATACTTAATATTAGTCTCCTTGAATTGTTTGATAGCCTTACTAATGGACTAGGGAAGTCTAATTCTTATAGTAAAGTCTTTCTGGCTGTATTTTATAAAGGGAATTACTTTAGTAGTATAGATCGGTTCGATGAGTTTTCATCTCCCTTATAAATAGGTTCGATGAGCTTTACGTTAAGTAACTGCTTTGATAAATTCTACGTTAAATGTATAATAATAGTACTATTTGGTATGTAAAGACGTTCGATTAATTCTATATTGAACAACCGCTTTAATAAACTTCATATTAAGCGTATAATAATAGTACTATTTCGTATATAATGTATAATAAATGATAAGGTTGGAAAGCGAAGTCTAACTCTTATAGTAAAGTCCTTTTGGCTATTTTTTATATAGGAAGTTATTTTAGTAGTATAAATTGGTTCGATAAATTTTATATTGAATAACCGCTGTATGTACTAGTAATGATAAAATTATAAAGTTAGTAAAAGTTAGCTAATATGTGTATTAATTGTATTTTTAATACTACAATTACAATATTAACTCTAATGATACCAAATTTATTATGTAAAATACCCTAATTATTAGCAATCGGTTAATATATATATTAGAAGGATTTATAGTAGTGCGTACATGCTATATTAAAAAGTAATTTTAATATATTTAATACAAGTCGAAATATTTATATTAAATTTTATTTCTATAATTACAATATTAACTTACTCTCACTACCTCTAATTATACTAGATGAATATTGATTGGAATATATAACTAGTATTCGATTTGTGTAATTACTATAATAACTGGATTTATCTGTATATAAATTGTATAAATCTCTATATGTAATATGTAGTATATTAGTATTTCTAGTGCCTTTTATATATAAATCATATATATTATATAAAACGCTGTGTTTAACTGGCTATATTTCTAGTACCTTTTACGTATGACTGGCTATACCGCTTATTAAAAGATTAGATTTATTTATGTATTAATATTTAAATCGTATAAATTGTCGTTTAAAATACTCTACGTTATTAAATATTTTGTAATATAATTAGACGTATATTGAAAGATTTTAATTTAGTATCTAACCCCCTTCTACGTTCTAAGGTCGAGTTCTCTATATGTATAAATTGTTTATAAGATCTTTAAACTCTCTATTAAGCCCCTAAACTTTCGCGATATACTAGGTACAAATACGCTCTGCGTTTATAGAATTAAAACTATATTCGTAATACGCTAATTGTTAGAAATTGTAAAACCTAAAAATTATAAGTTCTAATTACTCTCGTACCGCTTACCGTTGATTAAGGTTATATCGATCCTTTTAAAAGGGTGCTTTCTATATAATTCGAGTCTCAAATTATTTATATCCCCTATTTTACTATAGTTCTAATTAGCTAGCTAGACGGCTGGCTAATAGGGTATAATAGTCATTGAAGAAGTAATATTACTAGAGATACTAATATAGTAGTTACCAACGTTTATAAAATTAGTACTTATAAGTAATAAATTGCTAAATAAACCCTCCTTTATAGCGGTTAATACTAATAAAATAGATTAAATGTATATTGAAATATTCGCTAGCATTGTAAATATTATGGGGCGAGGCACTGTTAGGTATAGGGTAAGATATACGTTATTGTGCGGAGGAGAGGAAAGGAAGGTGTACGTAGAGGACTGGCTATATAGGCGAGAGCCCTAGTGGGCCAGTCCGTGCACGCGCACACGTACAACTACACGTGACTGCTGTGCATGTAGCTAGTGCGTATATAGCTCTAGGCTATGGCACCAGCTCTAGGCATAGTATATAAGGTAGTTAGTGCAATACAAAAATATTATAGGCTAACCCTATAATATTATCCCCCCTCAAAAAAAGCTCTAATAACTTCGAATTTATATATATATATATAATAATCCTCTAAATCATCTATTTCAAACTCTCCGCCTCTAGCATTTTATTATAATTTACAAATTCCGCCTTTAATATTCGACCGGACTAAATATCTATTAATCGTTTTACTATCCTCGTGAATACTATCTCTAATCCCCGTTCTTTATATACTATGAATTTATTTTCCGGTCCTATTATAATTATAACCGTATCGGATAACGGTTGTATAATATTGATAATAGCGGCGGGGTCTCGCGTTAGGCTATACGGGTAAACTAGCGTCTCAGGGGTATTCGTGGTTTTAGAGTGGCGGTAGGTATTAGAGCTTATTTAATTAGTATAATTTCGATATCCGGCGGTATAGGTTTATTGGGAAATTCGTTATAAAAGCGCTAGAATATTTCTTTATAATCGATAACGTTATTCTTAAATTCCTAAGTCGGTTAATTATTACCTTTCTACTTAATATAGTAATGTTAATAATAATTACCACTAAATTAGGCGTAATCGATAAACCTTTCGAAGTCTTATTCTTTTTATTCCTTATAATTATCCGTTCTAATTATTATATGACCGTTATTTACCTTTACGTCCAACAATGTATTTTAGCCGGGTAAAACTTTACTGATCTATAGCTATATTATAGAGACGTAAAAGATTAATAAATACTTTATATTAGTCGGGAGCGCGAAATATACTACATAATTCTCCGCCCAGGTAATATAGAAAGGGCCCTCCTATTATAGGTAGAGCTTTAAATATAATCAGCCGTTAGCGAAATTTATTATATTGAATAAAATTATATTACTAGGGTAGTATTTAGGAAAGTCGATACGTTTCTTATTAATATTATTTTCGTATTGCTTTTATATCCGCTAAATTTATTATATTATAAAGTCCTAAATCTTCTAGAAGTAGTCCGCTAATTTGGTAGCTTTATAATATTCTTTTAATTAGGCTAAGGAGAAATTTGGGGGTAATAGGGTACGAAATTTAATATTTATCTATAAGTAGTAGCCGTAGTTAGCGAAGAAGGGGGAGACGCTTATTAACGACAATATAGTATTATTTCTAATAAATTCCGTAATTAATAATTATTTCGTCTAATTTATTTATACTTAATTAATATAAAACTATAGAAACTGTTCTATTTCTGTATTAATATACTCTATTTAAGTATTAATTTAGAGGTAGAACGTTAAAATTAATTTATGGATAATAGATAATTTTTTACAAAGGGTAAATTAGAAACGTAATAGAAATTAAGTATTTTTATCGAATAAAACGCTATCCGGCAGACTATAAATTGAATAAATCCGGTTAATAAAGTAGTTTATAAATT